GATGATCCTAGAAAAGACTATGGAGCGTAAGGTAGTCACCCACCGTTTACTCCTGGACTTTAAAGCAGCATACGACAGCGTTGATAGAACGCAACTATACTGTGCCTTGGAGGAGCTAAGCATCCCTCAGAAGCTCGTACGCCTAATCAAGATGACCATGGACAGCTCGAGATGTAGAATACGCGTCGGTTCTGACGACTCCGAAGAGTTTAAAGTGAGCAGTGGGGTTAGGCAAGGGGATGCCCTCGCCTGTCTATTGTTCAACTTGGCAGAGGAGAAAGCTGTAAGAGACTCCGGTATTCAGACCAACGATATAATCTTCAATCGCCTGACACAGCTTCTTGGTTTTGCTGATGATATTGACATAATAGGTAGGTCTGAACAGGCTCTCAGAGAAGCGTTTATAGGCCTTGAAGCAGCTGCAAGACCACTTGGTCTAGAAGTCAATGAGAGGAAAACTAAGTATATGAGAGTTGGTGGTGAGGTGGATCTGAACTCTCCATTTGAGGTAGGTTCTTTTAAGTTTGAGAGAGTGAAAAGTTTTATATACCTTGGGTCTGAAATTAATAGTAAAAATGACATAGCTCAAGAAATATAGAGGATCACGGCTGCCAATAGATGTGTCTTTGGACTTGGCCGACACTGACTTGGACTTGGACTTGACCGGTAGGAAGGCCGAGGATGAGATGGTTGGACAACGTGGCCTATGATGCGAGAACCCTGCTTGGTGTACGGAACTGGAGAGCTGCAGCAGAAGACAGAGCCAACTGGCGGAAGCTCTTGGAGGAGGCCCAGTCTCGGTAACGGGATGTCGTGCCACATATGATGATGATGATAAGCTTTAATCCCATATTAATTAAGTTGATAGTCCATGATTCAGAACCCTTTTTATCAAATTATTAACATCTGCCTGAAATTTTGTTAATAGCTTCATCTCATCCTAACCTACAAATATTTTTTTTGCAAAAATTCTCGGAAGTGGGGCGTTTTCAATCTGGAGATCGGCAAACTTTATCTATTATAATAAACAAAATTGCCTAAATACACTTTTTAATTATTAAAAAAAATGTAAAAAAACTAATTTTTCAAAATTGTATTCGGCAAAGTGGTCATGAAACAGTTTTTCACCCAGATATCCATTTTAGGAATTTATCCATATTTAAAAGAGAGAAAAAAAAAATATAGTCCCATTCACTGAGAAAGAACTTGGGAACTAACAACAAGGATTTAGAAGAGGCCTTTATTATTCAACCAACTACCAGATGTTTACAATGGGGATGATCCTGGAAAAGTGCATGGAATACAAGCTGAGGACTTATCATCTATTAACATAGCATATCGGTAGAGAGGAACTGCACAAGTCCTTATAAAAGCTTGAAGTCCCAGAAAAACTCACAAGACTTGTAAAGATAAAAAACTCAAATTGTGCAGTCCGTGTGGGGTTAAATCTCTCCAAGACATTCGAAACCAGTAGCGCAGCAAGACAAGGAGATACCCTTGCTTGCCTCCTATTCAATCTGGCATTAGAAATGGCTGTCTGAAAATCAAAAATTCAGACAATGAAATGAAATGAAAAAAATGTTTTATTATTCTGGGACTGTTGTCCCTTAAGAACAAAATATGAATACAGATTATATGTCTGTGTGGCTACAATTGAATTGTATATTTACAATGAAAGTTGACTTACGATAAAAATACAGAAAAGAGAAAAAAAAGAACAAGTAAATTGTACATATGTATGATAAACTAAAATAACCTTAATAAATTGAGGTACTCTCTGGTGGTGCTCAGATATTTCTCTGAGATATATTTCACATTCATTCGGATTGAGAAAGGAGTAGGTGCTTAAAGAGGAGTGGTTTAAACGAGGAAACTGATTGAGCGTGTCGAATATCAGGTGGGATGGAATTCCAGAGGGAGGCGGCTTGTATTGCAAAGGATTTGTCAAACGCAGCAGTTCGGTGAGGAGGAGGATAGAGGTCGGAAGTACGAGATCTGGTGGGACGGGATTGGATGGAATATTTGAATTGTAAGCTGTGAAAAATGTAGGAGGGTCGATGGGTTCTAATAATTTGGTACAGAAAGGTGGCTAGGAAGTACTGACGGCGATAGGATGGGTAGAGCCACCTCAACTCAGTGTAATACTGGGTAATATGCGTATCCCTTGAGATTCCGAAAACAAATCGTAGTGCGCAATTCATTAGGCGTTTAAGTTTGGCCTCGGAATCTCCCGGGAGTCCACCGTACACCATACAGCCGTAGTCGAAGTGGGGGAAAACAAGGGAGGAAACTAGGAGTTGACGGGACTTATATGGAAGGAGATATCGTAGACGATTGAACTGTTTTAGGGTGGAGATAGTGCGACGGGAAATTTGGGAGATGTGAGGTTTCCAGGATAGGGATTGATCGAAAGTAACACCTAGGTTTTTAACGGTGGTGTAGAATAAGATAGGTGAGTTGTTCAGGAAGAGACTGGGAGATACTGGGGAGGATTTGAGGAGTGAAGGGGATCCGATCAAGATGGCTTTTGTCTTCTCGGCGTTCAGAGTGAGCCTATTGAGGTTTGCCCAAGCACTTATTCTGTCAATATCTTCCTGAAGTTTTTGAGTGGCATCTGAGATATCTGTCGGATTAAAGGAGAGGTAAATTTGAATGTCGTCGGCATACAGGTGGTAATGACAGTGCAGGATAGAGGATGGGAGGTCATTTATATAGATGGAGAAAAGGGTGGGGGATAAGGAAGAGCCTTGTGGGACGCCTCTGGTCAGAGGTAGAGATTCTGATGGTGGGTTATTAGGAATTACAACGTACTGGGAGCGACCGGTTAGGAAGGATTGGAACCAATTAAGGGAACTAGAAGAAAAAGAGATATTTTTAAGTTTGGTTAGGAGGATGTTGTGGTCTACTGAATCAAAAGCTTTGGAGAAGTCTAGGAGAATAAGGATGGTTAGTTTCTGCTGATCTATGGCTGTGTGAAGGTCTTGGGAAATTTTGATTAGGGCAGACTGAGTAGAATAACCAGGCCTGAATCCAGACTGGTAGGGATTTAGGAGATTATTGTCCTCTAAAAAATGGGATAGCTGGGATTGGACTAACCGCTCTAGTGGTTTTGAGAGGTTTGAAAGGAGGGAAATCGGTCGGAAATCATTAGGAACTGATGGGTTTGAAGTCTTCTTCAATGGGCGTACTAGGGCGGTTTTCCAGGATGTAGGGAAGGTAGCATTTTGAAGAGAATAATTGTATATATGATAAAGGATCGGAAGAATGGATGGCAATGCGGCTTTAATCAGTCTGACTGGGATGTTGTCGGGACCGTAATCATTGGTATGGGACTTCTGAATGGATTTAAGGAGCTCATCTGGTGTAATATGGGAAAGAAAGAAGTGATCAGGATTAAAGGAAGAGAACATAGGAGCCAGACTGGACGTGGGAGATGTGGATGCAAGAGGACAGGAGACAAAGTGAGCGTTGAGGTTATCAGCAGAAACGGAATTGGACTGAGACTGGGGTGTATTACCAATGGTCAGTTTTCTAAGAATAGCCCACGTAGCCTTGGTATTGGGCGAGTTGGATAGGGAATGATGGTAGTAACGGGATTTAGCGCGGCGTACTGCTGATTGAGTGCTATTTCGAAGCTGTTTGTAGGAGAGAAAATCATCAGGAAGTCGAGTTCGTTTAAACCGTCGCCTTGCAGCATCTCTTTCTCTCATACACTCCCTCAAAGCAGGGGTAAGCCAAGGAGCTGGAGGATATCGGATGGTTTTTGTGATAAGAGGAGCATGTCGGTCGAGGATAGAGTGAAGTTGAGTGGTTAGGATTTCTACCATGGTGTCTATGGATTTTGAGGAGTAGATGGGATCCCACTGGATATCGTCAAGACCTTCTGACAATGTTTCGTGAGTGAGATAATCTAGGTTTCGGAAGGATATTGTTCGGGGAGAAAAGGATGGAACAGGGACATTGTAAGAGATCTGGACAAGATCGTGGGAAGATAGCAACGGAACCGGGTGCTGAGATGCGGCAAGGAGTTTGTCTGAGGAATCCAGGATAATTAGATCGAGCCAGGACTCTGAATACTGAGTATGATGGGTTGGATTGTAGGGTACTATGTAAAGGCTGAGAGAATTAAAGAGGTTTGTTAGGTAGGAATAATCAGAGGATGGTGCCAGTAAATTGGTGTTAAAGTCACCGGAGAGGATGATGTTTGAGTAGGAAGGGATTAAGTTGTACAATAAAGTCTCAAGTGATTCATCGAAAGGAATTCTAGGAGGGCGATATATGACAGCAAACAGAATGGCAGATGAGGTGGTGAGGATTTCGGCGAAAAGGTATTCAACGTGCGGAGAATCGGTTATGGAAGAGCAGTGAAGAATTTTGGATTTGAGACTGTCATGGACAAAGAGACCTACTCCACCACCCGTGCGATCTACTCTGTCATGACGAAGGAGAGTATAGTTAGGTAGAAGGATCTGGGAGGACGGGATTGTGGGTTTCAACCAGGTTCAACAATGAGCACAATATTTAAAAAAATTGTACAGCTGTTGGGATATGCCGATGATATTGACATCATGGTGAGGATAGAACAGGAATTGAAGGAGATATTCATTGCTTTTGAAACATCCGCCAGATAATTTGGACTCACAGTCAATGAGCAAAGAACTAAAAATAAGGCAATGGTGGTGGAGACTATATCACATTCCTAGATGTTGGTGTTCCAGAAAGTGGAGATTTTTGTGTACCTAGAATCCAAAATGAATCCCAGGAAGGATGTATCTCAGGATATCAGTAGGCAAATCAATGCTGCTAATAGGTGTTTCCGTGGCCTGTCCAACCATTATAAGGGAAGATGGCTGGATGGTGTGAAAGTTGATGCAAGAAACCTGCTGAACATCAGGAACTTGACTGCTTGCTGCATACAGTGGGTTGTTGCAGCAAATGTGTATGTATGTATTAAATAATGAAAAAAATAATAGAGTACAATAGTTTAAGACTATACATACCGATATGCAACCATTTCTCCTTCAGGTGGATCCCAACTAATAACAACGTCACCCAACTCTTTCAATATATCATCTCTTAATGAGTCGAATCTCTTCCATGCTACAGGGCCTTCAGCAGCTAAATGTGCCATAATACCAGCCGCAAAATATGACACATCAATCTGCTGAGAATGTAAAAGACCCCTAAAAAAATTGTGATTAACAATTAAGGAACATAGTTAAAAACAACTTAAAACCTTAAGTAAATCAACAAAACACTGAAATGATAGAAAATGTGAAACAACAAACTTAACTAGTTATACAATTTTCAATTATTTATAGGTAAAAAAAAATAATAAAATAAATAGAGATCTATAGTAGCATCCACCTTGGCAGAATAATCTAAAGTGATATGAAAATTGGCTTTCATTTTCACTCCATTTAAAGTCTAGATCGAAAAATGAACAATGACCGACTTGTTCTTGAACCGATGATTTGATCAAAACAAAGGTGTTGTATTCTGCCAGTCTAGAATGAAACCCTGGCCTATTGAGTAATTATTTTTTAATGTTTCTATATTTAACTATAATAAGTATTTTAATCTATTATGATTAAATAATTGGCAGATTAAGATTAAACTGCTTGCTATTTATAAAACCCTCTCCAACATCAAGCATTTTTTATATTCCAGCTTAATTAGATTTGTTCTGACTGAAGAAAATTATTGGTCTCCTTAACAAACAAAAAGTTGAATTTTTCTTGTTTTTTTTTTGTTCTATCTATTTTACTAGTTAAAACATACCTATTAAGAATATATCACAACTATTAATACAAAACTTTATATGCAAACATTTTTAACTTTTATTCAATTAGTGCCATTTTGTAGGTGACATTTTGTAGTCTGCAACTGATATAAGCAGTCTGCTAGGATGGAAAATAGCAGAGGGCAATAAAAACATCTACCAAGGCCTACATTACAAGCATATAACAATTTTCCATATAAGAATAAAATCTCTTGTAGAAGCTGTTTTCGGAAATTCAGTAATCTCTCAATATATAAGAGTTTGATATTCATGAGTTTTGTTCATTGAATAATAAAATGTGAAAGAATTCTGCATTTGCAGATTGCATATTTGATGATTCATGATTTTAAAAAAATCCAGTGCATACTGAAAATTAGTATCACTACTGTTAGTGCAAAAGACCATATGTAAAAATTGAATGTTTTACAGGAGAGCATAATAACTAATTGTTTCTTTATGATTTATTAGTATAATTTCATATTTTATTGCTCTCTACTATTTTCCATCATAACAAATGGCTTATATCAGTTGCAGACTAAATAATGTCACATTTAGCACAAATAGAATAAAAGTAGAAAATAGTTACATATGACCTTTTGCACTAACAGTAGTGATATATACATGATATGATATGATATTATATATATATATATATATATATATATATATATATATATATATATATATAAAAGGGTAAGGGGTAAGGGTCCGAGAAGTAGACCGAAGCGAAGGTGGGAAGATTGCGTTAAAGCCGATCTGAAGGGACTGGGTTTGGATGGTGAACGATGGAAGGAGGCATGTAATAAGTGATTGGTGGTGTCGGCATCGAACATCCCTGTTCGCTAAGCCTTTTATTATTATATATATATATATATATATATATATATATATATATATATATATATATATATATATATGATTCATTGTCCAGCCGTTGAACAAAGTTCCAGCTCCTTCACTAGCATCTGACTTCAGACCCATTTCCATTTTATTCAATTTATCCAAGCCTCTAGAAAGATTAGTTCACTCTCAGCTGAACAACTTTCTCGGGCAAAACTGTCTCCTCAATCCTCTACAATCCGGTTTTTGTTCCCAATCTGCCTTATTAAAGATTACCCAAGACCTCCAGTCACTAATAGAGAAACAGAAAATCTCCATCCTAGTCCTTTTCCACTTTTGAAAAGCCTCTGACTCCATCAATCATAATATCCTCATTTCCAAACTCCAAAGCCTACCCATATCGAATAGCATTCTGAAATGGTTCCTCTCTTTTTTATCCCATCGCTCCCAGACAGTTGTTATCCCTGACAAATCTCCTTCCTCATCTCTTCAATTAACACAAGGTGTTCCTTCCTCATTCTCTCCAAATCTGTTCTCCATTTATATTAGCGACCTTCCTGACTCCATTAATCATTCCCACTATCATTTATATGCAGACAATCTACAAATCATACCAACCATCTGAGACGCCCAAGGTTATCCAAAAACAACAAGAGGATATTGACTGTATCCATAGGTGGGCGAAAAAAAGATAAACTAAAGCTGAACGCAGACAAAACCAAGGCAATCCTAATCGGCTCCAAGCACCTCATTAGTTCCCTTTCTTTCTCTCCTTTTCTTTACCTCCATAACCGTCCCATCAATTTCTTTCTGACAGTCAAAAACCTCAGAGTGATCTTTGATCAGAACCTCTCTTGGAACAACGGCATTTCCCAGATTATCCATAAATCCATAACTATCCTTAAACAATTCCTTCGATTCCGTGATTCCATTCCAAAAAAAACCAGACAACTCCTTGTAACATCCTTTGTCTTTCCCCACTTTGACTATGGTTGCCTGGTGTATGGAAGGCTGTCCACAGAACTGGACACGACTGAAGAAAATTATGAATTGCTTCATAATCTTTGGGATTCCCAAGCGTTCTCATATTTCTTGTTGGTATACCGAGTTGAAGTGGCTATATCCTACGTAACGACGGCAATTCCTTCATGATGTTTTCCTTTTTTAAGTTCTCAGAAGTAAAAATCCTCCCTACATCTTAGAACTCCTTACTTCACGCTCCTCTATCCACACTCTCAATACCAGATCTCAACCTATAGATCTATATATCCCCGCACATAAAACCACTTGCTTCAGTAAATCCTTCGTCATCCATGCTACCTCCTTATGGAACTCCTTACCCATCTTTATATGTCAAACCACGTCCATAAACTCCTTTAAACAACTCTTGTTCCATCACCTGCTACAAATTCAAACTTCCGCAAGCTTGTAAAAATTTCTGGGTAATATAATTATGCTGGACACCAGCAGTTAATGGATAGAAGTATGCATATATGTGTGTTTACAATTTTCTAGGTATTGTTTGCATACATTTGTATGATACTTACATGCCAGACTAATGTACATATTTTTTAAATTCTACTATTATTCTAAAGGGACTTCAGTCCCAGAATAAAATTATTTCATTTCATTTCAATAGGAAAAATTCAAGTTTGTTTGTTTTTAATTAACTAATATAAAAATATTAATTTTTTTTTAATCTCAAATATTTTTTTAATCATGAATCATGAAATAGGCAATCTGCGAATGTGGAACTCTTTTGCTTTCAGGGATATCAAACCCTGATTTTTCAAATTAAATAAAAAAGTAACAATGTTGAGAGATTACTGAATTTCTGAAAATGGCTTCTCTCAGAGATATAATTCTCATACGAAAAAATTTTGACCTTGTAATATAGATATTTTTTAGCCAATGAAAACGGTGACCTTACTTGGTAGACGTTTTTTAAATTGAGTTATATACAGAAATCAATACTAGATATGGAAATGCACTTACAAGATGAGGTCAAAGCCTATGTATATATTTATGTATAGTTTATGGTTTTTCACTACATGAAAATCCAATCAGTGGTTATATACATATTATAAAAGTTTTTTTAAAAATTAAACTAAAACTTTTAAAATTTAAATTTTTAATAATAGAAAATTCAAAATTTTATAACCCTTTAAAAGTTAAGTTCGTCTTAATATTTGATGATATTCATCCCAAACATATATACCTCAAAACAGAGATGAATGGAAGCCTTAAAAGGCAAGATCGGAGTCGAGGCACTTCAGCTATGTTATTAATTAATCCTAAAACTTTTGTTTCTACAGTTGCTTCTCCAGGAAATGTTTGTAACACTTCAAGAAAAAGAGTAAGGCCACCTTCATCCAAGAAGACACTACATGTTGATGGTGATTCATCTGTTAAAACATACAGAACACATTACTTAATTTTGATATAAATTTTAGACATATCGTCAATTACAGAATTTATATTAGTTTGAGGAAACAGTAATTTCATTTTATCCCAATAGGAGACTTTTTTATTTTTTAGAGCGGCACGAGTGCACTGCGGCCATGTAGGCCTATTGTACGCCTTATTTAAAGTCACTCCTTCTTAGAGTGTAATTCCTGCTGTCTCAATGAACTGTAATAAGCTTGTTGGATTGATAAACTCGCTTGCCTTGGGATCCTTCTCCCTATCAATAGCGAATAATCAAAATCTCAATCCAGCAAACCTATCACACCAGCAAGTAATATGGTAAGCTGTCTTATCTTCCCGGTCACAGTATCTAAGAATAGATGACTCCGTGAAACGAAGTTTGAACATATGATAATTCAGTTTACAGTGCCCTGTATATGCTGCTGTAATTTTCTTAAGTGAGCTTCTGCTCAGATTAATTAGTAAGTTACTTCTTTTTTGACAGATTCCTTACAGAAACAGTCTAGAGTGGGTCTGTTTTTTCAAGCACTAGTTCTTTTTATTTTCAGCACCATACATCTCCTCGATTCTGTTATTAGACACTGAGTAATTGCATAGATGGGTTGCGGAGCTATAGGTGTCATTTGTGAGCCTAGTCTAGCTAGTTTATCGGCCATCTCAATGCTATGAATTCCAGAGTGACCCGGAACCCGTTCAATGTTTACCTTATTAAGTCTGAATAAGTCATTGAGAATTTTAACACAATCCCCAACAGCCTTAGATCTAGTTGTGTAGTTCTCTAGTGCTCGTATGGCCGCTTGACTGTCAGTATATATTGCGATTCTCCTCCCATTTCAAGCACAGTGAGTTATCGCCAGTATTTCAGATTGAAACACTGTTGCATACTTTCCAAGTGGTATTGACATGCCAGCCTCTGGTTCATCCCTTCACCAAAAACCAGCACCAGATCCGCATGTCATGAGGGACCCATCAGTGTAACAATTAATCCCATTAATGGATTTGTGTTTTCCTGAGCTGTCTATTTTTACGTTAAACATCTTTGTGAGAAATTCTCAGGTTTGAGTGTCAGAATGCATTGTGAGCAGCCTTTCCGCCTTAATTTTTTAATTAATTCCCAATGTCCCTCCAGGGTGTTTGTCTTTGAACATAAGTTTAATTTTTGAAGCCTGTAAAAAGTTTTCATGGCCTGCTTTTCAATCTCCAGTTACAGTGGTAAAATACCTAATATTACTTCCATAGCTGCAGTCGGAGTAGTTTTCATTGCGCCCGTTATCATTAAACAGCCTAATCTCTGTTTTCCTTGTATCCTGTTGTGCCACACTCTTGCCCTATGCTACCATACAACAGTTGAATATAAAAACACAGGTCTGACTGCTGCAACATAAAAGCCAGTAGACCATTCAAGGTTCAAGTCCCCATACCTTCCCTACAGCATTCTTACATGGCCAGAGGCATTTTTGAGCTTTTTTGGTTGTGTACTCCACATGCTTATTCCACATCATTTTATTGTCCAGCATAACACCTAGGTGTTTTACCTCCTTACTTTCTGTTAGCTGGATATTATTTATTTTGGGTAGTCTTACTTCTACCTTCTCTATCTTTGTGAAGATGCAAACATTTATCTTGGCCGGATTGACACTAAGTCCACTGGACCGGCACCATCTCTCCAAGACTCCTGCTGCATTACTCAACAGATCAGATAAAACATTCTGATATTTTCCACCAATAAGAATAGCGATATCATCCGCATATCCTTGTGCATAAAAGCCTGCAGTGTTTAGTTTTAAGAGCAAGGAGTCCACCTCCAAGCACCGCAGTAATGGAGAGAGCACACCTCCCTGTGGACAACCTCCTCCAGGTTTAATCCACATTATGGTGTTTCCTAATTCAGTTTTAAGAGTTCGTGTATCTAACATGTTACCAATCCATTTGGTGACAAGTGGATATATTTTTCTTGTCCTTAGAGTATGCAAGATAGTTTCTTAAGAAATTCTATCGAAGGCACCTTCTATATCTACAAAGGTACCAATAATTATTTCCTACTGATTCATGGATTTTTCAATCCTTGATACCAGATTACATAGTGCAGCTTCGCATAATTTACCTGGTTGGTAAGCGAATTAATTGGAATGTATCGAATTAGCGTTCACTAATTGTTCTCTTATGTGTCTGTCCAAAATCTTCTCTGATGTCTTCATCAGAAAAGATGACATGCATATTGGCCTGAAAGACCATCATATGTTCCTTTTTCAGGTTTTAGTATACAATACAGTTTAGATTCTCTCTATTCTATAAGAAGGTATCCAAATGCTATACTGCGTTAATAGCTCTAGGAAATAGGGTTTAATTATCGAAAGTCCTTTTTGAATCAGTATTGGTAGGATATCATTCAAACCTGCCGATTTAAAGGAAGACAGTGTGTTTACTGCCCATTCCAGTCTGTTTGCTATACCAATTTTCCTAGCCTTAATCCACCCCTCTCGATTAGCTGTATAGCTAGGGAGTGTAGTGTCTGTACAAGCCTTTTCCATGGCCTCACATCCAGGAAAGTGTGCTATTGCCAGTTCTCTCAGAGTTTCCAGCTCATTAATAGTATGTTTGTCATTGACCCTGAGTGTACCAAATGTTCCTTGGTCTTCCTGTTTAGTAAGTATTTTTTTGATCCTACTTGCCATAGGAGTATTATCAATTTCTTGGCAAAAGTTCCTCCAAGACCGTCTTATGGCTTCTCTCACAGATTTATGATATTCTGTGAGGGCGATCCTGTAAACCTCCCAATTGCCATGTCTTTTTACGGCATTGAACAACCTTTTTGTGAGTGTTCTTTGCCTCTCTAAGTCCTTGTTCCACTAGGATACCCTTAGACGACTTTAAAGTCTTTTATTTTATCTCTTGTAATCCTTATTCAATGAAGCCACTCTATAGTACATTTGAAATATCACACTCTAAAAATAGAAATCTCCTCATTTATTTACTCAGTCAACATTTATTGTGCTTTAAAAATGGAGGTTCCAGAAGATCAATTTTATTATATTCTGGTGTTTTACTTCTGAAAAGGGAAAAATGCAGCAAACGCTCATCAAAAATTGTATGATGTTAACGGTGATGAGTGTTTAAACGAATGCTAGTGTCAGAATTAGTTTGCAAGCTTTTGCTTCCAGAAATTTTGTTTAAGATGAACCTCACTCACCCTGGCTGGCCAAGTTTTGAAAAAGACAATGAAATTCTTCAAAAAATCTTGGTAGAATGACATAGTTCATCTCGCAACATTGCTGCGGAACTAAACATTGATCAGAAAACAGTTTTGAACCAATGCTGGATACCAAATGAAGCTTGATACTTTGGTCCCACATGAATTAACAGTTAAAACTTTAATGGACCTAGTTTCCATTTATGAATCACTACTAAAACAAAACGAAATTGAGACACTTTTGAAACAAATGATTACAGGTGATGAAAAGTGGTCATGTACAACAATAATGTGTGAAACAGATCATGGTCAAAGCCTATGTTTTGTCATTCTCACCTTTTAGGATACACAGGGTTTTTCCAGCAGGGGATTAATGATAGAGTTAAAAGCCCCCAGGCACTGGGACACGAACTCGTAATTATTTTATTATCCATAACTTTGGTTATCAGGTTGCCAAGCAACGCGTGGTGCTGTGCAACCACTAAAGATAGGCTGGGAAGTTTTGATGCATCCACTGCATAGCGCACACCTTGCCTCGTCTGACTACCATTTGTTTCGGTCTCTGCAGAACTCTCTTAATGGTGTAAAGCTGGCATCAAAAAAGGATAGTGAAAATTACTGTTTAGTTTTTTGTTCATAAATCTCAGAACTTCTACACTAATGGACTTGTGGTTTTGCCAGAAAAGTTGAAAAGGCTATCGATCAAAATGGCACATATATCATTGTTTAGTGTTTGAAATTTATATAAATAAATTCGCTGTGAAATTACTTTTTCCTCAACTCAATATAACAAATCACTAATTTAGAGCTATCACATGAAAAATCACAGTTGTTAGCTGTGATAAAACCTTCCCATGTTTTATTGCGGGACTATAAATTAAATCTAAGACTAGGTCCAAGAGTTGAGATAAACAATATTACTTCCATTATATTTGTGGCAAACAAATAATGACAGAGAAGGAAAACATCCAGAGATAAACACAAATTTTTTCATAAGGAGGCAATGTAATATTTGAAGAATACTTACTACCTCAACAGTGGATCAACAGAAGGCAAAAGAATTTATCATTAACACAGATCAGAAGTGACAAATCATTATGTCACACCTTAAGTGGTAGTATCTATAATTTATCCATAACAAACATTTCTAAAGGGATTTCGGACATAACATATTAACATCTCAATATTAGCAATATCTACTTAAGTTCTCACTTTATCCTAACAGATGGTAATGGAATTTTCTAAGAACTACTGTCGATAAGCTTGGAATTTAAATTTTGGAGTATGTTAGTTCACTACAGTGTAAGCTTTTCTTAGTTCTAAAAAATATTTGCGGGATGAAATGGCTTAGGTTTTTTTTTTTTTAATGAAAAAAGATTTTATCTTCTTGACTAAAGAAATGATCTTTTTTTTCCATTGGTATAAATGTTTAGGCGTCAGATTAAATATAGAGTCATCTGAGACTTAAGCCATTCTTACCAATGAAAAAAAAGGAAAATATTTTGATTAAGAAGACATGAACAAATTTTTTCATTAAAATAATGACAACCTTTTTTGAACGAAAATCAGTGATATAATACAATATATTATTTTATATGTGATATTATACAATATATTAATATATATATATATATATATATATATATATATATATATATATATATATATATATCACATGAATATATATATATATATTAACAATTAAATAAAATGGTTAATTAAACTTTATATGCTCACACGTATGTAATTTATGTGTATTAAACCCTTCAAAATTCAGTTTAATATCAATAAATGTCTTTTGATACAACCCAAGGGTTCTCGATTTGGAGGATGTCTTTTCTTAACAGGAGCGATAAGTATTAAACTATTAAAGTTTTATTCTGAATCTATAAAAAGAGAGCATGACATCACCTTGGCAACTTAAAGGAGGTCTAAACACAAAATGGTAATACTAATAAATAATACTGACCACAAAAACTGAAAATAATTTTGTTTATATTTTATAGAAATCAATATCCTCAAACCTGTTAGATTCCAAAGGGCACTTAGAGTAAACTTCATAGTGATATCTACATTTTTTGCATCCTTTTTTGTCCTGACGAGGCGAAGTAGCTTATGCATATATCTTGGTTCTGATCCTAATTGAGATGTTTCTCGTGTAGAAATTTTAGCAGCTAAAATACAAATTGAACATAACCTATACATTTCACAAGGATATTTATTAAAAAATTATATTTTACACTAAATCATATATTAAGATAATATTCATACTTAATAACATGCAATATTAAAGAGAAAATAAATTTACCTAAAATACTACAAATGGCAACACTCATTCTATTCATTGAAGGATCTTCGAAAGTATGAAGTGAATCGAGCACAAGTTTGGCACACTTAAATCTATCAATAGGAACATCCTGCAGTATCCTATCACTGCAAAGAGTTAGTAATGTATTCTTCTGAAGTTGGTAATGTGTAGGAAATTTGCTCATAGCAACAAGGCACAGGGATACAACTTGCGATAAAATCTGCGGATGAATTTTTGAACCTAACTCTCCTTTTGTTAAGTTATATAAGCAGGCAGTAGCAGCCATTTGAACACCAAAGGCATCAGGATGAAGTTCCATTCCATTTAATACCAACTGAAAACAGAAATAACTATTATGAAATGAAGAAGCATGTTGATTGCCAGCTTAACAGACATTGTAAGTAATATTTTAAGGATAAGGATTAAAACTTAACAATAAGGATTAAAAAATGTTGGAAAATTTCTAATAAGGACGAACAGAATTTAGTCAAATCTTAAATAATTTATATTTGAAACTATAAAATGTTCACTTACAACAGAGGTTGACCATCAATATATTATTTAAGGAATAAAGAAATAAAAAAAATATATACAGCATCCACAATAACTTCCGTAAGAGATTTCTGATTAAACCTGAACTCAATATTTTTGGGCTATCTCAATTTAATTTAATAATTGTAAATTTGATAATTCTAATTAAGTAATGTTTCTTCTAATATTAATCCAAAGATAGATGAAATTAACATTCGTATAATACTTTCTTTAACATAAGTATATATATATTTTTAAAACTTTTATCATGATATTTACAACTGTATTAGTATGAATACATCAAGTAAATGTGTACAGAAAAATATTATCACATGAAACACGCTTGTTGAGAAACTACCCACTGCACTGGTAGCACTCTAATAATTTGTCTACATGAGAATATCACGAGGCCATCTTCTTTTCAGACGCCTCGGAGGGTTATCAGGAATCGAAGAGGAAGCAAGGTTAGAAACAAGAGGATTCGGATGGTTATGAAGTTTATTATGGAAGGATAGGTATCTGGATTTGGCCAAATCAGAAACATATGGAACATTGAGGTCTTTATGGATTATTTTATTAGTGACAAAGTAAGGAGCATTGAGGATTTTACGAAGGATTTTGGATTGTAAGGATTGGATGGGAGAGGAATTCGATGGTTTAGTGGAGCCCCATAGCTCAACTCCGTAAGTCCAAATTTGTCTTATTATAGTCAAGTATATGAGTCTTTTGTAATTAATGGGAAGTTTAGAGCGTTTGTCTAGTAAGTGTTGGAGTAGTTGGAAACGTCGAGCGGTTTCTTGTCGTTTCAGTCTGGTATTACATAAATATAAAAATACTTTTATAAAATAAATATAAAAATACTTTTGAAAGTATTGAGATAGTAAAAATTTTCAAATCTGAGTTTTCAATAATAAATACACATTTTGAGGTCCCCTGAGTCCATATAACATTGTCTCGCAAAATGCTCTGTGTAGATGTGAATAGTCTAGCACGAAAACGAAAATTCATACGAAACTGATATTACGTATTTAACATAGATACATGACTGAGAAGTTATAGCAACTTATTCCTTAAAATCGGCTAACCAGTGTTATATCATTTAGGTCTTATCCCCATTGATATCACTTTACAGGGCTTAAATGTCCAATGTTCAACATGACTTCCTCTAAAGTACCTTTAATTTGGTTTGTTTCAAATCATTATCTATCTCTCACTGTTAGGAGTTATGAAAAAAAATGCTAAATATAACTTTTGAAAGAATTAGATGATAAAAAATGGAGAAAAAAAGGGAAAATGTTTATTTAGGTAGAAAATGATTCTCTGGAAATACTAGATAAAAGGTATACATATAATAAATCGTTTGAAAGATGGAGAATTTCAGGAAAAACAATATCTAATATAGAAAGTAGTAAAAGGTAATGGAGAGTGACGAAAAATTGTAAATAATAATTTTTGAAAACTAATATTATTTAACGGAAATCACATGTTTTCAAGGAAATTAAATGAAATTTACTAGCTAAACGTAAACTTTTAAAATTTTTTTAAGTTTGAAAAAAGTATTTAAAACCCACCTAATCAAGGCAATGGCATTGTTTAAAAAAACTATTTCATTGCACTTGTGTGAAAGAAGAAGTGAAATATAAAAACTTTTAATGGATGTATAAACCATATGTTTATAACCTTAAATACATTTACCGTAGTTTAAAAATTCTAGATCTGATATTATATTTAAATAATTAGGTATCAAAGTTTATTAAAAATTGTCTTGTTTAAGAAAATTAAATTAGTGAATAATTTGATGAATTTTCCCTATGTGAAATATCAATATAATCCACTTACAATTAGTGTGACAACTTTTGATCTATCTATTGCAGGCAATGGAATCTCGTACTTTCATTTTAATGAACTTTACAATGGAAAATAACAGTTTAATAACTAATAGGCCTACAGTCCATAAGCATTTATAGGTTGAATATACATATATGCGCACCAGATTTTTTAACAACAGATGATCTCATTTTTATAGTAAACATTATAAAATTGATTATTTCACTAACGAAAATTTGGAAATTAATAGAATTGAGTTTAATATAAGTATGTGGGTGTTTGTATTTAGTCTATATATATATATAAAAATGAATGTATGTCTGTCTGTTTGTCCTTTATGCATTACTAAACCATTCATCGGATCGCCATGAAACTTTGGGAAGGTGTTGCGTACACTACCGTGACTGTTTCTTGCATAGTACTTTAGTCTTACGATAATTTTAAATGTGTTAAAAAAAAAAAAAATGTAAATGTATTTTGGTTCTAAGCCACTATTCTTTGAAAGTTCTTCACCTATTGCTTTAAAATTTTGACACAATGTTGCAATTGAATTCAGGAGTGCTTTTGAATATTTTATTACCATCCAGCCTTTCATTTCGAAATGGTGACCGAAAAACGTGTCGCTATAAACTGTAGCGCCAAAACGGCTGTAACGATTTTAACGAAACTTGGCTAAAGTCTTCCCCTTGAAACCCTTTTAATTTATGTGCATAACATACTTTCCCGAAAACAACCTGACAAAATGTTATGATGAATTCAAAATTTTATTTGCCGATAACTAAAAAAGCACACAATTTTTGATTAATAATACCCATTTGAAAGATTCCTGAATTCCCTACAAAATAAACAAAAATGTCATCAAAATAGATAAGCATTATGTCCAAAATGTAACCACTTGTAGCGGCCGTAGGAGTAAAGTGGGTTAACATATTTTTTTAAGGAGAAAAAAAGTTGAGATTTGTATTTCGCACCTCGATAAACACTTAAATACCACTTTTCCGGAATTCTCTACAAAATATAAAAAAAAAAATCATCGAAATCGGATGATTTGTTGCAGAGTAATAGAGTTTTAAAAATTTTCTACTTTCTCTTCAGAAAAGGTCATTTCTTTTTTTTTTTTGTTATTGATTAATCTAAAATTTTCTAATTTCTACAGTAATTCACATTATCATTTGAAGAAGTGATATGATTCTTCTTATATAGGTCAATTCTATTATACGCTCATTATATTCATTTTTTATTTTCCTTCCAATGTATTCTGGAAGTAGTATGATACATCTCAAATATTTAACTTGCTATTATTTAAAAATATTTAACTCTTGAGTAATTATTATCACCGTTTATGTTCCGTTTAGAAATCAGTTTTTATTGATTTCAGTTATTTTATTTTATAATAAATTATTTTCTCTAACATTACGTTAGAATAACGTTGTGCCCTTTACTGTAGGGTTTCTTTCATGAGTAAGGTTTATTTTTCCACTACAATGTTTATAATTCTATATTTAATCAAGTTGTTATTAAGAGGAAGCAAGGAATCAACTATCTTAGCAGAGGTATGCGAAATCTTTTGAGGAAGGTGGAAGGCAGCTCTAATGCACACGAAATGAACGCTGTGATAAATGGTATAGCCCAATTTCAATGCATTGCCACGATTGATATTTGAAAATCTTTAACTTTGAAACAGTATTGCAAAATATTTTGAACCGCATGTGTTTGCTTTTACATCCAACTGATGGTGCATTTTTAATAAATATGTATAGTTTCACCTTATATTTTATAATAGTAGATATATTAAACCAAGTGCGTATTCAAATGCAACGTTAAACCAAAATTACAAGGCAATGGGTGAAGAACTTTCCAAGATTTGAGTTTGAACAAAAAAACATTTACATTTTTACTTACCATAAAATGATCAAAACAAAGTTGAACATTAAACAATACATTAAATATTTAAAAAATAATAGTAAAATTAAACATGAAAATATATGAGTGGCTACATATCAAAGACGGATCTCTGTCATTTTCAGAAAGCGGAGATAAAGTCAATTTTAGTTTTATAAGTTCAACTCAGACTGTTTCTGATGATTAAGAATGACGGTGTATGCAATCTGATGATTAAGAATATTAAAGTTGAATCATGAAAAAAAATCATTAGAATTAGTTTAAATTAAAGTCATTTTACAGACAAATGGGTTTCCCAACTTTTTAAAAATGACAGATGTCCGTTATTAATCCACTCATATGTGCTTTATATTTTCTTTCTTTTCCATTTTGCCAGACTGAGCCACATCAGCGCGTGGCCGCTTAAAGCTAGTGATTAATAAAAATAGCAACAGTAAAATATAAAGAATTGTTGCGACCTCCATCAACACTACCTAACCTTACTGTGACATCTTATGATAAAAAAATTTCTCAACTATTAAGTATATCATAGCTATGTATTATAGCTCATATTTTGAAGCACATTGTGGGTCTGAACGATGATACATAATAATAACAATAAATAGAAAAAAATACCTTAATAATATCAACTCTAGCTTGAGTAAATGTTTGGGTTAGCCTGAAAAGATTGTATAAGCACTTTTGGACATACAAAGTTCGGTTAGCATAACGTCTAAGAGAAAGTAAAATTTGTTCTTCTGTAGCAACACCGCCAATCTAAAACAAAATTTTTGATAATATTAACTTGAAAAATCATGAGCAATAAAGGATTTAAGAAATGTAATTTTTATTTTTATTTCTGATAAAATGGTGGGGCTATGAAAAGTAACTAATTGAAATAGATATTTGAAAGAAAAAAGTAACATATTTGAGAAATTTTACTTATAAAAGGCATAGAAGAAAAATGGCTTATTCATACCGTTTATGGATTATAATACAAATTGGAGTTATTAATAGGTAAAACCATACAACAATGAAGAGCATGCAGAATTATACCAAAGATGTTTTTAGCATTAGTTTTATAGTGTGTGTGTATATACATATATATATATATATATATATATATATATATATATATATATATATATATATATATACGAATGCAATCGTGAAAATTTTCGAATCTGAGTTTTCAACAGGAATACATGTTTTGAGATCCTCTGAGTCCAAATAACCAAGTCCTGCAAAATGATCTGTGTGTCAGTGTGTCTGTGTGAACAGTTAAGCTCAAAAACCAAAGTCATACGAAAGTGAAAATACATATTTAAGTTAAATATATGACTGGGTTACAGCAACTTTTCCCTTAAAATCGGCTAACCGGAAGTGCCACATTATATCATTGACTTTACACATTTTTACAATTTTCTTCAAAATCACTATCGATTTTGATTTAACTAGGTGTATCAATGTATAATTAAGTGGTATTTAATATCATTTAGATCTTATCCCCATTGATGTCACTTTACAGGGCTAAAGTACCTTTAATTTTGTTTATTTTAAATAATTAACTCTCTCATCGTTATCAGTTATAAAAAGAGACTAAATATAACTTTTGAAAGAATTTGATAACTGAATAAAGGAGAAAAAAAAAAAAGAAAAATGTTTATTTAGGTCAAACATAAATCTCCGGAAATAATAGTAGAAGATATACCTATAATATATTGTTGGAAAGTTGAGAATTTCAGAAACAATAATATCTAATGAATAATGTTGTAGAAGGAAGGTAATGGAGAGTGACAAAAAAATATAAATAATAATTTCTGAAATATAAAATTATTTAACGGAAACCACATGTTTTGAAGGAAATTAATTGAAATTTCCTAACAAAATGTAAACTTAAAAAAAAAAAATGAATAAAAGGCAATGGCATTGTTAAAAAAACTATTTTATTATACTTGTGTGAAAGAAGTAAAATGTAAAAATATTTCACTGACGTGTAAATATTTTTTTGAATAAAAACTAATAAAACAAACAACCCTGGTTCTTCTTGGATTCAGTAATTAGTAAGGAAGTACTATTTCTTGGTCAACGGCTGTACAAAGAGGTGACTTGACCAAGATCACGCTCAACCACCATACCATATTTTCTCCTTAATCAATTATTTATTAATTAAGGAGACCCACTTTATACAGGCTGGATGTGCCCCAGAAGGATCTCCCGTTAAGGTCGATCCACAGCCAATGAAACAGAATAAATAATTTATCTGCCAGAAGCCAGGATTCAAACCTGGGGCCTAGTGCACTGGAAGTCAGCAACCTACTGCAAAAAATGTAAAAACATAATACAGATATATTTGTTAATACCTGCAATGAAGGATTGTAGTCAGGATGTTTTGGATTAGTAAAGCATTCTTCTGAACACATCTCTGAATGAACAAGTCCTAAATATTGCAATTGCTTGTGTTGTTGTAAAAATAGTTGTAATTCTTTTCTCATTATCTCTCCCTTTCCTAAAAAAACAAAAACCAATATGAGAAAAAAATTAAGAATTTTTATTTACAAACATATAATCATAAGTTAAACAGAAGTTGGTTAAATAATTAAATTATAATATTTTAAAATATACAAATTAAAATCTATTAGTACTCATTTAAATAATAGAGATTGTAGTTTATATCCGTCAGGAATTTTCACCTGAAATATCTAAAGATGTTAGATTTGGTAGCGAATTGGGGTGAGATAAAAATTGGACCATTTTAGCAGCACCATTTCCAAATATCTCAAAAGCAGCATAGGAATCTCTTTCTTCCGAAACATCTAAGCTACGAAGTTCATTTAATTCTAACAAGATAAGTTCACATGAAGGCACCTTGATATACTATAAAGCAATACAAATAAAATAAAGATGAATAATTTTTTTAAAAATATCAATTCATGCAATGAAAATAGAGAATATGATATGTTTAAAGGACCATACTTTTAATCTTACCTTTAGATTATACATTGCTAAATGTTTCAGTCTATTTTTGCATTTTCTCAATGGGGCAATATCATCTACTCGTGTGCTAGAAATATCTAAACTTTCTAAAAGTGGCAATTCTTCTACAACAATGTCAAGGGCATGCGTGTTAAATTCAGTTCCACTAACATCAAGACATTGCAGGGACTTTAGTTTTGATAATGTGATCATAACACAATGCCTAAAAAAAATATATATATATATATACATATGTATATTATGGAACTATATATACATATATTATATTATTGAGTTCAACAGGACAAATACAGGCTAATTTATTTTACAATTTACACCACAATATAAATAATAATAAGTCACTTAATTAATTTACGAAATGATAGTATATCTAACCAATTGAACTGCAAGCAGAAACTGATGTATGCAGTTGCTGAGTCTTAGGCTCCTGATGGCCCTACGCCTTCCACACAAAAACATGTTCTCTATTCAACATATAAAGGTTACCTTACACTGAAAACCAGCTTGGACAATATGTTCTATAGAATAGGATGTCTTCTATAAGAAACTGACAATAGTGACTAAGAGGTGCTCAAAAAATGAAATGGAGGTCTAAAATGAACAATTCTGTTGTTTGGCAAATCTTTCGTGCAGAAGATATGATAATGAGAGCCAAGAGAACTTTGATAAAGAAACAAATATAGAAAACTCTGAATAACATGAATATTATATAGGTGTTTGATTGGGAAGAAAATAACTTTCCAGTTATCTACACCGAGCTCTATTGCATCTATTTTTATTCTATCTATCCATCTGCTTTTTGGACTTCCACAAGGTCTTTTACTTTCTATTGAGGCATTCATTGTTATGTAGAGGCTTCCAGATAGATTGCTACAAGCTACATGTTCCTCTAAAACTCATTATGGGATATTGATTGACCAGTTTCTGCGAGCAGTTCTTTATTGGTCTTTCTTCTTCATGTGTTAGTACTCTGATCCCAGATCCCTCTGGTTATCATGCGGAGGATTTTGCTCTCAAATCTTTCGATACTTTTTTCTAGGGTGCTGGTTAGTGTCCAGGTCTCACAGCCATATATCTTATCATAGCATAACATTTAGCTTTATCATAGCATTGTATATACTTAATTTGAGATTTTTCGGGATTTCAATACCTTTGAAAGGGAGAAGAAAGCTCTGTTTGAGCTAGTTATACACTGCTCTATTTTTGACAATAGGTCATTCTTTGAGGTTAAATTAATAATCTAAATTATCATAAATATTAATAATTGACACTGTGATGATAGCTAAGCGCCTAGTCCCTAATTTTCATAGCGTTATCCTCTATGCAGTGTCCTGTGTGGCCTGAGAATAAATGAAGAGAAAAGTCTTTACATGAAGTCCTCAAGGAATAATGTAGCTATGCATGAATATGTTCAAATTAATCGGCACCTTTTTCCAATGGGGACAGAATTCAAATACCTCGGAGTGATAGTGACTGACCAGAACAAATTGCAGGCCGAAATAAAGGTCAGAATTACAGCTGACAATAAGTGTTTTTTTGTCCTGGCAAGAATACTAAAATCCAAGGTACTGACCTGGAATACAAAAGTAATAATTTATAAAACCATTAAGGCCAATTGTTACCTATGGGTGTAAAACATGGGTTTTAACACTGGAAAGTGATAGGTTGCTGATAATCTAAGAGAAAAGTCTTAAGAAAAATATATGGTCCGAAGAAAATAAATGACCAGTGGCAAATACAGAAAAATTACGAGCTCTATAAGCTGTATAAAACTGACGATATTGTAGCCACTGACAAAAGGAACCAGCTCAGATGGCTGGGCCATGTAGAGAGAATGGAGGATAATAGATTTCCTAGGAAACTTCTCTATAACAGCCAAGGAGAAGCACATCTTAGGGGAAACCTCAGCTGCATGGGTATCAGAACATGGAGAAGAAAAATAGTTGCCGATAGGGAAGCCTGACGGAAGCTTGTTACTGATGCCCAGGTCCATTAAGGACTGTAGAGAAAATTAATAATAATATTTTCTAAGAATAATGATATCCTGTATACAGATGATCGCTGTCAACTTTCCCTGTTATATCTATAATAATTTAGGATGTAAAAGAAAAAATCTGATGCGGTGCATGCATCACACAACTTTCACTTAGAGTAGTTAGGTATTTTCATATAAAGGAAAGTCAAAGTGAAAACAACGGTATAATTTCATTTAAAACAATTAAGTACCATGTGTTTACCGTCCATAAAATCTGTTAAATTCATAAGTTTGCATCGCTTTTCATTTCTTTTCCGACTGTCATTTCTTCCTATAGTATCAAACAATACTAATGATTCATAATTGGTAATTGGTTGACTGTCGTGGATAATGAAGAGAAGTAAAATAAAAATATAAATAAGTAAATAAAGTAAAAAAATAAATATTATCATTTATTTTTTGCCTTCCTTTTTGACTGACCACCCCAACTATTCTTCTCTTCAATACTAATGATTGTGGGGGGGAAAAGGGATCTTTAGAAAATATGCTGAGTTTTACCGAAAACATTTATCAGGAAACTCTTCGAAAAAATAACTGAACGTTAGTAAATATTGTATATTATTAGGTTTATATTAGAAGGTCCTCAACATTTAGCATGAAAACCTTCTTAAAAACTATGGATAAGTGATATATAAAAGTTAATTTAACAACATGAAAACTCTATGCAGAGGGGTATCAATTATCTTTAAATGGAGAGGATCAGTAAAAGTTGGACGCTCCCGGATGTTTTTATATAGCTTTCAACTCTATTTCTCTTTTAATTACCAATCAATTTTCTTCATTCATCATATTTAACCATCTTTTATATCAGTTCCCAATGCAAAATGGTTAATTATTTTAAATAAAAAAAATTAAAGGTACTTTAGGGGAAGAAAATTTGAAAATTAGGCATTTAAACAATTTTGGAAAACATCAAAAAGAACAAGACCTACTTTACATTAAAAACTGCTTAATTTTATACTAATACAATGAATTTAATCAAAACAGTAAGAGCTGTTTTCGAGAAAATTGAAAAAAATGTGTAAAATCAATGATATAAAGTGATGGTACTTCCAGTTAGCCGATTTTGACGAAAAAGTTATTGTAACATTACAGACTGTTACAATATTTATTAATTTGTCTTATACAAACCTTAAATACGTAATTTCAGTTCCATACAACTTTTAATTTTTGAGCTAGACTGATCACAAACACACTCACACAGAGCATTTTGCGAGACTGTGTTATTTGAAATGAAAATATACTTTATTATTCTGGGACTGTTATCCCTTTAGAACAAATTATAAGTGCTGAATACTTTTGTAAGTGGTCATTAATAGAGTAGATATTTACAATATTGGTTATTTAAAAATAAAAATACAGACGGAAAGAGAGAAAAAGACATGAATAACGTAAACATACATACATAATAAGCGTACATAATACAAACAGAGAAAACTAAAATAACAGAAACATTTTCTGGGGTTACCTAGACAGCTCCTTTAGGTATATTTCATAATCAATCGGGTTGGGAAAGGAGTAGGTGGTTAAAAAGGAGAGATTTAAATGAGGAAACTGATTGTACATGTCGGATATCGGGAGGGATGGTATTCCAGAAGGAGACGGCTTGAATTATAAAGGATTTGTCAAACGCTGCAGTTCAGTGGGGAGGTGGATAGAGGTCAGAGGTACGAGATCTAGTGAGACGGGATTGAATGGAATATTTGAATTGTAGGTTGTGAAAAATAGAGGAAGGCCGCTGAGTTCTGATGACTAGGTATAGAAAAGTGGCAAGGAAGTACAAGTGGCGGTTGGATGGATAGAGCCACTTCAACTTGGTGTAATACTGGGTTATATGCGTATCTCTTGAGATTTTGAAAACAAAACGTATTGCGCAGTTCATTAGGCGTTTAAGTTTGGCCTAAAATTCTCCCGAGTGTCCGCCGTACACCAGACAGCCATAGTCGAAGTGGGGGAACACAAGGCAGGAAACCAGGAGTTGACGGGATTTATATGGATAGCGGAGACTGTTAAACTTTTTCAGGGTAGAGATAGTACGACGGGAAATTTGGAAGATGTGTGGTTTCCAGGAGAGGGTTTGATCAAATGTAACACCAAGGTTTTTAACGGAAGTATGGAATGAGATAAGTGAGTTGTTCAGGAAAAGATTGGGGAGTATTTGTATGGATTTGAGGAGTGAAGGAGATCCGATCAGAATGGCTTTCATCTTATTGGCGTTTAGAGTAATCCTATTGTGATTTGCCCAGGCACATATTGCATTTATATCTTCCTGTAATTTTTGGATGGCGCCAGAGGATTCGGATGGATTGAAGGAGAGGTGAATCTGGACGTCGTCGGCGTATAGATGGTATTGATCGTGAAGGATAGAGGATGAAAGGTCATTGATGTAGATGGAAAAAAGGGTGGGAGACTATTGGGGACTAAAACATAATGGGAGCGGTCAGAAAGGAAGGATTGGAACCAATTAAGGGTACTAGTTGAGAAGGAAATATTTTTAAGCTTGGTTAGGAGAATTTTGTGGTCTACTGAGTCAAAGGCTTTTGAGAAGTCAAAGAGAATAAGGATGGTGAGTTTCTGCTGGTCCATGGCTGTATGAAGGTCTTGGGAAATTTTGATGAGGGCAGACTGAGTGGAGTAGCCAGGCCGGAAACCGGACTGGTTGGGATTTAGGAGGTTATTCTGTTCTAAAAAATCTGATACCTGGGTTTGAACTAGTCGCTCTAAAGGTTTAGAAAGATTTGAGAGGAGAGAAATTGGATGGAAATCATTGAGAGTTGATGGGTTGGAAGTCTTTTTCATAGGGCGAACTAGTGCGGTTTTCCAGGATGTAGGAAAGGTAGCGTTTTGTAGTGAGTAATTGTAGATATGGTAGAGGATTGGAAGGATGGATGGTATCTCTTGTAACTTGAGGTCCATTATCAGGTCCATAATCATTGGTTTGCGACTTTTGAATGGAGTTGAGGAGGTCATCAGGTGTAATATGGGAAAAAAAGAATTGATCAGGATTAAAATTTATAGGGAAACACACAGGAGTCGGGCATGGTCGGCATAGCCGTGGGAGATGAGGATGAGAAGGGACAGGAGACAAAGTGAGCGTTAAGGTCATCAGCAGAAAAGGAGATGAGCTGGGTTTGAGGTGCTATAAAAAATGGGATAACTGGGATTGGGCTAGTCATTCTAAAGGTTTGGAGAGGTTTGAAAGAAGGGAAATTGGACAGAAATCATTAAGAGCTGATGGGTTAGAGGTCTTCATCAAGGGGCATACTAGGGCGGTTTTCCAGGATGTAGGGAAGGTAGCATTTTGAAGAGAATAATTATAGATATGGTAAAGGATCGGAAGAATGGATGGTAGTGTAGTGCAGCTTTGATCAGTCTGACTGGAATGTTATCTGGACCATAATCGTTAGTATGGGATTACTGAATGGAGTTTAGGAGATCATCAGGGATAATGTGGGAAAAAAAGAAGTGATCAGGATTAAAAAAGGAAAACATGGGAGCCGGATCGGACGGAGTTGTGGTGGTGAAAGGGCAGGAGACAAAGTGGGCGTTGAGGTTATCGGCAGAAACGGAAATGGACTGGGACTGAGGTGTATTACCAATGGTCAGTTTTCTGAGAATAGCCCACCTGACCTTGGTATTATGGCAGTTAGATAAGGAATGATAAAAGTAACAGGATTTAGCACGGCGTACTGATGATTGAGTGCTGTTTCGAAGCTGTTTGAAGGAGAGAAAATCTTCATGAAGTCGAGTCCGTTTAAACCGTCGCATCTCTTTCTCTCATACGCTCTCTTAAAGCAGGAGCAAGCCAAGGAGCGGGAAGATGTCGGATGGATTTTGTGATAAGAGAAGCATGTTGGTCGAGGATAGAGTGAAGATGAGAGGTAAGGGTTTCTACCATGGTGTCGATGGATTTTGAGGAGTAAATGGGATCCCAATGGATATCGTCAAGATCTTTTGACAGTGTTTCGTGAGTGAGGGAATTTAGGTTTCAGAAGGATATTGTTATAAAACTATAAGTTTTGTAAAGAAACTCCTAAAAGCTGCCATTGATTGAATAAATTTCTGACAAAGACTGCCATGTTAATAGCTTTCTGTCTTGCAGTGTAGATTATTTTTTTAGTAAATATTACTTTAGCCATATAATAAACTTTTCAAAAATGGAATTATAGAAAAAATTTAGTTTGCATCCAAAGAAGAGATTATGAAAAATGTTTGAATGGACAAATCAGATATATTAACTTTACTTAATGTGCTTCAATTTAATTGGCTGACTGTGTGGTTAATGAAGTGAGGAATATTGTAATCTGAAACTGAATGGTTGCCACATTTAACAGAGATTTCTAGCAACTGCAGTTGGAGAAGTCACGGCTCAGCAGGTTGTAGAGGTAAGTAACAACTGTCCCTTATGGTAGTCGCAAGAAGGATAATTGAAAGGGTATTCATTGTAAAGTCTTATAGAGAAGGATAGAAGAGCATTTTCTCAAGTTAGATAGATCAGTTACAGAATAGAAATTTCAGAATTCACTAATAGTGGGTCTTTATAAAAACCAGAATAAGACACAGCAAGAAGGGTTATATTAAAAAACAAATAGTTTGCAGATAGAAGTCATTGAAGGATGATAGCCAATCTATGAACAACAATAGCAAAGAACCTAAATGTTCAATAATAATACACATGTTCAAGAAGAGGTATGGCATGACAGCCTAGTACCAGATTGAGTCAAGATATTTTTATCTTTATTAGTCGAAGAAGACAGACAATCATATGCATGTAATACAGAAACTGGTTAGCCAAATCTATTGAACTAATTAGCTTTAAGACTGCCAGCTTGTTACAAGTTAGGAGGAACAATTTGGCACTGTTTTCATATATATTCATAGTTATCACTTACTTTGATTGATAGGGTAAAATTTCTAAATAAATACAGAGAAAACAAGTTCTATCATAAAATCATTCAAATCTTCATAGATCTAATAAAAAGAATGATAATGCAAAGCAGCTGAAGCAGCTGTGTTTAATAATCACAATAAAACATATTTAAATAAATATTTTATGCATTAATTTACTCATCATGAAAATTGAGATGATTGGTAAACTTAATGTTAGAGATTTTTAAGAACAAGGCACATGTACTAACTTTGAAGTTTCTGAAAGAGTACTCCTGGCAACATTAAGAGTTCTTAAATTTTGAAGTGTCCATTCTCCAAAACAAGAAACTAAATCATTAATTGGAAATTTAAGAGCACATGCTTCTAACTCTACTATTTTGTGCCCTTTTAAAACTTTCAGTCCATCCTTGGTTAGGTTAGATGCATTAGGTAATGATACTCTCCTGAAAATATCATAAAATTATTATTTTAAATACCAATTAAATTAGAAATTAGTAACTAGTAAACATCTTTAACATTTATTCATTATTAATATTTTAAATTAACATTAAATCATTGAGCTTCTAAGATATGGAAGATACCACACTATGAATACTATTTTTATAACCAATACTTCTGAAAGATAACTAAAGCCTTAATATATAAATCTTTTAATTAAATTGAATATTTATTATTATTATTAAAATTACTAATCTGGACAACATTGATAAATGATTCCACTGGTCATCATTAATTGTTAGTACTGGTATTGGCAGGGAAATCAGACAACCATGAAGGTCAAATAGTCCTTTTTTCCAAGTCCAAAATAAAGAAGTGGGGTTCATCAATTATTTGATCGTAAAATTGTTGTTTTTTATCCTGAAATATCTTTCATTTGTCAAAGGGCCAATCCTTTGACAGAAGAAATCTCATGAATCTGAATGATGAAAACTCCCAAAAGGCTATATCTTTTGGCTATACACATTTTCCATTTTTTTTTTTGGTATAGTTGCAATGGCCATCAAGTATTAACTTATTCATCATTCACACTGACCATGCACTTGGTTCTAGAAGAGAAAGGTACTTAGATTATCTAAGGCAAGCGCTCTCCTCCCATTTATTGCCATTCCAACCATGAAGTTTTTTTCCTGGTGCTTTTTGATTATACCTATAAAGATTTAGAGGAAGCCAATCCCAACCAAAGGAAAGTCAGAATCTTGTCTAGCCAGTTGATCTGATCTCTCGTTATCTGTAATCCTTCTGTGACCAGAGCCCATAATAAGCCTAGATTAATAGATGGAACAAAGAATTTTATAGACCTTTAAATTGTAATATTCGTTTTTTGAAAAATCAGAATGTATAAGAAAATACATATTCGTATATTTACATACACACATTTAGATGCGTGTAAGAGAAAGTAGAGAATAAAATTGTTATGACACAGCTTGATGTTACAGATGTAGGTCGCATTTTATAAATTCCTCATAAATTGGTTGACAACACAGAAGGTTGGTACCTAGATGGTCTCATAACAATTTTAATCTCTACTATCTCTTGAAAATAGCAAGATCTCATAAATATTCCTTATAATTGATGTCTAGTATGATATCCTATTGAAGTATTATAAAATTAATAAACATATTTGGTTTACCAAATCATGTTAGAAAAAGAAGAAAAAAAATAATATAACCGATTATATTAAATATGTTCACTAAGTGGATTTTAACCAACTATCTCTGAGATATTACACTAATTTACAGTCTAAAAAATAAAATTAAAAACCTTTATTCAATGGTTATTCAATATTCATAATTGGTAATAGGTTGACTGTCGTGGATAATGAAGAGAAGAATAGTTGGGGTGCTCAGTCAAAAAGGAAGGCAAAAAATAAATTATAATATTTATTTTTTACATATGCCAACGAATATGTTATAATAAATATTATAATTTATTTTTTGTCTTCCTTTTTGACTGAGCACCCCAACTATTCTTCTCTTCGTTATTCAATATTCATGTTTATTGACATCTAAGTTACATCCAATTGAGTCCTGCTGTTATGATTTGCTATGGTAGCAACTACATTACAATACAAAACAAGAACCAGTTTGAATACAAAATTGACAATTATTATCATAATTTTTATTCAAGAGTGATTAACAAAACTGATTTATATTTAAATGATATAGAAATGAGTTTATTAGATAAAGATCAGAAATTTCATCCGAATAATACATAGACTAAGGATAAGATATTGAATGTTTAGAGCTATCACATGAAAACTAATCTTTGTGTACTTCTAAATATGTATGCAAATACAAAATATAAGACTCACTAGCTATGGTATGTAAGTGGGTACTCTTACTTAAATAATTAATGAAGGGAAAAATCATAGCAGTTGAATTTCATCTCGATAAAATCACCTTGCATTGTAAGTTGTATATAAAATATTTAACATTTTAAATAATTTAATCCACAATATTGGAGACCTAATAAGACAGTTATAAATTTATATGATACAGAAGAAGTAAACATATTAAACAACCCCTAGCATACAAATAAAATTATCAAAACAGCTTCTATGAAATTAAAAACAGTAGAACCATCAAGTGTAACAGAGACTTTAAAAAATTTATGGTATAAAATTATTATTTTTTAAAAGATATAATCCATTTATAAAAATTTGTAATATTTTCTCTTACTAACCGTGGTTCGAGTACTTAAGGCTTTCAAGTACTGACACATTTAGTAGGGAATGTGAAAGGGTCAGGGTAGGATTTCCCAGTTGTCCTTTTTCAGATAGCAAAAGGTAAGTAAACAGATGATCAGAGGGGAGGAGGGAGGTAATATTTCTGTTTGTGGAATGTAAATAATTTGCTGACTAAATATTCAAGATGTGTATAAGATTTGCATTGTTTCTTATGGTTACAGAATTGTGAATATTGACCAGTAATGAAATTAACATAAGCAAGAGGTGCCAATCAATATAAATATAACATAGTTTGATTGAAGGTAAACAATGGTTAGCCAAATAATATTTATAATGGTCTCCTAAACTATTTGTCCCAACATCCTTACCACCAAAAAATCAGTGTAGCTAAAAACCTAATACACCGCAGTCTAACATTAACAGACCCGCAATACCACACAATATTCTAATTGAACTAGACCAGATCCTGAAATCCAATGCCTTTCCTCAACACATTATAAATAACCTAATTAAAAATCAATCCAAACCTCATCTTCACCAGTCTCCCACAAACTGCTCTCAATCTCCCACCGCGATTCGCCAATACAGATCCATTCCATACATCCCAGTCCTATCTCAAAAAAGCTTTAACTTCCAAATTCTCCCATCTACAAATAGTTTTCAAAATTAACAGTAAATTAAGAAATGTATACAACAAACTCAGAGATCCTGTTCCGCTCATACAACAATCCAATATTGTATATCATATCACATGCTCTAGTCCAAACTGCAATTTTTCTTATCTGAAAGAAATCAAAAACTATTTAAAAAAAAAAATATATCAACACAAATACAGCATCTCCAAACGAAACCCGCTCTCCTCGAAACTAGCCGAACACGCCGCAACCCTCAACCACACATTGGATTTTGAAAAGCCAACCATACTTGCCACAGTTCCTAATCACCAAAAACGACTACTTTCAGAAGCTATATTCATTAATTTGGAAAAAATAATCCATTAAACCACAAAGGAGATAAAGAAAAGATCTGCAACACATATTCAAATATTTTCCGCCTCCTAAAACAATAGTCTGTAATCATCAAAATTTTATTTTTCATTTTCCCGTCAACTTACATAGGTAAAATTACTCCAACGTTTAGTATATATATATATATAATATATATATATATATATATATATATACACACATATATAATGTCCACTATCAATATAAATATATACTATAAAACTCACAGATATGTTTATACTTATACTACTAAAACTATGTAATCCTTAATATAATACATACTTCTATCATGATTAATATTGTAATTTTTAAAATATTGTATAATATATTGTCCTACGCATCTTTTCAATCCATTAGAATTGTCTTTATTATAAATATTATTTGGCTAACCATTTTATATCTTCAATCAAACTATGTTATATTTATATTGATTGGCACCTCTTGCTTATGTTAATTTCATTACTGGCCAATATTAACAATTCTGTAACCATAAGAAACAATGCAAATCTTATGATGACCCACATGTTTGGGTTGAAACGTCGGCACAAATAAAAAATATTTATAATGACTGCTTCCTGAATATGTGTCACCCCTATAAGAAATATTCATTGGAAGAGAGAATGAAAGTGATTTTTTTCACTTAACAGGGATATACATTCAGGCAAAATAGTGAAGAAACCGGATTACCATTTTCTACAGTATAGAATATAACTAATTGATATAAAAAAAAAAGAAAGATTGGTTGACAAAGATCGTTCCGGCTCCCTTAAAATATTTACTGAAAGACAAGACGAATGATTGTAAGAAAAATTAAAGAAAACTCAAAAAAAAAAACGCAATAAAAGTAACACAAGAAAGAAATTAACAAATGGAAAAAGAAAAAAACCAAGTCTGAAAGTCTGAGGATATTAAAGAAATATGGATTTAAAGCCAGGGTGAGTAGAAAAAAGTCTTATATAAGTTTAAATAATAAGAGAAAAAGGCTTTCACCAAAGAGTTTATTAAAAGACCAACAAATTACTGGAATGACCTAATTTTTGCAGATGAGAGCAAATTTAATATTTATGGATCGGATAGTAGATCAATTGTGTGGCGGAAACATGGGACAGAATTAAAATTTAATTTACAGTAAAAGGTTGAAACAGAAAAGTTCTTGCATGGGGCTGTACATGGCATAGGAAATTTGGTTCTTATTGAAGGAATAATGGACAAATTTGAATACATCAATATATTAAAAGATAATTTAAGTGCCAGTTCTGCAAAAATGGAAATTAAACTGACATTTAAGATTGAACAAGACAATGACCCTAAGCATAAGGCTCTCAGTCTGTACACAAGAATGGTTGTTTTATAATAGTCCTAAGATGCTTGAAACTCCTTCTCAGAACTCATATTTAAATCCTACTGAACATTTATGGGCTCATCTTAATTCAAAATTTAGGAATCATGATATAAGGTTGGTTAAAGATCTTAAAACTAAATTAATGGAAGATGGATGAAAATACCATCCCAATTAACTTTAAAATTGGTACGATCAATTACAAAGTTGCTCAAAGGTATTAAAAAAAAAGTGTTACATTCAAATATTAATATAAAAATTTTGACAAAAAAAAGTTAATGAACAGTTGCGTGAGATTTGTAATTGGTGCCCCGAGATACTCCCATGTCTCTCACCAATACACTGAGTTAAAGTGGCTCTTCCCCTCCATTCGAAGACAATATTTCCTAGGTACGTTCCTCTATCATATCATCAACAATCATTGTCCTTCTTACGCCTACAACCTTCTCCAATTCAAGTCCTCAATCCACTCCCTTTCCACAAGATCTCGACCTTCTGACCTTTACATTCCTTCTCACAGATCTGCCTCGTTCCAAAACTCCTTTATTGCTCGCTCTGTTAATTTTTGGAATAGCCTTCCTATCAAAATTCGGCATTCTTCATCCCTATCTACACTCAACACCCTCTTATTCCAAAAACAGTCAGATACCCGCAAACCTTTTATATAAAATTACATATTATTCATAATAATGTATTTACATATAGCTCATCACTTAAATACTTATTATCAGATTCGACTTTCTCTTTTTTTCAACAGAAACACAGAGTTTACTGCTAAGAAGAATGTAATGTATTTTTTATTTTTTCTAAGTGTATATTTATATTTTACCATTGTACATAATTTTAAGTGTCTTGGCAAGGTTTCAAGAGTTTTGCATATAGATTTTTTTATTTTGTTTATAGTATGCATAACTAATATTTTCTTTACTTATTTATCTCTATCTTTACTTTTTATGTTTGTTTTTATTTGGTCCCAGATATAACATCTTAATTTTGTACTTTTTTTGTTATTCTGAAGGGACTTCGTCCCAGAATACAATTATTTTCTGTTCTATTCTAACAATTTATGTTTTGAACAATTCTGAGCAAAATCTTTTGATGCTTTAAAATTGTAATATTGTATTAATAAGATATAAAAAATACATGTACTTTGTTGTTTAGCCAATTTTGTTGTGTTAACTAAATACATATCTATTGATATTATACTAAAATTTTGAAATAAAAAAAATGATGAAAAGAATTGTTATTGAATTTCCTGAATTTTATCGAAATTCCAATCAGTCAGTATATGAAAACTTTTGCTGTTCGCTGTATGTATATCTTAGGAAAAATATAAATGTCAAATAATAATGCAAAAATATATTTGCAGGGCCATGCAGTGATATACATAATAAAATATGGAAAGGAGTATCAAATGATGAGAAGTAAATCCATATATTATTCAAAACTAACTAAAAAATTTAATTGAATATGATATTGTTTATCTTAACAACATATTAAAATATCTTAAACAAGACCTCAGGACATCTATCGATTATTAATATCGAATTTTGGTTGTAGGTCTGAAGCAGAATTCTAAATTATTAACAAAAACAAAGGCAAGTTTATGATGATAAAATTCATACTGCATTTGAATGAAAAACAATTCACATGTTATTGATACTAAAAATTTTGATAATTTTTCACGGTCCCTATTAAGTCTGGTCTTTGTATGTCAATTCCATGTTTATTGAATAATCCTTAGATAGATTATTCAAAAAAACCTGATATTAGTTATTCAAATGACAATGACTAGCTGATCCAAAAAGGTTAAACCATACTTAGTAGTTTCAAATAAATTATACAATAAATAATTTAGAATAATTTATAAGGAAAAGATAATTAGTAATATAAAACCACAGTTAATTATAGACCAAGATAAATATTATATTTACCAAGTTGATTAAAAATGTAATACTTAAAAGTAAATTACAATGGATAACAAAATTTAATATTAATAAGAACATCATAAACAAGAAAATAATTTGATTAATGGATTGTTTTGAATGGATACACCACACTAAAATAAAGCAGTGCTAATATGGGCTCATATCACACTACCAAAGAACATATAGCCACCAGTATAAATGAATATAAAAAGGTACATTCTTAGAATTAACTACTAAAATTAATTCAAAACAAAATATTGAACTTAGAATATAGCAGAGTTAGAATATAAATCTAGAATTTGAAGAAATTAAAAGGCCCACAGATAAAAACATAACTTGGAACACCCAAGTCATTATGGTAATAAAATAATATATAATTTAAGACAAAACTTTTACTAAAATAAAATCCACCCTTAAGAGTAAAATTTACGATTCTGAATTGTAATAGAAACAAAAAAATTAAAGTCTAGTAAATTGTTGTAAGAGGAAAAACATTACCTGAGTCTTGTAGTTTCATTGTCAAATAATGTTAAAGTGTAGTCAGTCAACTTTCCCTTGATGCATAATGTTCTAAGAAGTTGCTCCGAAATTTCAGAATGAAAATACACTTCATTATCAACAAATTGTAATTTAACTTCTTCAATTGGACTAACTTTTAAACTGTCAATATGATTATATTTGTTTACTGGTACAGAATCACAAAGTGCAAATAAGTTATCGCAAATATAATTAACACAAACGTCTTGTAGTGATGAAGGTGATATGTACATCATGTAAAGAAGAGTCAAGTTATAATACACCTACTGCCTGGACATTGAATTGAGTTTTTCAAGATAAAAATAATCAAATGGACCAGCTGGTCCACCATCTAAACTAAAAAATCTTCGATTAGGTTACGTATACAAGTACGAACAAGTCATATATAACTTTGCATTAATAGTTTGAACAATAAAAATATTAAAATATCATAGTTTTTCTAAAGTTCGTTGACAATTAAAGATAGACAGAAATTTGGAAGTAAAACTACTGTTATTTTCGGTGGCTTTTGTTGTGTCATAACCTTTATCAAAAAACCTCATCTGTCAAGTCTCCAGTGGCAATGGTGTAACAAAATAATGGATAAATTCGCAGTTGATATAGAAAAAGTGTTGGATGAATTTGAATATAATGAAGGTATAGTTTTGACTATGACTGCATTAAACTGTAAGAAGTCAACTTTGTCATCGCCTCATATTTTAAATTTATGTGTTAGGTAGAGAAGAATCTGTCACACCTGTGGTTATCAAGAATCATTCCTTGTCACGTATAACACAGGTATGTTAATGTAATCTGTTTAATTTTAAATAGTATTCGTGAAGTCAGTTTAGGATAACTTTAAAATTAATATTAAAGTAGTGTTATTGAAATATGTAACCTGATGTTTAATAAAATGCATTACTTTTTCAGAAACCACTGAGGCCACCTGCTGCAAGTTATCGAAGACCAACTTTTGAACCCATTAATTTAGCTGATGCTGATTTTGCAGCAGCAAATTTTTCTCCTTCTCCAAGTTATAATACTTCCGTTAAGCAAAGCTCATTTAAAGAAACAAGAAAACTAAACAGTAATCATGTTGACAATAAACAAACTGTTCTTCACTCACCTAAATACCAGAATGAAATTGACTCTACTGATGTTTCTCCGATCATACATGAATTGAAAGATAGTACCATTGATGATTGCACTGAAATAAATAAACAGATTCTTGATAATTTACATTCTGATGATAAGCCTGATTTGCTTGATTCTAATATTTTGAATCCTTCACAGATTCATATTAATGGCGATGAAACTGTTGATGCAAACAATCAACTTCCTGATATTACATCTGTAAGGAGTACAGTTTCTAAGGATGTTGATGAAATTCAACCAGTATTTGATTTAATTAAACCACATATTTCTGTATCTGTATCTGATGAAGAGGAACTTCCTCCTTTAGTTGATGTTGGATCAGTGATTAAAGAAGACATTCCTGATTTGCATGTTCGACCAATTTCATTTGATGCAGTAGATGATATAAGTGAAGGAGAGTTAGAAGATTACTTGTCTAATTTGGAAGTTGATGCAAATGACTCTGATGAAGGTGATAGTGTAGTAACAGATACTAAATTTGAAGATGCATGTGAACATGAAAATGCATCTAGCTCTCAAAATTTAAATGATTATAATAATATAGCTGTTGCAGAAGATACTGGAAGTGAGGCAACAGAAAGTAACATGGGTTTATCTGGGTCATCAAACAAAAATGAAAAAACTGGTATCAGTAATCAGCACGACAGCAGTCAAAAAATTGAATCTGGTGAAAGAGGAAACTCTGAACAGTTCTCTAAAATTGAATCTGAAAAAGCTTCATTATTACAGGAATTTCCTCCTGAAACAAGTTACGGAAACAAAAAATGTGAACTAGATAACATTAATTGTCGTTCTTGCACAAATAATGTGACATCCAGTAGTATAAATTTAGCTGGGGGAGACAATCTACCTAGTGAACCCCAAAAACAACAGATTGAGAGAGTTCTTGAAGAACCCATATTAGAACCTACTCTTGATATTTTAACTGATAAATTAAATATGGAACCAAAGCTAGTAGAGCAAGCTGTTTCCAATGAAACTCAAGTGCCTTTGACCAATAATGTAAATGAATTTCAAAATTTTGTTGTTGAAAGTAGGACTATTTCTGAAAATATGCAGGAATCAACTGCTCCAGTAGATAATGTTTCAAATTTTCATGAAGTTGATGCAAGTATTCCAACAACAGGACAGATTTATGAGCCAGATTCCAATTCACTTGATGAAAATAAGCCTGCTCGACCAAGTAGTCTTACTATATCTACTACTGTTGGTATTGATAGTGAGGAAAGTCCAACACCTACCAATACATCAGGTAAATTGTTTATTGAATTAAAATTTAACATCGCTTTGTTTTGCTATAAATGCTTACTTATTGATTACCTTATTTGTTGATGATATCTAGCTTGTTAACTGATATTTGATGATTACTTGTCTAATTTAAAAGGAGTACAGTTTCTAAGGATGTTGATGAAATTCAACCAGTATTTGATTTAATTAAACCAAATATTTCTGTATCTGTATCTGATGAAGAGGAACTTCCTCCTTCGTCGGCAAACATCGGCAAAAATTAAAATAATTAATATATTTTAATTTTTTTTATTTATTTGACCGCACCCTCGACTAACTCCTTCTCATCTGATATTTGATGATATAAGTATTCCATCCTGAGTAAAAATCTGTCTAATAACAACAACTCTAAAGATATATAATTGTTTTTTCATAGAACGATAGGTAAAATATATTGGGTTCTTAACAATCTTAATAATTTCTTTGCTTGATCACAAATTATTATATTGTGTTTAAAGAGTTATATTAAGTAAATTTTAAATTGATATAAATTTATAGTAAGAACTGCTTTAGAAATGTTACTAAATCTAATATGATCCTTATCTAATAGCTGTTGCTCGGTTGAGTGTTATGCAACTCCATACTATTTGCATGCAGTTTTTAAATTGCAGATCAAATATCTGTACTAATCTGTGTATTCATATGCAACTAGTCAGATTTTGTATTGTGTATTTTTGCATATTTGATTATAATTGCATGAATTGATTAGTTCAACTGAAGTAAATTTAAGACATTAAAGATAGAACTCCAGATCACAACCATAGGTTCGTTTTCAATCTTCAAACAATAGTGAAACAACAAAAAATCTGGTGTGGTGCGTGCATCTCATAACTTGTCTTATCATTCTAATTTGGATTATTACTAACTCAGATCCATAAATTTTTTTTAGCATGATGAGGAAGCCATTGAGAACTACTATTCTGTAATATAGCATATATGTGGAGAATTTTTTTCATCATTGTTGGTATTTTTATTAGGCATATATCCGATAGGTGTAGGTCTTTATATAAATATTAGTTATTATATTGCCTTGATTTATCTAATTAAATCTTATTTAATATTAGAGCTATAATTTATAAAAATCATACATATATAACAGTTTGTGCGTTCTTTGCCTGTGATATAGCTTATTATGATGTTGAGTATGAATAAAATAATCATAACATTCTGAATATGCTGGAGTTCTCTCGCTGATACTCTGAGCAGTCTTCATTCAACTCTTATTTCTCTTTAAATTAATCATCAAATATTTTCATAGTTTCTATTTAATCATTTTTATTATTATTAGATTCTGAAATTTTTTTTCACTTGAACTCCTTCGTGAAAAAGAAATTTTATAATTATACATTGTGCAGTGCAGGGATGCATCTATGGCTCTGATTTGCTCCTTTTCTAATGGCTTTTTCCAAGAAATCTCTTTATATTTGATTCACTTTTGTTCATTTTTTTTTTCTCTTTTCATTGTTCATAATAAATTTTAATTATTTCTTCATGCTGTTTCTTTATTATTTATAGAACATATCTTAGTGGTATTTATATTGATGAGATCGATCCACACAAGGTCAGGAGGGTGTATATATCACAGATTGATTCAACACATAGGATTTGCAGTGATTACAGGAAGGACATTCAATGCAATCTTCAGAGCCTTTGAGGATTATGAAAAAGCTGCAAGAAGAGCATGAAAAGAAATTTGAAACTTATTTAACTTCTGACAACTGATGATTGACAGAAGTAGTCAATGAAGTTATGTTACCACCATTTTAAGCATCAATGATCCACAGCACAGAAGGTCTCAAATCTTCAATGAGGACTACAACCAATTAACGCTCTACCTGCCATGAATCGACGGCATTCTATGTACTTATAATAATTATTCCTCTTAATACTATATCAAGGTATAAGGTTAGACACCCATTTATTCTCTCTCTTTTTTTTTCTCCTTCTTTCCCCCTGCTGTATCTTAGGGCAACCCTATACCAGTGGTACATCCAATTTTCTAACTTAACTATTTTTCCGCAAATTAGATTAGAAACAAGGAGTCCCCTTATTCTTGGAGTATCCTAGCATGTCTTAAAGGCAACAAATATCTCGGGTATTGCCAGAAGCCTGTCTAGTGACTGAGGAGGCCATTCCAACTAGGAGTACTCCACCGCCAGTGCTTGTCGGGTGCTAGTGTACATCCAACATTCCAAAAGCATGTGTCTAGCATCCTCAATACCTTCACAGTTAATTAAGGCTCTCTCGTCTATGAAAGAAGTGCAACTTCATATTTATGTTTCCATGGCCTGTGAGGAGCTGAACGGCCCAGAAGTTCGTCTCTATCCAGTCGTTCTCAATTCTTCTCCTAAAATCTGGGAAGAATTCGTGGGTCAGTCTTCCATTCTCGCAAGTATCCCACCTTCTCTGCCATTCAAAAAGGACTAGCTCTTCAATACTGTCAGCTCCCTCATTCACTGGCAATCTATCCTCTCTTTATCCTGTACTTAGTGATAGAAAGTTGGATTCTAAGGTCTATTGGCAACTGATCAGCAATCACCTGCAAAGCTGAAATTGGTGACGTCCTATATGCTCCTGTCACCAGTAAGAGTTAACATTCTTTTGTCTGATTGTATCAGTTTGCGACCCCAGGCTGGCACCGCATTTAAAGCGATAGTCAAGAAAGCAGCCTTATACAATGTTTCTCAGATACTATATATATATACTATATTTGAAACCCCATGTGATTCCTGCTATCATGTTGAGGCAGCTGTAACAAAGAACAGTTCTGCTCTTTATCTCCTTAAGGTGGTCAGTGAAATTACACCTCTCGCCCAATAGTACTCCCAAGAATTTCACCTCCTGAGATGGTTTTATTATAATAACTCCCAACTTTACTCTGGGAAGTCAGCGACTTCCGCTGCCCTTGTTTCCAAATTTTGTCGTGATCTCGCCTCTATCCCAACTGCAAAGCTATCCATGTAAGCAGATGGCATGTACCAAGTAGCTCTTAATTTAACGAGGAGAGGGTTCATGTTTATATTACATAGAGGGAGTCCCAAAACTGATCCCTGAACCCTGCTGGACTGATCTCTTAAATCTCCTTCCTGGTAGTTGATAGAAGACAGAGCGCTTTGACAAAAATGATAGTATGAGGCTGTATGTATTTCTGTGACACTTTAATTTCTTTAGCTCATCCATTATCGCAGGCCAACACATATTATCGAACGTGCCAGAAACGTCATAGAAGAGTACTGCAAAGTATTTAGAGGTCGAGTCCTTAGCTAAAGTTATGACCTGGTTGATAGCATCTGTTGTCGACCGTCCTTTGTGACCTCCGAACTGATCACGAGAGAGCAAGTTGATTACGTCTTTCAGGTGTTGCAGTATCAGGCTTTCCAAAACTTTCCCCATTACATTTAGGGGGCATATTGGGCATTATGATTTCGTAGTAACCTCTGTTATACTTGGCTTCAGAACAGTAACTAGCTCAGCCTCTTCCTACATATAGGGGAAAATGCTTTCGTTTAAGCATCCAGGTACTTTTCGTCTTGGGGGCCGCTACTGACTGCTATCTGCCAATGTTTATAACCTGAACACTGATAACTCCCATAACGCAGTGATAAGCCTTCTTTTACTTCATATCTTCGTATATTTGTATTAAATTCGTATTATTGAAAGTGTAAACAGCTACAAAAACAGATGTAATAACAAAAAAAATACTTTTATTTGACGACACATATATTAGTGAAATTATAAAAAAAACACTTTAAGAAGATATGTACATATAAAACATCAAAATGAAATAATAAAAAAACACATTTAAAAGAACATATTTACATAGAAAAGAAAAAATACAAAACAAAATCTGTTTTATAAAAAGATAAAACATTCATCTGTTTCTCGGCAAACTCCACCAAACATCCACTGCTGAGATAAAACTCTCCCCACATGATTTTTTCGTTTAGAAAAAAGACTTTCTTTTACTTCAACCACTTTGCCAGGTCCTCCAATTTTTTTTCTTGGCCTGTATAACATGTCATGGGCACAATCAATTTTAAAGCTGTTAAAAAGTTTTGTGTCATAAGTCCTACGAAAGCATCTCCATTTGGCCTTCCTGGTTGACTTCATTCGATGACCTCGATCACACAATTTCACGTCGGCAAGTACCCCAACATTTTAAAAATATTGAAGTGCCGTTTCTTCTGAAGGCGGCAAATTCCATATTCTAAGAAGATCCATAATATGACGAAAAGAAACACAAAGGGGCCACAAACTAAAAAAAATGTAAAATAAACACAAATGGGTCAAAAGTAAAGAATTTAATATGTGAACATAATAAGGGAATAACTGAAAATTAAACAATGCAATAACTGAAAGGTTTGGCGGGATAAGAAGAGGGAGGTTATGTGACGTGACGTTAGATAAGATAGATAAGAAGTGAGGTTTCAGTCCGGCCTGCTAGACAAAAAGTACCAGCATCCATTATAGAACGCGCTTAAAGGGCTAATCAGCGCTCTTTTGGTATTCCTCAAGATATCGCCAAGACAGCTCCCTGTCTTCTTCCTCCCATAGAAGCGCATCTTCGTTTTTCGGAAATTCATTTCATGGCAATTCTCTTGTGCGTGTGGCCTTCGTTGTCTGATGTTAGTTCATCTTCAGGGAAGGATCTCTCCATTACAGCACTCACAGACTCATCTGCTGTTTTGGTTACATCTCTATTGTGCATGAACGATGTAAATGAGTTTCTATTCCAAGTCCAAGGGCTCTCCTGTATGCCAGTCCCCATGGACTTTTGCATTCCCATAGCTATTTATGCCACGTCTCCTTTGCTTTTTCAATTGCCGCTCGGAATCTCCTTTTCAGAGTGTAAAATACAGTTTTGAAGTTTTGTTTGGCATCAGCATCGATTTAAAGTGCCATGTTGCTCTATAAGTCTCGCTTTAGGCTTGTGAGCTGTGTGTTCCATCATAGTTGTCCCTTTCTTGTTGAATCTCTTTCTATGGGCAATACCTCCTTAGCTGCTGTGAAAATGCCTGTTGAGATTTCCGCTGCCTCTTCTAATTCCATATTATGGCGGGACTCCAGCTCTGTTAGGTACCATTGAATATTATCAGAAACAAACTCCCAAAACATTTCATATTATCAGAAAAAAACGTTACTTATGGTAATGCTTTCCTCGTCTGTTCATGTTTATTTCAAAGGTATCACTCAGTGGTCACTGCAGGTCCAATCCTCAACCATCCAGGCATCAATAAGTTGGCCAATGCCATGTGATACCAGAGTAATATCGATATATGACTCTCTACTATATACGGAAAATGTCGGCAAGGACGTGGAATGGTTCATAATAATTAGACCATTTCCAGCGGCGAATTCTTCCAGTAGTGTACCCTTCAGATCAGTCCGTGGGCAACCCCATAAAACTGAATAGGCATTAAAATCACCAAGCACAACCATATTTCTGCTCAATTTACCCACAATGTTTTGTAAATACATCTGTATATCTTCCAATATGCAAACTTGGCATAAACATTAATTAAATCTATCTCTCTAAATATAATACATTAAACGGCATTGAAAAAAATATTGTAATTGATTGTTTTAAATAATGTTTCTTACCGTCTGTAATTTTTACTTTCTTTACTATTTATCTTAAAATACTTATTTCTGCAAAGAGGGTGGTAAGTGAAAGTTGTGTGATGTGCGCGCCACACTAGATTTTTTTTTTTTCAAAATGATCTGTTTTATCTTGAGATGGTTTTAAACTATTGAAATCCTAATCAGTAAAATGAAAGGTAAAATATTTTCAACTGGTTTACAGAATTTTGAATTTGTGAGAAGGTATACTTTTTTTCCATTTTATTTAATGACTCTTACAACATTATTCATATGTCATCTCCTATTTATCATCTTCTGTTCCTCCTATCTCCTTCACGCATACCTCTGTTCATCATTCCTTCCTTTATACCACTCTTCCATCCCCATTACTCACTCACACATGCCCATACCACTTCAGCCTCATTGTTTTGATGGTGTAGAGTATGGGTCTCCTAACTATGGCCCGCGGGCCAGATTCAGAGATCCTGCAAGCACCTTCAATCTGGCGCACGAATGTTTCTCTGATTACATGGTAAAATTATAAAAATAAGAAATTTAGCAAATTACTCACACAAGAGGTTACTACAACATTTATTGCATGTTTTTTTTTTTTTTTTTTTTATGCTCTTAGAAAGCTCATTTCACAGCAGCAATGTCATTTATAGAACCAGATTTTTTTTTCATCAAAAGCCATGGCCCGAGGGTTTTAGGTGGAAGTCTCAATGTGGCTTGCCGGCCAAAAAGTTTTGGAGACTCCTGGTTAGAGGATATTCTCCATTTGTTCCCCTCACTGTTTGAAATTTTTTGAAGATGAGAGACATCACATAATCGCCTTTAATAGTCCATTTTTAGAGCTAGAAATCTTTTTGATTGACTCTCTTTAAATGTCCAAGATTCGGCTGAATAGAGAGTAACACTATTCAGGAATGATTTTTAAATATTTTTTTTGTTTTTAAGGACCCTGATTTACTCTACAATATTGAATTTAAGGTTCTGATAATTATCTTACCGTTTCTTATGACCATATCTGATGTTCCTATCATATTCACCCAGCATCAAATGTAAGTATTTGCCTTGGCTATTGAAGGCCATATATACCGTTTTGCTTTGCTGACTTCCAGCCCCTAGCTTGACTATTCACCTGCTCATCAACACTTTAAAGATTGAATAAGCAATCATTTCTAATCTTTATGCCCTTATCTCTACATTTTTTTCTTCCATTCTCTTAGAGCTCTTTCTACATAAATGTTAAAGAGAAGCAGAGAAAGTGAACACCCTGTTTTAAACCTTTCATTATGAGGAAGCTATTACTAACAGAGGCTTCAGTTAAACATATGTTTTGGTATCATGATATATGCTTTTTACAGCTTTTGTAAAGTACTTATAGACTTATATTGAAGTTTATATTCCCAAAAAGTGGCATGAGTTCTTCCAGGTTGGTGGGCCTGTGTACCTGGATTTTATATACGTAAGTCTGGCACTAGGCATACTCTAGAAACTGAATTTCAACTAAATCAATGGAAATAGAGAGGGTTCTTAAATTAATTTTATGGTTGCTTATAATTCTTTTATCTGACAGCTTACAAATTAGAGCAAGCAAAAAATAATTAGGTTTAATTGTTTTTCAGGAAATAATATTAACAGTCCATTGGATAGGTTGGGCAAATATCCTCCTTTTTGGGTTCCAGATACTGAAACAGATAATTGTATGCAATGCCATAATAAGTTTACTGTTATACGTAGAAGACATCATTGTAGAGCCTGTGGTTTGGTAAGTCTGTTTTATATATTGTGACAATTGTAACAATCTGCCATCCAGGACAAGTCGTCTGTCAGTTGGCCTGCTCGTGGGTTAATTCAGAAATATAAACAATTTATTATTTTTCCTGCAATTTGCATTATTGGTTTTATTTGTCTATATATTTATACTCAATTTGTATTATTTTAAAACCAAAGAAAGTATCATTTTATGTTATTATTAAAGTTCAGCTTACAGAGGCTGTACAGTAAAATTATATCATTGAAATATTCAATAATTTGTATAAGGATTTTATTATCTATTGGATTTTTTTTACAGGTACTTTGCTCTAAATGCTGTAATTTGAAAGCACCATTGGAATACATGGAATTCATGGAAGCTAGAGTTTGTCAACCTTGTTTCAATGTAATATATAGAGGTAGGTGCTGTTATCTGATTATGCCTGCTGTTTAATGAGAAATTGATAAATTCCTGTAATTCCTTTCATAACAACTGTTTTATGAATGAAAAAAAAAAAAATTACATTATTATGTTTCATTCTCAAATGAAACTAGATTCTGACTTAATCTTACAAGTAGAAGTTACGGAGGTGGGATCACTGATTTCAATGAAACTATTTTTGGTGATACTAGGTCGAAAATTATTAGACTCATGTCCGAGGATTCTTGCTAATGGGCCATAGGAGCCAAGAAACATTTAGAGATGGGGAAAACAAATATCATCTTTCTTCATCTCCAAAAAACATATTTGATAATATAATCTGTGTATAATATGTACAATAAATGATTTATTCTTATTTTCGAATCAAATCTCGACAAAATACTAAATTTTGTGAATGTAATCCTATTTTCGATACCCATCCGGTTTATAAAAATATGTATATTTGGCATACAGCTGTAGTATGAGTAAAATATTGAAACAATTAATATTGACTTAAGGAGTAAAGTACGTTCAAATATTTTTTTAAGCAGAAACAAAGTTAAGATTTGTATTTCGCATCTCGAAAAACCCTTAATACGGATTTTCATATCAATATCGAAAAATACAAGTTTTTTGCTTTAAATTTTCATCTTGGTTCCATTTCCTTAGATTTCTTTTCCAAATATCACAAAAATTGTGATTACTTCTACATGGCTCCACTTATTCACGTGAAAATTGGCATGAATTTAGAGGCTTATAATATACACAAAATGCCACAAACCAGGGACCTGCAAATAAATTAGGCTTGGCGATAAAAAATAAAAACATTTAGGGAGTTTTCCTACATTCATTCCTTATGAATGTGTAAAATGTAAAAGTTATTTTGCATTTGGTTTTTAGGAGAAATAGATTAGGTTTCCAACGTTTGTAGTAATGTTGACTTGGGAGAAAATTCTCGTATATCCGATCGTACATAAGAGTTTTATTTGACCCTAAATATGAATCTGAATAATTTTTTCATGATAAAAATTTACTTGGAATTCTTTACTGGTAGCATCAATGGGTTTTTGTATTTTATTATAAGTAAGAATTCGTTAAACACAATTAGCAATATGTTTTTCTTATTTTACACAAACAAGTAAATCAAGTGATGTATAATAACTTATAAATTCATGCAGAGCAAAGTTAGAAAACAGTATTATAATAAAATTTTATAAAAAAAAAAAATTTCTCGGCTCTTAGAGCCCATTAGCAAGAACTCTTGGACTTGGGTCTAATAATCTTCAACCAAGTATAACCAAACAAAGTTTCATTGAAATCGGTGACCTCAGGTTCGTAACCTCTCCTTGTTAGTATTGCAATATTATTATATACATCATATCGTCAGTTTATTGCAAAGAGTGATCAAGTGATATTTCATTAAATTATATCGTTAACTACTTTAATGATTTTCTCCCTTTAAAATCAGATCATTATGCAATTAATTTAACTATATTTATATGTATAAAAGATTTTTTTATTTCATTTTGATGCATTTACTGAGTTCTTGTATTGATAAATAATGTAAAAATTCATAAAAACATATTTCAAAACATAGCTCAATCTAAAATGTATTTAGTGATTTTTTGAAATGAACTGACAATATAAGCCTTACATTTGACAGCTTTAAAAGACTTCTTAGAGTCTGCAAAATGCTGCTGCTTCATTTCTGCTTCTGTTTTAGTGGTAGATTCATTCATTGGCTTGCCTCTTAGACCATTCCCATTTCATATAAAATACTTAGATCTGTAGTTAATATGGCAGTCTTAGTACTTTTACCAAACTCTATGCTGCTCAAGCATTATACCTTTTGATAAATAATACTTTTACTATATTGATAAGCTGTTCTGATATCTTTAGTTTCTGCTGTGAATCAAATTATTCTGTTGACTCTTCATTCATCATCTGAAGGATTCTCAAGTGGACTTTCTATAATTCCAATACTGTAAGCCAGAACAGACTTCATACCTATCACTAAATAGGATTAAAGCACAAACCTATCTTTATAGAAAATTGTATGATTTAACTTGTCTATTCATGAGTTCTGGGACTATTTACAATCGGATGGTTCACCTATTAGCCTATGCGGATGATGAGGACATTGTGGGGCAATCTGTTAGAGAGGGATTTTTAGCTTTATTGGAGGTCGCCATACTTTTGCTATATATATATATATGTGGTGCTATTGTATCAAGTATAAAATTTGTGTGGTCATTAAGTTTTATTTTCAGTTGTAATCATGTAATCATTGATTATGATTTTGCCCATCTCTGATGAACTGTCATCTCATACGATAAAATCAGTTGTCAAATTTTAAAAAAAGATGCTGAATAAATGATTAATATTACTTTTATGATGAAAGATCATTAACTAAGCACATTTCTTCTTTCCATAATGTCAGTGATAACTTAAAACCACTATTTAAGTAATTAAAATATCAAACCTCGATATAATTAGTTATGCATATGATATTATAGTGCCAACATTTTATATCAAGAGGTATTTGTAGATGTTGACAGTAGTTTATTTAATTATTATTTAATTTATTTTGTATTTACTGTAGTGAGTTTAGAAGATGATAGATATAATTTAGGAAGGCAACCCAACCCAAACAATCCAATGGAATATTGTTCTACTATTCCTCCTTTACAACAAGCAGCATCAACGATGAATCAGCCTCCTCCTTCTGTGTTGGTACCAACTGGTGTTTTGAAGCGTGAAGGTAAACTTTTCTTATCTGTATTATTCTATTTATTACTATTGTTTTAAAATTATTATTGGTATAATTTGTATGTTTTTGAAAGTAGATAAAGAAATTATTCACAAAAAAAATCTTTTAGAAAGCTGTACAGACATGGAAAGTAGAAAATTAATTGTTTTGTTTTTAATGTTACTTGAAGGATTTTTACTGTTTGAATATCTCATTTATTATTTTTATCAGTAGATGTATTGTTGAACACATTTCAAATAGTTCAGTTTGTTGGGGTACTGCGAGAGATGAAATTAAATTACACACAATTAAGAAGCCTTATTTTATTGTGTGCTGACGTTCAGCCTAAGTTTTAGGGTTTATCGATGTAAAATGCTACAGGATCCTGAGGAAAGTGGCTATTTGTGTGTAATTTAATTTCATCTGTAACCACACCCCAACCGACTTATTCTTCTATTTATTTATTCTGTATGTGTAATAACTCGTTTAAATTATTTAAAAATATTTTCATAATTCTAGGTAAATCTAAGTCGGATGTACCAAAGCAAGTTATATTTAGTGATGGGATTAGGCCTGGTGGTGATCTGACTGAGTTAGATGGATCATCTGAGTCTAGTAGAATTGTTCCACGAAAAGGTACTAGAAGATTAGCCAGTCCATCTGTCTATGGTTAGATTTTTTTTTTTTTTTTTCACAAGATTTCTAAATTTATTGATTATAAATCTATTTGAATATTTATTATTAAGAAGAGTTAAAAATACATTCCAAATTTTCATTTTTTATTTTGAAATTATTTTTTTAAGTTTAAGTAAAACTAACCTTTGTAAATGGTATCTCTGTTATTTTAAATTTTGTTAATTTGTGTTTGGGATAAAATTTTGCTTCTGACTTTAACATTGCTCCTAAGATGCTCCCATTATCTATTAGTCTGTGTTGGTATAGTCCCCTGTTTGTAAAATTATTAACATCTTTCTAAAACTCTGTGAATAGCTTCATCTCATAGTGACCTGCAACTTTTTTATTTACGAAAATTTTTGGAATTTGGCCAGTTTCAATCTGAAGATCAGTAAGTTTCGTCTATTTAATTAGGTACTAAAAACTCATGAACACCCATTTCCTGTCCACTTGAGTTATAAGATAATTTGATTCCTAAATTGAGAATAAAGGTGTCCTACGAAAATATTGGTCTATTTGGCATGATCTCAACTCCCAACATGTCAGTATAATAATAATAATAATAATAATAATAATAATACTTTATTTATTCAGGGACGAATTCCTTTAGAATAATACAGGAAGACAGAAATGTGGGCTAAGGAGCCTCAGAGATATGTAAACAAAAATACAGAGTAATTAAACAGTCATAGTAAAAAAATATAAATTACTTTCTAATTTTAATCAGTTAATAATAAAAAATAAAAGATGAAGTAAAAATTATGAAGGAAGGAGATAGTCCGGGGTGCTGGTCATAGGCTAAATAGTGGTAAAACTATTTTATTAAAGCCAACGTTTCCGACTTTGCAGGTCTTCTTCACGGCTAGAACGGACAAGATACAAAAAGATAGAGAATTGTGGAAGTTACATAATATTTAGACAAAAAAATATAAAGAATGTGAATAAGCTTATTAAAATTATAAACAGTAAGTGCATTAAAATATAAGCAGAGTAAGCTAAGTAACAAGATCCTTTTAATGTACTTACATTAATTATGGATTTTAATGTACTTACTGTTTATAATTTTAATATGCTTATTCACATTGTTTATAGTTTTTTGTCTAAATATTATGTAACTTCCACAATTCTCTATTTTTTTGTATCTTTCTGTTCTAGCCCTGAAGAAGACCTGCAAAGTCGGGTCGAAACGTTGGCTTTTAATAAAATAGTTTTACCACTATTTAACCTATTTATGGCCGCCACCCCGGATCATCTCCTTCCTTTATAATGCAACGGTCAACTATTAAATATACAGTAGAAATAATGAAGAACGAACTAAGAATTTATATACATATTTACAGTAGTATCTATTTACAATTTCATGGGAACTGGATGGATAAGAAATGATTGAACAGGCGGGATTTAAAGGGAGGAAGGGTGAAGGGTATTGGATTGACGAATGTGAGAAGGGATGGAGTTCCAAAGGGATGAGGATCGGACAATGAATGATCTGTTGAAAGTAGCGGTTCGGTGGGCCCTTATGTATAAATCAGAAGACCGGGAACGAACAAAGGATTTGAATTGAAGGAGCTCGGAGATGTATGAAGGATGGATGGTGGTATTGGATAACTTGAAAGAGAAAGGATGCCAGGAAATATTTACAGCGGTAGGAAGGATAAACCCACTTCAACTCTGCATAAAAATGGGAAACAGGGGCGAGGCGTCCCTTGATATCCTGAAGATGAATCGTTCAAAGCAATTTATCAAACATTTTAGTTTTGCCTTGGGAACACCAGAGAAGCCCCCATATACCGTACAGCAATAGTCAAAGTGGAGAAAAATTAAGGAAATGACTAAGAGCCTACGGGTTTCAAAGTTAAAATAGGTGACGAGAATAATTTAGACGTTTTAGGGTGGAATTAGTACGACTGGGAATATTGGCCACCTTTTTTTTTTTTTTTTTTTTTAATGTTTTGATCAGATTATCTTAGGATTCTAATGGAAAGTAATTGTGTTTTATGATATTTTAGTACCTAATTAATTTAATGAGAAAGGTCCATTTCTGAGAATTTTTGTAGATTAACAATTTATTAGTTACAGTGAGATGAAGTCATTCATGAAGTTTTAGACGGATGTTAGTAATTTGATGAAAAGTGGTCTGTACCATGGACTACATCTTGTGTCCCAGAATTATTATAACCAGCAGTCATATGTTTGCTTTTTTTTTTCCAAAAATTCTTTTGCTTATTCTAAATTGTTGTTTAATGGAAAGATTCACTCAAATTTATTATTAATATTTATACTATGTAAATTTTTAGTTATTATCCAGTATGTCTTAGCATAATCTTTAGGCATTGTGGCAATAATATCCGCTGCAGTATTTGCACATATTTTTACAAAGTAGATCTAACTTCCTAGGAGCATAAGATCTTTATTTTTTCCTTTACATCCTACCTGGCCATTTCTAGCATACAAAAGGAATGTACAGAGAACTAACTTATTCCAACCAGAGAGGGAAGATTGAGATCATTCCAAGGGTCCGCCATTACATAAATTATAACCCATTCTAAGAGTAAGGTTGGCTGACGCCTTAACACTCTCAACCATCATGGCCTCAGTAGTATGATACTTTTTTTTTTATATGTCTCCTACCCGCCATTTCTGGCACACAGAGTTTCGGCAGTAATGGGTTGATACATTGGATATACGTATGCCTGCTACTGCCAATAAAATACTTTATTATAAATTTTCTTATTTTACAATATTGTAGGGTGATTTAATTTGGGAACAATTAGTTTTAGGTTATAACTGTAGTGCAGCCCGTCCACAATGTGCACCTTACTGATGGCCGCACCTAATCTCTGTCGGATCGCCCTCCTGGCTCTCTGCAACCGGCCTAGTCTGCATCCGTTTGGGTTACCGTCTATCTCTCCTGGTGTGCCGCATCCATCCGGATTGCTGTCCAGCCATTATGGTCCACCGCATCCGTCCGGTCCACACCTACCTTCTTCTTATGCCTCATTCTCATGTGCCTCGTCGATATCGGGGGACAGGGCCTTACCATAAGTGAAGTGCGAAGGACCCACCACTTCCTCCCACCCGTAGACAAACTTTGAAAAATGGGTAGTTTGTTAATTCCATCATTCAGAGGAAGTCCGTTTCGGCAAGGGCGAAGAGAAAAGATACCTCTTTTCTTTTTTTTTTCTGACATGGGAATGTACCATAGCCTCAAGATGGCCTATTGTGCATCGTCCTTAATTCAATTAAAACAGGCCAGATGCCTTTTAATACTAATAGGATCTATTAGTTTGCGGTGCTTAGGATCAATGATACAATCACATCTAAAGTGAAAGTATCACAGTCTAGCCAAATTATCACATTTACAAATAATGTGATAATGATGATTATCAGTATTAGTAATGTGATACTGATGTTTATCAGATATGAGGTGATGCTGTTTCATCCTCCTAGCCTCACAACCTGCTGGTGGTCTCACTTACACTCAAATTTAAGAGGTGTTTGGTCAACAGTGACCAGTGTACTGTTCTGTCACACACCTAATGGTCCTCCTGTCCATTAGAAGAAGTGATTTACTTCTCTTGTGAAAGGGCCCTATTATGAACAACTTAGAATGAGTTTGTTTCCTAGTCTGTTCCTAGTGTGGTCTAAATTTGTTACCCACAATTGCTTTAATATGCCTTTTAGCAAAGCCAAGGCTTATCTCACAGATAGGCTCTGGTGCAACCGGCACTTGTGCAGAGCCTTTCCTAGTAAGGCAAGGCAATCGGCTTTCTCATTTCCTGCAATGCCTGAGTGCCCAGGCACCTATTCTACTTTCAAATTTTTGGCACTACAGAGAAAGTTCAGATTGCCTTTACATTCATCTACCAACTTGGAGCGAGTTGCATAACTATTCAGGATCCCAATTGCCGCTTGAAGTTCATCTTTTACTCCCTCCAACTTACCTCTACATTCTGGTTGACCATTGCCTATCATTTCTGTACTTCTTATTGTATTCATAACATATGTTGCTGACATACTTCATTTGTTAGATGTAATTATGGCATAGAAGTTTGCTCATATATTAGATTTTTTAACCTAGTTGTTAAATTGGAAATTGAGCTTCATCCAAATTTGTATATCTATTGGTCCATACTGTAGCGAATCCATTAAAGATGAAAAAAGGGGAATTTCTCCTTTCAAAATAACTGTTGAGAAAAAAAAATGCTCAAATTATGATTACTAATAGCACCAATAATCGTGAATAATTGATCATTTCTCAGAGAAGATAATTAATTACATCACCTATGCCTACAAAAATTGATTTTAAATAGTTAGATTATCGATTTATTACTATTTCCCCCATTGACATTACCAATTATAGAAAACTTTAAAAATAAAAAGTGTGCTGTATAACACTATCCATCCTAAAGGCAACGTAGATGTATATCTACTCAAACACATTGATAAATTGTTAACAAAGTTGCCATTTATAAATATTAAAACTTGTTGTAGTAGTTGGGTGCCTTCCACTACACATAATGGTTCCTAGCGTGTGCATTTCATGCATCAGTGCTCATTAACATAAGAGTATTGGGTTTCTTTCAGAGATGGAAGGTGCCAGATACTACACAAAATTTCTATACTATACTAAATAATTAACAAAATATTAATATATTTTGGCCTACAAAAATAGACTTCAAACTTATAGGAGATGATTCAAGAAACTGGAAGAAGATCCTCCGGGAGGATATAGTCGAATAGTGGAACCAACGGTGGTCGACGACTACGAAAGGAGCTATCCTAAGAAAGTCTTATTAATTCCCACTGTCAGTTCGTAACTAGAAGTGACATGTGTCTTCCGGGACTACTGGATCTCACAGGGCATGGGGATTTCTGAGCAAAGCTCTTTCAGTATGTTATAAATATCGATCCCCTATGCCCAAGTTGTGGGGTACTGGAGACCGCTGAGCATGTTGTACTTATCTATACCGCATGAATCACTGCGGTAAACTGTTACTGAGGAAGTCAGGTCTCTTTGTCCTAACACAGAGAGATATCTTCCTCAACTTATGACCACAGACAAATATGTGCACTTCTTAGATTTTATATATGGATGGAAAGAATTTGTATTACCAACCCACTTCTCTCTGGGAAGAAGAAGAGAAGCTGCACCGAGAAGCCACCAGAATAAATAGAACAGAGGCAGACGAGACACAAGTGAAGAGAAGAGAAGCTGTGTGCACAGCTGAGAAAGAGAATGCAATAGTTTAAAAGCAGCAGTGGGTTGTTATGTAACAGTAATACCCCACTGCTGCAAATACCCATATTGCCCAGAGATAGGGGAGGGTTAAAAATAAATAGATAAAAAGACTTAAACCTTATTTTTAAAAATTTGACTGTTTATTTTTAGCAGTTTCATTTGTAAATTTTTAAATCTTACTGTCCATGTTTAATGTTTTTTATTTGTTTGTGATCCTTTATTTTATTACTAATAGCTTGATTTATTTAGGAGCCAAATCTTCAGCTAAAGTAACAAGAAGAAGTATGGATCCTAACACTCAAAGTTTTATTTCTTCTGATTCTGGTTACCCACCAATAGCTAGTAATGAAAATGGTGAATTCGTTTTTCACGAAGATGTGCTTGAAGTTACCAATGAACCTGTTAAATTTGCTATTAATTACAACTTATTTGTAATTGTGAAGAAAGTGAAATGTAAGGTTTTATTTTGATGTGAAATTCTTTTGCAATATTTTTTTTTTTTTTTTTTTTTTTTTTTATGCAGATTTATTTTATTTTAGTGGAGTGTTGTGTTAATCGTGAATGTTGGAGTGCATGTTCAGATGGGCTAGCATGCGTAGGGCAGGATGAAGTTGGTATTATTCTCGAATGTTTACCAGATGAAGTGTTTCCTCCTCAAGACATTTTTCATTTAATCAACACTCTACACTTGGAAGCATCCAAAGGTAATTCATAGAGGTTTAATTTAACTGGATTAAACTATACATTTTTAGCCAATGTTTATTAATTATTATTATCCTTGTCTATTAATTATTAATTCATCTTACCTGCTTTTAAGCTTAATTATATTTATAATTTAATGTAGTCTTCAGGTGACTATAATGAGAAGATAATTTTATTTATATAAATAAATAAATCTAAATGTAAAGATTGTATCTTTATCTCAGTTCTTATTATACCTCTCTATTAAGGTTAGAATAGTACATCTGTGATTATTTTTTGTGGCTTATCTATAAGTTAATAATGTTTGTTTATGATAACAACAATAATTAATACTCTGCTGAATGTTTTCTTTTCTCTCCTACCTCACCTTTTTGGCTTTATAGTTTTTTCCCAGGATTGTAGAGGAGGTGAGGGTAGGGAATTAATACCAGCTGCGGGCACTGAGACTTGTACTCTTGATCTTCAGTTTATCAGGATGCTGGACAATGTGTGTTTTTGCACAAGTTTTAGCCCATTTGACAGCCATGCCCCTCTTAATGTTTTAACATGAATAGTACAGTCAAAATAGGGCTTGACTCCAACATCCAAAAAAAAAAGGTGAAAATTGTCGGAAATTGTTCATTATCTTTAATAACTAGGAAAAAATCCTGAAGTTCTCCGTGTTAGGTTTTGATAAGAGGAAAGAGAGGAGGGGAGAAAATTTATTTTGTATGAATATCTGAAAAACTATGAGGTTTATCGAAAAGATTATCCTCTAATATTCTAATTTTTTTTTTTAAATTACCCTATGTTTTTTAGTTTATTTTTATTTTTTTTATATATATATTTTTTTTTTTGCTAACTTGAATATTTACAGAGATATTTAAGGGATTGAATTTATAGAATTGTCACATTAAGCAAAAATTGCTTGAAACACCATGAAATAGTTGTTCATAATAGATGATACCATTGAGAGGTTAAATTTGTATAAATATGTTAAAATTTTCAATCTCTTAAAATTAAAGTAAATTGTGATCAAAAGTTTCTTGCGTTTAATAACTCATTGGCAAAATTGACTGCAAAATAATATTTGATATCAATAATTTAGGAATTTTTTAACATTGATGCAACATATTAATTTTCAGTAATTTCTTTTGGTTTTTAAATTAACTAAGTATCATGAGCATTACATAAATTGGCATTAGGTTTTGGTAAGGACAGCATGAATGGAAAACTCATTTATTGGCAATTTTTTTAATATCACAAACTGTCAGAGGAAACATGGACAAGAAATAATTATCAAATATGTCCTCTTAAAGCAATAAAATTATAAACTGTATTAAAATATTTATATTTTAAATGTTAAAACAATAAAAATTTTATTGGGATTTTTGATAATGCTGGGATGTTTTTTCAACCTCATTTAATAAACTCTAAAAAAGAATTTTATTGTTGCAGCAGTGGGATGGAGTACAGTACAATTAAATTGGAATTGTATAGGCTATTTTATAATTTTTTTAAGTAGGTATATTCAGTGGTATAAACAGTCCAAAATACCACCTTTTTTTTTAAATTATTGTAAACAAAACATAAATCTTAGTTGAGGAACATGATGGTCTGGAGTGGTGGTCACAAAAAGATAGAAAATAATTTTTTCACCCAGCATCATCTCCTTCCTCAATTATTTACAATGGTTAACCATCGCATTTTCAATAAATATTAGTATTAGAAACCTTAAGTTGGTCACTTAATACCATAAGAATCAATTTCCATGATAGAGATCCCAAAAAACACTTGGTGCATTATTGCTTTAGATTTTTGAGGTAGGATTATTTTTTATTTATTAAAAATATCATAATTAATTTATCAATTTAATTTTGTACAAAATGATCATTTCACCTCATTTTTTTTTTATATATTCACATAAAACTAACAAAATATCAGTTTTCTGTCTTTCTTCCTCTCGCCTCGTCAAGTGTTAGGAGCACTAGATCACGACTCACCATCTCTTTGTCGACTAAAAGGCCGCATATGACAATATAGATCGGATAGAGCTGTACCAGATTCTTGAGAAAATGGGAATACCTAAAAAGCTTACGCAACTGGTAAAAATTACCATAAAGAACTCAATATGCGTAGTACGTATTGGAACCGATGTTTCGGATTAGTTCTGCGCAGATAATGGAGTGAGACAGGGAGATGCACTCGCATGCCTGCTCTTTATCCTAGCTGGAGAAGGAGATGTCAGGAGATCAGGTTGGTGAGACCTTGTTCAACAGACTGGTGCAGCTGCTGGATTATGCTGACAACTTTGACATAAAGGCCAGATCCAAATGAGCCCTAAGGGAAGCATTTCTCACCCTTGAGGAAGCTGAAAGAAAAGCTGGATTAAGAGTAAATCAGCAAAAAACAAAGTATATACAGGTTAAAGGGCTAGGAGACTACGATGAATACTTTGAGGTAGGACAGTAAAGATTCTAGATGGTCAATAACTTTGTCTACTTAGGAAGCGAGATAAACTCCCAAAACGATATCTCCCAAGAAATTAAGCATAGGATAATAACGGCTAACCGGTGCTACTACAGCTTATCCAATAAGTTCAGGAGCCAGTCTATTTCAAAGAAGACAACAATTGACTTATACAATACCATAGTCCATCCAGTGCTGATTTATGGATTGGATTAAGAAGGAAGATGAAAAACGGCTCTTGGTGTGCGAAGGGGCAATATTAAGGAGGATATATGGAACCATCAATGTAGACAAGACATGGAGTAGACTAAAGAACCAAGAATTGTATGGACTCTTTGAAGATATCTAGATCTTCAAAGTCATAAAACTTTGATGGGCTGCCCATCTAGCCAGGATGGACAATGGTGAGATTCCGAAGAAAGTGACCACTGAAGTGATCTTAGGAATGAGGAGAGTGGGGCGACCAAACGTAAGGTGGATGGATGGTGTGACTGAGGATGCTAGGATTCTTTTAGGCGTGTGGGACTAGAGGGCTGCTGCGTAGGATAGGGCCAACTGGTGAAGGCTACTTGAGGTGGCCCTACTTGGTTTCGAGTTGTTGCACCGTTGTGTAGGTATGTAAGTTAGTAGCTTAATACCGTAGGAATCAATTTCCATGATAGAGATCTCAAAAAAACACTGCTGCTTTATTGCTTTAGGTTTTTGAGAAATGAGTATTTTTTATTTATTAAAAAATTGTATGTCATAATTAATTTATCTATTTAATTATAAATTGGAATACTGAGTGCAGTGAAGCATTCAAGGCAAAAAATAGAGTGTCAAATAGATACAAAAAATCCAAACTATTTTATGATCTGCTAGAATTTAAGGAACGGAGAGCCTACGCCAATAAAACTATAAAACAAAGTAAAATATAATGTTGGAAAGAATATATGTCTTCAATAAACAGTCGACTAGATTTCAACTAGTATGGTCCAAAATTAGAACAATAAAGGGATAACAAAATTCACAATATCAGGTTTAAAAACACAAAATGGCAGAAATAACAACAAGTACAACAACTAATAATAGAAAGTACTGAGATAGCAAATGAACTAGGATTCTTCTTTCAAAATATGTCTGCCACTGAAAATTACGACCAAAGTTTTGTTACCCACAAAAAGTTGACTGAATGCCAACAGATAATCAAATTCGAGGATATGGAAAGCTATAGTGCGATATTTACCATAGAGGAACTTAATAATGTCTTACTAAAATGTAAACCAAAATTAACTCCTGGTCCTGATCAAATTCCATATTTATTCCTAAAAAAAACTCCGTATTAAAGCCAAAATTTATCTCTTAAAATTTTACAATAATATTTGGGTAGAGGGAACCACATCTGGCTTATGGCACAAATCAATAATCATATTGATACCTAAGAACAAAAATGCAATTAATCCTGATTGCTTTCGACCTATATCGATTACCTGCTCTACTTCGAAATTAATGGAAAAGATGGTCAACCTAAGGTTGACAGACGTCCTTGCAAAAAAGCATCTGATCGACAACGAACAATTCGGTTTTGTTGAAAATTATTTAACTGATATAACTGGAATCAGAAATACAAACAGCGTTTAAAAAAAAAGTAGATTTAATTGCCATATTCTTTGATATTCAGAAAGCATACAACAGAGTATGGAGATGATATATTGTGAACAAGTTATAGGAATGGGGTATAAAGGGAAGGGTGGTCAGATATATTGAAAACTTCCTACAAAGAAGAGTTTTCCAAGTCAAAATTGGAAACCAGCTATCAACCACTTTTATCCAAGAAAATGGGCTACACCAAGGATGAGTTTTAAGCGCAACTATTTTTACAATAGCAATAAACGATGTAAAGAGTGTTCTGATGATCATCATTACCACTGAAAGAGAAATTTTACCATTCGTGGAAAATATACGTTTTAAGGAATTTGTATGTTGTTTGCAGATGACTTCACAATAATCATCAGAAGCAAATATATACAATTTATAGAATGGAAAATGAAAAACATCTTAGAATCTATAGAGCAATGGACTAAAATCACCGGTTTTGATTTTCAACGACCAAAACCAAGTGTGTCCATTTCTGCCAGAAAAGATACTGTTCTGATGATCATCATTACCACTGAAAGAGAAATTTTACCATTCGTGGAAAATATACGTTTCCTTGGGATGTGGTTGGATAGGCAGCTGAGATGGACATTGCATTTATGCAGTTTGAGAACAGATTTCTTTAAACTAATAAATACACCAAGAGCTGTTTCTGGAATGAACTGGGGAGCCGACAGAAAGACACCATTTATCCTGTATCGAACTTTAATTAGAAGTAAGATAGACTATAGAAGTATCGTTTATAATTTAGCCACTAAAAGAGCTCTCAAAATATTCAATACCGTCCACAACACTGCAATAAGATTATGCACCGGGGCGTTTAGATCCTCTCCCATTGAGAGTCTATACATTGAAAGTGGAGATCTAAGCCTAACTTTAAGAAGAGACTAGTTCATGCCTCATCTATAGTTTCTAAACCGGACCACTCCAACAATAGTTTGTTTACCAGTATCAGCACCAACCAAGTGTACTACTCTACTGCCATTACAAAGAGAACCCACAAAGTCCTTTTACAATTAGACTTCAGACTGGACAACATAATAGATTACGCTTTATTCCTTCAATGGAACAACTCTTTCATAAAAACAGACATGTCTCTTTCTAGGAAAATACATACTGACGACAACAATTTGTCAAAAAAAAAAATTATAGAAATGAAACACAAATACGTCGGACACACAACCCTTTATACAGATTCATCAAAAACAGATAATGATGGAAATGCAGTAATACTGAAAGATCAGTGCCTCAAATTCAATTTGTCCCAAATAAACAGTGTCTTTACAAGTGAACTATTCGTCATATATCACGCCTTGTTGAAGGAGTCGCCGGATAGAGACATCGTGCTCACTTGGGTACCCTCACATTGTGGCATATCTGGAAACGAAGCTGCAGATAGGGCTGCGAACCTCGCCAGAAGAAAAACAGATGAAACCACAACATCATGTTCAGCTAGCAACAACATAAAAAGGCTAAATAATCCTGGGTGGAGGAGAAGGGGTTCAGTACATGCCCGTTCAAAAATTACTTCAACTAATCCAATATCTGTCCTATCCAAGTATGACAATTCAAATTTATATTATTTGAGAAAATTCCACACACAATAGAATTGATTCCTGTAAAGTTTTTGGTAAGGATGATGATTTATATGAAAACGTTAGTTTACAATAACTTATCTATTATACTGACCAACAAAATATATTTTTTTTTTAATGTTTTCTAAATCTGATGAGCTCATTCTTATTAATGTTGTTTCCAGAAAAAGAAGTATAACGAGAAAAAATATTCTATGACCTTTTGTTTCCAAGATTCATATTGCATATATATATAATCATACAAGTTTGATCACAATTTGATCGAATTTATCAGGCAAAAGTACATCAATATCAGCTATTTTTCAACACTAAAAAGTTCAGAACTGAGGATAACAAAAGAAAAATTATTTACATTTTATTAATCCTATCCATATCCATCATTAAATCATATCCCAATATGTTTGAAACCACTCTCCCATTTCATTAAAAAAAGTATTACAATTTTGGATTTGTGTGACATTTTTTTAAAGTTAGTTTGATGAACAGTCAGCTTTATTTTCAATGAATAAAATTGTCTTATCTTTCAGGCACTACTGTGACAGAAATGAGCTACACTCCTGCCTTTTCCAGTGATCTTCTCGGCTCCAAAGATCATGGTGGTTTCATCTATATTCGACCGACTTTTCAGTGTACTACAAATTTGTTGTTGCCAGCTCAACCATATCTAATTGCTATTTTAGTTCATAGGTTAGTAAGTAGTATATTTAATTCTGCAATTAAATTGATATTTAAGGGTGATTTTCAGCAACCTGAAATTCCTTCAAAATCAGGAATTGTACCAGAATTTTACTTGTTTGGGAATTCCCTGACAGATCTTTAAAAAACTTGTTTGTATTGTACTGTATAGGTTAATTTTTTTAATATGAAATGATGAGTTCATGAGCTTTTTAACCTTCCAAAGCATAAGGCTAAATGAAAATGGAACTCACAGAAAAATTTGAAAATGTTAGTATAAAACCATCATGCTAGTTCAAAATTTTATTATTATTACTTTGCTTTCAATTATTATTTATTTTATTTTATTTTGCAGTAGGGGAATTTAGGTATGACTTTGTAACAATACACTACTGTATATTATGTATTAAATTGTGAAATTATTACAGTGGTTTGTACTTCTGCCAAGATTTTAATGGACCTAACCCGGCATATCCCTAATCACCACTGACATCGCATTAGAGGTACTAAACTAATGCGATTTATGAAAGCCTTGCTTTGTTTTGGGAGTTTCTTTAACAACCATGCTTCAATCTTTACTATCACCACACGTGTTACAAAAATTACTGCATTATGTTAAATGCCACCATCCCCAGAACTCAAATTTGCAATCTTCAGTTTAGCTGGTTGCCAAGCAACAACACATTTATTGCAAATGCATTAGCCCACTCGGCCATCCTGCCCTAACCAATTACCAAGTAAATAGTTCAAGGAGTTCACATTAACCATTTTGACAGTAAATGTTGATTATATTAAATTATAATAACAATATTAAAATAGCAATAAAGAGAAGAAATTACCACATAATTGCTAAATACAATGAAAAATAAAAAACTTGACAAATTCGTGAAATAGTTTTTCGAAAATTTGGAAGTTTTTATCAACATGAATATTATTACTTGTTTTAATATTTTTTAAATATTGTTTTCTAAATTTTAAATTTTTCTTAGTAAAATGGTATAGATTTGAAAAAGTAACTTTATTCTAGGACAAAGTCCCTTAAGAATGTCAAATGTATACAGAAAAATAAACGTTACTTCTGGCCATCAGGCTTATTACTCAGTAAATAAATAAAAAATAGTACTACGGACTACTACTAATTACTAATTAGTATGTTCGATATTCGTAGGTTTGCCGTTTTATATGAACCGAAAAAATGTATGTTTATTATTTTAATTGAGTCATTATGTTCTTACAGATGGGAAACTCCATGGGCAAGACTCTTTCCTTTAAGGCTTATTCTGAGACTTGGAGCTGAGTATAGGTACTACCCTTGTCCTCTTGTTTCAATTAGAAACAGACCTCCACTGTATACAGATATAGGTCATACAGTAATGAAAATTCTTGTGGTAAGTTATTAAACTTTTATATAAATAGTAGCTCAAGTAGATAATTAGAAATTTACATTATTAAATTACATTCATTAAATTAATTATTCATATATGTAAAAAAAAAAATTTTTTATATATTTATCTAATGACCTTAGCAGGAGTGCCCATCTCCCCCTCTCTTCCCCCAAGATCTATGGCCCATGGTGTATGATATAGGCCCATAATCTATGAACTAAACAATATTTTATTACTCTTCTCTTTTTAAAGACAGTTGAAGCAAAAGCAGAATTTAAAAAATCGTAGATCATATAGGATGGATGACACTTGCTGCAGTCTGTTATAACCTAATGATATTAGGGAATTTCAGGACGTCTAATGCAGCCGCTGTACTGCTACACAAGCAGCATATCTATGCACATGTGGCCATTTTAGACCTCCTCAAAGTTCCTTTTATTATTGACTTAGGAAATTTAATCATTGGTTTCTCAGAAGAATTTTATCTACTTTATGATGGTCTACTTAAAATTTGTCTTGAACAGTTTTTGAGCAATTCCTTCTTATTCAATAAAAACTGTGACTACCTTAAGACAAAGACAAAATTGGTCTTGACTCCTTTTCCATTTGGTATGGACCCATGCATCAAATGAAAATTTTTGTTAGAAATTTTTAAGACTCACCTCCGCTTCCTCCTTCTCTCCCCCTCCCCCTTAAGTTTGGCCATTAAGAACTGAGATACCCTGTATATTTCATATCACCATAATGTAACTACTGCTATAGATCAATCAAACTGAAATAATAAGGTGAATTCATTAATTTTGTAGTCAGACATTTTGAGGTGGGAGAGCTTGAATGCTTAATTTTGTATCATTATATTATTTTTTTTTTAAGGACTTCAGAAAATATAGTTACTCATTGCCAACTGTTCGGGGGTTATTAATTCATATGGAAGATAGACAAACAACTATACTTTTTCCTAGGAATCGTTATGACCAGGTAAGGCTACCATGTCATATGTTGCTTTTCTTCTAACTTATTATTTTTGTTTTTCATTGAAGTACTGAACTGTTTTATAGGTTATTAGAGCAATAAACAATTCCAATGAAAGTGTACTGGCTTTTGGTGCTAATTTAAGCCTTATTGCTGATTCGCATCTTGTCTGTATCCAAGGAACCAAAGATGAAAATATCTATCACACTCAAGCAATCAATATCCACAACAAACCCCGTAGAGGTAAAAAGAGACTGAGATAAACTATCTGATGGTTTTATTTAAGTAAATTGTGTATTCATTAACTACTTCTGTATAAGGTGGTTCTCAATTTAGCATGTATGTGTAAAAAATGGCTCTTTTTTTTTTCACAATATATGACTGTCTCACTCTTCCTATTCTCTTAATCAATCACTATGTGAGGAGGATTTTAGTTAGTTAGGGTAAAGAGAAAGCCTGGTATGATAGGATTAACGTTTAAAACATTCTCATCTCAGAAAGGGCCACAAACAAAGTGACCCATCTTCTGACTTCACATTAGGTAAAGGACAACAACACACAAGAAGGATCAACTCCCTAATTGTGAAGGGGTAATACAGCTGCATTTTTTCTTTTAAGGTACTATTTCGCTGGCGCGGTCCATGACCGCGACTGCTCGCGGTTGACCACTGCTTTAGTTGAATAGAAAGGAACCTATTTCGCTGGCAGTCTAGTCATGACATCATATCTAAGCTGTTCGGATCTGACTCCTCTTGAAGCAGTGGAGCTGTTGGCGGTTCGGTGGTTGTAGGTTATGTTATCATATCAGAATATTGTTTTGATGATAACAGTCACGTCGATACGTTTTATTTCCTATGTTTCTTTCAAGTCTGGCAAAATTATAACAAATATTGTTTAAAACTGAAACAATGCAATAGTAAATTATTTTTTTAAGGTTGAAGTAACAAGATTATTTATTTATTTATTCCACCAGCAATATTTTACAGCGAAATACAAATATACCTAAATCCAAACGATATTAAATGAATTAAAAAATCCAACAAATTTTATCGTCAGGTAAATACTAAAATCCACCCATTGAAAAATCTATTTGTATTTTTTAATTAAAGTGGTGATTTACTGATTACTATTGATAAAACTATAAAACATCGCCTGCTGGGATTTAATTACAAATATATGATATTTATTACTAATCAATTATGTATTAATTATTATTACTTTTCAAACTAATAATATCTAGTATCAGAGGGACTTTGATGATGAGCATCACATCGAAATACTGATATTCCTTCTCTTTATGAACAACATTTTCTGTTCTTTTTCCAACTCAAATAAAAAAGCGGTAGTCAGAGATGTTCATTATTATAGGATTTTCATTTTTATTATTATATTATGTCCATCTTTTTATCTTCAAAGATACAGCGAAATGTTTGAAGGTTATAGGCAGGTTATAACAACCGCAGTGAGCAGTTTCAGCGAAATAGGTACGCCAACAGCGGTAGGCAGCGTGGAATAGCGGTCGCTGTCGTGGACCGCGCCAGTGAAATAATACCTTTAGGGAATGACTCGAAGAGAGAAGAATGATTATAAAGTAAGTGGTAGTTCCTTGCCTAATTGATAAACAAAGATATTTCAGAATCTACTGACGATAACTAAATAAATGCTTATAGATGATACTGAATGATTACAGCTATCCAGCTTCTGTAGCCTTGTTATTCTTTAATTTCCCAATTGCATCGTGTATTTCCTCTTCATCTGGGGACTCTATGTAATACCTTATCTGCCCGTTCCAGGAAGTCACTTGGGAGTGTATTGTCTTGCTTCCCTGGAAAGCCATTTCATTCCTCACTTATTAATGCAGTACTCCGTTCCACATATTTTCCTGAGCCTTGGAAACTGTCTATTGTCAAAATGATGCATAAACCTAAAAAGCCACCTGAATACCCATCCTCTTACCATCCTATCTCTCTTTTACCCATCGTGGGAAAAATATTGGAAAAAATCATCTTAAAAGGCCTGTGTCCCATCCTAGATTCTTATCACGTAATTCCAGATTACCTATTTGGATTACGCACATCCCATTCCATTATCCAGGAATGTCATCGTGTGGTAGACGTAGTCTCCTCTGCATTGGAGTGCGGAATATACTGTATGGTCGTCTTTCTTGACATTGAATAGGCGTTTGATAGTCTGGCATCCAGGAATGCTGTACAAACTCCATAAATTCCTACCACCTTGTTATACACCATAAATTTCTCATTATCCGTTCCTACCTTAATGATAAATTTGTCTTGACACAGGCATTTAATCTCCATGGCCTGTCATTAATAGCAGCACGCAGCACTTCTTGAGGAAAGCACTCAACTGCTTGGATCAGAGATTGTTTGAGGCTTTCCAAGTTAGGGTATTCTCTGTGGTATGCCATCCTTTCCAATTCCGACCAAAGCCGATAATCTAGTGGATTGAGATCAGGGCTTCCTGAGGGCCAATCCACTCTTCCAATGACTTCCTAGGCTTCTTTAGAGCTGTTTGTGTACACATGATCATTTTGGCGATCAAATTTTTCTTCAATTATAAAAATTTTCTCATCGCTAAACAAAATCTTTTGATGAAGACCATTGGTGTAACGGCCAAGGAGCACTTTCCATCTATCCACTCTAATTTTTTTAAACTGCACCCATCCTAAGGTCACATTTTATTTTGCGATATATTGATCTGACCGAGATTTCCATTTTCCGAGACATGGTTTGTTGTTTTCGAATGGGATTTCTTCTTATTCGAGCAGCCACTGCTCTCACTGCATTTGCCGTTCTCATAGTGCAGGGACGGCCCTTTCGAGGTCTGTCACATACAGATAGGGTCTATTTATAGTGCGGTACACGAACATATGGCTGATACCCAAAGGTTTTGAAAATCTCTGACCTACATTTTCCAACTTTGTGTAAGGCGATTACAGCTATTCGGTTTTCTTTATCACCTCGCTCCATGTTAACATATTAAAGGTGGGAGTCGTAGTACCACAATTTATCTTGACTAGCATACTTTCGTCAAGATCCCCCATCTTTAATACGTTAAATAAGTGAAAGAAAAATACAAACTAATTGGGATTATTATTTTAACGTAAACAAAATAAACTGATAGAGGTTAGTATTATCTAAATAATACCCAAGAAGTTGTAAGTATCATGAATAAAAAAAAAAGGCCTATTTTTTTTTTTTTTTTGTATCGACTTAAGAAAGAATATAGTTTACTTGTTTGAATATACATTTCAAGTTAAGTGTATGCTAAAACAAGAAATTAGAATTTTTTAAATTAAAAAAACATCTTATGTTCTTTCTTGTTTTAGTAGTTTTTTATAATTAAATTTTAAAATGAAAATATTATCATTTTGTTGCAGTGACTGGGGCTAGCTTTGTGGTTTTTAATGGAACCCTTAAAACAGCTGGTCTTTCAGGAAAGAGCAGTATCATGGAAGATGGACTAATGGTTCATTTACCTAGTGACAGTATGGTTTCATTGCGCAATTCTCTCAGAGAGATGAAAGATTACAAAATTTCTTGTGGACCTAATGATGAAGAAACAGTTGTTCTTCAATGGACTGCTGATGATATTAATTTTAACATTGGGTAATTTTTTTACATTTATTGCTTCTGAAGTGATAATCAAATCTTAAAAAGATTTAATATTGAGCTTTCTGGAAACAAAGATTTGCTTCCTTTTCATTAACCGTTATCCTTTAAAATACTTCTTACTGATAGGTTACACTCTCCATTCCATGTCCTTGCAGGCATCTGATATTAGAAAATAATTACAGGACAGGTACATTACAGGAGAAGTGTAAGGTCAACAATAACTTCATCAGATGGAGCAATAGCTTAATAATGCAGAAAAAAATTATGTTTAGTAAAAAAAAAAAGTTTAATAATTAATCCTTCTGTCCTAACCTGACTAATTAATTCTTCTGTTCTAATCTGACTACTTAATCCTTCTTTACTAAACTGACTAATTAATCCTAACCTAATCTAAATGGTGCTGTATCCTATAGGTCAATTTTCAAACAGTTTTTTGTCTTGTGTAATCTGATAAGTTAATCTCATTGACAATATATAATTTGGTCACAGGTAAGACTTTTTAATTTCTGTTTGTTTTTAGGGAGGAGCTCTTTTATTATTGATAATAAAGTAACTGAGGAAACACATATCTATCATGCAACAATTTTTTTTTTTTTGTTGCTTTACATACATTAAATTAAGCTTAAACATTTTGGTTTAATTTTTATTCTATTTTTTGGTTTATTTTTTTCAATAATGAATCTTTACCAACAACCAAGAAAAAAATATATTAATTCCTCTTAAATTTGAGGTTTTATGTCCCAAACATATACAGAGTTGAAAAATCAAGTTTAAAAAATTTGTTCTTCAACTACTTTTCTCCAAGATTATTGGACCAATTTTTTAATGGTTTGCCTCAAAGGTCACAAGTCATCCTAGGAACTAGACATTACCATCTGCTGTTTTGTTTCCAAATGGGGGCCAAAAACTAATCTGAAAACACCTGTAGCAATTTTTATAAATCTTACATAAGGTCATCTTCTCCAGTAAGTTATTTATTTATATACTTCCCCAAAAAGAAGCTGGAAAAAATTGGAATAAATGCAACAAATTTATTGGTTGATAACTCAAAATTTACTTACTTTTTGGAGCTTTCTTTAAGTAATTTTTTTCATAATTAAGGGTAATTATATTTCCTATAAAAAATTGAGATATTTGTTGCAGAGACTTGGAGTTTTAATTTTTGTGAACATGTTCTTATCTGTCTACTAAATTACGCCAGATTAAAATTCTAAAGATATATATTTTTACAATGGTGTGGAAATAATTAACCATTGTGTAATAATTTACTGTTGGTTTTTTTTTTTTTTTTTAATATTGGAATCATCTTAGATTTTTTTTTCATATTATGAGTTATCATTCTAACTATTTTTATGTTTTATTTCATTCAAGAGTAAAAAGTTACATTGATGGAAAACCTCTTGATGGAGTACCATCAATTAGAGTTCACAATGGAACTGATCATCCTGGAAGTTCTAAAATTATTCGCTGGACTGAAGTATTTATATTACAGGTAAATAATGCAAGCTTCTTTTAACTTTAAGTGATACCTCTAATTTAATGTTTGAAAATTCAGTCTAGTATGTCTAGAAAAATATTAAAGGTAAGATATGGCAATAACATTGCTCTTTGCCTGATATTTGTCTCCCACAAGTGCTACTCAATGAAAATATTGCTATATTTGTAACTTCCACTATGAACATTCATTTTGAATTTTATACATAATTCTTTCTTATTAAATAAAGTTATCTTTACAAAAGCAAATTTATGTATTAGTATTTGGGAGGCAATATAAAAAAAAATTATTATTTAGGTGGTATGCTCTTATTCTTATTTTTTAGTTTAACAGCTTATATGGATCCTACGGTTTACCAGTCTACCTGATTAACGTTTTATTATTATACTTAATGAGTATTCCTATGAAAGAACTATTACATTAAATATCTCAAATTTTCATCTTATAAATTCAAAGTACAATCAATATTTATTTTTGGACATTTCTATTTGTAAGAACAGTAAATTACTATCAAGAAAACCTATAGAGCACACAAAATTGGTAAAGCTACATTTTTTATAATCAATGTGTTGCACTTAACTTATTCAGTGCAGACGTATGAAAGTATGCCTCATTCCTATCCTCTTGCCAGAGCCAGGAGATATAACTGTTTACATTAAGAGACTGTTACTTATGTTGTGTGGTGTTGGTGGCTTGCACACTGTGATTTTATTTTATTTTTTACATAAATTAGGCCATTATTCACCAACATTTTATTTATAAGCTATTAATTAGGACGTTTCGACCATACTAAGGGCCATTTTCAAGTCTTAATGAGTCCTCCATTAGATATTCATTATTAATGTCGCATTAATTTGTTCAGTGAAAATTTTCCCTTTCGAGGGAGGGAGGGAGGGAGGTATTACACTATAGAATTTACATTTAACTTTAATTTATGATGCGACATTCCACTAATATTCATAATGATTTCATCTCTTCAAATAATAGTTCCAATTACCTCAGTAAATATAAAAGTTTTCAATTTATCAAATACCAAAAAAAAAGGAAATCGTCTTTGCAAAAGAAAAAGTACTAAATGTTAAGACGATATATCTTTGCACCAAATAGTCCGATTTCAATTTTTTTTTTTTTTTTTTCATTTTGTAGGGAAGCAGAAGCTTACAAATAAATATTGATTATCAATAAAAAAATTGTGTGCTTTTTGAGTTATTCTCAAATAAAATTCTGAATTCATCGTAAAAATGTATGCAGCTTGTTTTTGAGAAAGTATGTTATATACATAAATTATAAAGGTTTCAAGGGGAAGACTTAAGCCAAGTTTCATTAAAATCGTTGCAGCCTTTTTCCCGCTACAGTCTAAAGCGAATCACGTTTTTTGGCCACTATTTAGAAAGGAAAGGCCGGATGATAATGAAATGCATACAGAAACACTCCTAAACCTGATTGCGAGGTTGTGTAAAAATTTCAAAGAAATCGGTGAAGAACTTTCAAAGATTAGGGGTTTTGAACTAACTATCAGTTATATTTTTATTTATATACACTATTTCATATGTTTATTTATTAATAACACTTAAGCTCGTCAATAGCTAATAAACTAAAAAGGAAGGAAGAAAATCGGCTGAATAATAAAGGAGAAAAAGGGGCTGAACCGTTTTGTGTTTGCCTATTTATATAATGATTCTGGGACTAAGTTATATCTCTTAAGAATAACAATAAAAGAAAAAATGATGATCAATTCTGGCTTTAACCCTGATTACATAACATTAAAATAAATACCAAAGTTTATATAGACATAAAAAACAAAAACAAATTTATTAAAATGCAGATAAGAAAAGGTGAAATAAAATATTCGCTTCTTAAATAGAATGATTCAAAAAGGTGATGATTTTTTATTGTTGTTAATAATCTCTAATTTTATATCAAAGAATATGAAATAAATGTTTTCATAAAAACTAAATGGAATATCACAGCAGTGAATATGTTAATAAGTAATTTACTTGGTTCACTGGAAAATATCTCTTCACATAAGCCGTAGGACTCAACTATCCATAAACTAATACTAACTTAGTATTGCTATCATTGATACCTATTGAGTTGGTGCAAAACAGCAAGGCTTCTTAGTTTGTAATTCTCTTAGTTATTAATAGTGGAGTGTAGGAGAGAGATCTGAATAAGAACTTCGCTATTGCGATATTAAGAATTACCAAGAAAATTAAAATAGATTCACAAAATTTTTTTTTTAAATATCTAGAACTTTTTGTTTATATTATCTGAGGTACACGAAGAGTTTCAAAACAGGTCTGCTTCTGTTACCTTTAGTAAATTTTTAGTTTCTCTTAGACTATTTTAATTTTTTAAAACCCAAACAACTGTGATTAGTATACCATGTCATCTAGGAAATATTTGGCTAGAATTACGGTTTCTCTGAAAAAAAAGAATATTTTAAGGCTTTAAAACGCATTCCAAGGGACTACATACAGAAATCATTTAGGTATTTCTCTAAATCCATTACCTCTGAGAGCTGGAAATGGTATCTCTATATTAGTATTATATAAGATAATTTCCATAATATGAAATTTGGGTAGTTGCTTTCTAAACTGTTATTGTTTTATCTTTTATTTATAATTTTTATTGATTTTTTGTTAATTGTTTAATTGCATTTCTTAAAACAATTTACATTAAATGGACATCAAATGATATATTATAAAATATGTTTACAGACTGAAGAAGATAGCAAAGCAACTGATCCAATTGATATCAGTAGAGTATCTGAATCATTAGCCCGTGCCACTTGCATAGCATTAGTTCCAGAATTAGACTCTTTATCTAAAGTGAATTTGTCAACTATTGCAGTAAGAGCAAATATTCACCCTGATAATGTAAGTTTTTAAAATTATTTATTCATTTATATATTTCAATTGATCTTTTTTACTTTCACTCACCTCTATATATGGAATATGTAATAAGGAAAAGAAATGTATGTTTTAAGGTTCCTTGAATCCAAATAATGAAGCCTTGCAAAATGGTCTGTGTGTGTGTTTGTGTGTATGTGTACACACACTGCTAGCTCTAAACTAATGATTTTTTCAAATTAATTTTTTAAAACAATCTAATCTGTCTATCAAAAGAATATAGGTAAGATATAGGGATAATATTTCCTTTGGTTTAAGGTTGCTTCATACTTATTTACCACACAAACTAAATGATAAAACTGTTGTATTGGTAAATTTCACTATGAAAATTCATTTTGAATTGTATATATTTTTTTCTTATTAAACATCCTCATTTGTAAAACAACAGTATGTATTAATTTTTAGATTGGTAACGGAGATTTATCAAGGTCTGAGTGTGTATGATTGTGCCTATGATCTTACAACTTTTTCCTTAGTATAGGCTTACAAGAAGTACCATTTTATATCATTAATTTTATACATTTTCACAATTTTCTATTGATTTTAATCAAACTTGTTATATCAATATAAAATTAAATGGTGTGTAACATTTGGTAGGTATTAACCTATTGAAATAATCTGACAGTACATAAATCGCCATTGTTTACAATTTCTTCCTTTAAAGTATCTCCAATGTTATTTTATTGAAATAATTATCTTTACATAGTTTCTAGTAATAATAAATAGATACATATAAACTATAAAAGAAATTGATAATTAAATAAAGGATAAATAGTGCCTTTGTATGATGAGTCTTAATAGAGTGGATCAACAGAGGCAACAAGTAGGACCGATTGATTTCTCCTGGCTCATCGCAAAACGAGTCTATCATTAATTTATTGCACAAAGTGGTTACAAAATTAAATCACTAATAATTAGATTTATTTTCCATTTATTAAACTAAAACATTGTGCAAGTTAATCATTTTTGGTATATTAAATGGTTTTTATTATTTTGTTGCTCCCTTTATTGTTTAGTCTCTCCCTTCCTTTAACAATTCTACTCCACCAATCCTCAATAGTTCTTCTCAATCTCAACTAGGTGTTGAGCTGTTTAACAGTCAAATTTAAGGAAATTCATTAGTTACTATAGCTACCTAAACAATGGAAAGCTAAGAAGGTAGCAATAAAGTAAACACCATGTGAAGATAAGCTAAAAGCTAAATGTGTAAAATTAAGTGAAATGTTTTGTAAGAAGTTTCTAAGAAACTTTCTTGAGGAAGCTGTCATAAGAACGTCCATAAGTATTAGCCTTAAAGAAGAAAATGCTGCTGGAAATATTATTTACTTACTATTGAATTAATAATTGCAAATATATCTGTAATATACAATTTAATGTAAATTTTGTTTTGTATAAAACTCTTGAAAGCAACACTGGCTATATTGATGTTTCTAACTCCATAAAAAACTGATTTTAGGTTAGTTATGAGGCCGGAGGCTTGTTTACCAAACTTCCATCTCATTACATGAATCTTTTGGATGAAGAGTTGGTTCCAGTCATTCATCAGGCTGCAATTTCATCACAGGACACTCCTGCTATTTTAGAATTAGTTTTTAGAATTATGAATCACCCATAGCGCTTAAAAATTCAGACCAATGTATAAAAAAAGATTTGTTACTTATATAAGATATTTCATTTAATTTAAAGCATACTAAAAAATTTGAATGTAGTAGCATACAAGAGTGCATTCATATTTGTTTCACCTAATGCAATACAAGCCTAACCAACTCTTTCATTATTATATATGGAAAAGGTTTATTATTTTATTTTGCAATAATATAGATTTTAGAAAATTTAATGTTGTATTATTAAGTTTCAGCACTTTTTAATTTGAAAAATAATTGATTTTGGATATAAACTAATAATAAATTGTTTATTATATGAATTTTAATGTAACACCAATTGTTTTAAATTATGATTGTAGGTAACAAGGACATTTATGTATATTTCATTTATTAATTTTTATGAAATCTGTATATATTCAAATTATTAACATTATTTATAATGAAAGTTTATTATTATTATTATTATAATTATTAGTGCAATAGACTGCATTGTAATAGTTATTGGTTGGTGTAAGTTCTATAATGAAATTTTGTGATATATCTTATGTATCTATTGCCTACATCTGTTGTATATTATAAATTGTAATGAAAATAAGCTATATATTTGTTAATACTATTTTAGTGACTAATTATTTTGTGAAGAAATTTTATTTGTTAATTAAAATGTTTAAAAAAGAAAACAAAAACAATGAAATAATGTTTCTATGGTTATTAATCACTTTATTTATAATATAGTCCACGACTAGACTATTGTATCTATCTGTCTTTGCTGTGAATAGTGTTTATTTATATATTTGTACAGTAAGTATTTAGTCATATTGTTTTCTAGCAATATATACACATCACTATTATATTTTTAATATATTTTTATGCTGTACCATACAACAATAAAGAAAGATTAAGTAGATTAACTATTTAATACAAATACAATTATAGAATAGAATAGAATAGAAAATTGAACTTTATTCTGGGACTAAGTCCCCTTAGAATAACAATGATGAATTAATACAAATCTGGCCAAAAACTAACTTAAAAAATTGTAACATTATATGCAGTATTTAAAAAATAGTATGTGACCACTAAAAAATAAACAAAACAAATAATTGAACATAAAATCTTCTCACAAATTACTTATTATTTTGATGAAAAAAAAAAAAAGAAATTACATAATCATATATACATAACTACACAATTTATAATCAATAGGCTATCTAATAGAAAAATAACTTAATACAAAATGTTATAATATCTACAGTGATTTATATAATAATATGCAAACACTAAGATATATAAATAAGGCTCATCTGCTTTACAAACATGATTTTAGAGGAAATTGGTTTTGATAATTAAAATTATAATTAATTGCTAAGTGGATAAAGGTAACATTGTAACACTCCTTAACAATTTTACTATCAAACTATCATCAATGAAATTTGTGCCTCTTTAGAGAGGCATATTGAAAACACATTTTCAAAGTCATATCAAAACGAAGAATAGAGCAAAATGAAACATGAATCTTCATTTTGGTTACTATATTTACTAGCATTCTGTCTTGATTTTTTATTTGATATTTTTATCTATTTCTAAAGCTAATTAAATTTCAAAATAACATTATTTAATTTTGCCACACTATCTTTATGTATATGTAGATGTAATAATGATAGAGTTCCTATGAAAAACCTCACTAGTTTGACTTCTTATTTAACAAAGTTAGTCAAATTGCAACATTGGAATTATTTACACTATATTGACGGTTTGTTGCAAAAAGTTACTAACAATTTGGAGATTACAATCAGTAGGTCACTGATTTAAATCTAATTTTTTCGTGAGTTAGTACATTAAAAAGTATTACACATGCTTACCAGTATCTGTTCTAGTGAGCCCTTGTCGAAAACATTTTTTTTTTTCAAGTTCAAACAAAATTTAGGTTATTTATTTTTGCCTCTGTTTCACCCAGTTATGAAAAAGCAAATTATATTTGTTATTAATGACCTTTACTTTTGAATGTAAATTTTTGTAGAAATAAAAAGTTGTAAATTTGAGATTTTTTTTTCTGGCCATTAAAAGTAAAGTATTCATAAGTTCTTCCAACCCATATCAATAACTTTCGGATTTTACTTTTTATTAAGGTATAACTCAAGAAAACTTTTCAAAAAATGTTATCTTATATCTTTGGTTCTGATCTGTTTATATAGGTTGGGTTTGTATCATTTTGTTTAACATATTTTTATATTTATAGTGCAACATAGCCCTCAATCCTTTACAATTTTTCTGTGAATCGGTGGACTTGTCCTGAAATTATCACAATTTTTGTGGTAGTTGACAAAGAAGGGCCTAGCCTAGGCAAAAACTTTTAATTTTTAGATTGCTATAAAAATTTGTATTTGAAGATTTTTTGAAGTGTGAAAAACGAATATCAACTTTGTTTCTCCCTGAAAAAATCTTGATCCACACCCTGTTACATCGGTTGGTCCAATTTGTTCACATATTATAGCTATCTGCTAAACATAATATTTTTCTTAGCCCATCCAAGTAAATACTAAGATTAAAACAATAAAAAAGCAGAAACATATATCTTTTATTTAACCTTCTTTTTTTTTTTTTAAACATATTTATTGAAATTTACCAATGTATTACATGAAAAATACAACTAGTAAATTTGAAATTGGTAACATGACATGTACAACATGAAGAGAAACTAGCCATTGGTAGCACCTAAAAATAAATTTCATTTTAAATATGTCACAATCCCCCTCCTATTTCCGGCTCTGCTCTGCTATAATAAATCCTTTTAAGACACTGGTCTGACACATTTAGTGCTCCTTGGGGAATTTCATCTCCAAAAAGTAAATAAAAAACTAAATTAATTTCTTAAGCTGTACTTAGGGCCCACTGAAACAGATGCTGGTAAATGTGACTAATGTTTTTCAATGTACTAACTCCCAAAAAAATCTGGTGCGTTTTACAGACAACTTTCACTTACCTCTCAACTATGAATAGAAATTATTCTCTGGCTATGTTAGGATATTATAAAATTTTTGAATTCCATTTTTAACCGAGCTAAAGTTAAAAGTGTACAGCTAACAACCCATAAATATCATTAAAATAACGGAATCCTATTTATTATATCACTGGTTGATTATGGATTGTACCACAGGCGGATCCCTCCTCGGTGCTACGGTCCACAAGGAACATGGGCTGCAGCTTTCCACCGCCTGACACCAAGTCGTCTCAAATACGCCTCTAGGTCATCTATCCACTCGCATCCTCTCCATGTGGCCAAGCCATCTTATGCAAGACGCCTTGATGAAAGTGGCAATGTTTGCCTCTATATAGCGCAGCAAGCTCCCAGTTGTATTTGGCTTTCCAAACTCTTCTCTCTCACAAAGATCCATATATCTTGCACAGGATCTTTCTCTCCAAGACTCCCAGCATTCTTTCATGTTCAGCCGTCATTGTCCATGTTTACTATCATAAGTTACTACAGGGCGAATCATGGTCTTTTTCACTACTTCCTTGACATACCATGGTACCCCGTAAAGGCCAAATTGCCATCGTTTTCCTGCAGCCAATCTGCCATCAATTTCAGCCTTAATATTGTTACCATCTGTCATTAAAGAACCAAGGTACTTACACTCCTTGCATACTGAGAAATTATGGGAGCCGATACTTATGGTTTCATTGTTCTGCAAGGGATGACATCTGCTACTCTTCATGTAGGCAGTCATCTTTTAGTTTATGTGCAGACCTTTTGTCACTACTGCCATCTCAAACTCCTCTAGAGCTCCTGCCAGTGCTGGAAGAGATCTGACCACAATCTCCACATTGTCTGCATATGCAAGATGCCGTGTAAAGCAATTAAAGGTTGTGCATCATGGGTTTGTCCTGATGGCCCTCACAGCTTTTTCCAAGCTCATATTAAAAAGTGTGGTTGCCTTTGTATCTCCTTGCAAGATTCCTACCCTTATCTGGAACACCTTGGATAGCACCATCTGCAGCTTTGCCTGACATATTGTATCCCTCTTTGTCATTGTAACCAGCCTGTTCAGTTTCCTTGAAACACACAGGAATAGATTTCTGAACAGTGTTGATCAATCCACAGAGTTGTAGGCCCCTATGAAAATATGATGCAGATCAACATCCTGTTCCAAAGACTTTTCCAGCACTTGGTGCACTGTGAATATTTGGTCTATTGTGGACTTTCCTTGCCTAAAGCTGCATTGGTATTCCCCGACTTCTCTTTCCATGTGAAATTCTCCAGTTGATGGCAGTAGACAATACCTTGTAGGCCACATTCAATAGAGAAATCCCTCTGTAGTTAGAGCAGCAGAGCTTGTCACCTTTCTTATATAATGGACAGATAACCGCTACTTTTCAGTCCTCAGGAATTTGTTCTCACCAGATATCATATATATGCTGGCCCCATACCTCGTCCCAACTGTATTTTAGCAGCTCTGCTTCAATCCCATCTAATCCAGTGGCTTTAAGCATATTTAGATTGCTCACGATTTCCTCCCAGTCCGGTGGGATGTCATCCTCATCCAGTTCCTCAGGTTATGGATTCAGGATCCTGTCAAGGTCAGGTTCCTGTTGCCCACTATTATCAATGACGTGATCCTTATTCAATATCCCCCTGAAGTATTCTGCCTATCTGTTGATAAATTCTTCCTTACCCATAACTAAGTTTCCATCTTTATTCTTACAAAAGCTGGGCGAGGTTTAAAGCCTTCCTTCTCGAGTCTCACACCTCCAAAAAAACCCTGGAATTATGGTATTTGAATTTCTCCTGAATATTTTCCAGCTTCTTCCTTTCCCAGAATCTTTTCTTCTGCCAGCAGATCTTCTTTGCTTCCTTTCTCTCATCACTATACTCCTTGGCTGTACTTCTAGTATGACTCTGAATCATCCTACGCATCGCCTCATTCCTTGCTTGGAGTATTGTCCTCCATTCGTCATCGAGCCCGTTGTTTCTTGTTGGTCTAGGTTTTTCGTCTAGCTCCTCTATTGCTCATCTATGGACACATCTCCATATAAGGTTCCTTTTAGATGTGTCCACCTTGAGGAGGCATCGTTCATTTCCCAATTACTTCCAAGTAGCTCAGGCACTCTTGAGACAAATCTTTGTCTTGCACCTTCATCTTCCGCATCATGCTGACCATAGAAATAGTGAAAAACAGTTCCACATTAAAGCGAGGCAGAGGTTCTTCTGCTCTTTCTCGTACCTTAAACGTAAATTTTTTGCTTATCTTTTATTTTGACTAGATTGTGGTCTGATCCACACATTGCTCCTTTACAGCTTCAGACTTCTTGAATATCCGTGACATGTCTCGACTGAATCAAGGAATGATCTATTTGATTTTTCGTCCTGCCATCTGGTGATACCCATGTTTCTTTTTGGATATCTTTGTGCTGGAAGTGTGTGCTGCTTACCACCATGCTTCTCCCCATAGAAAAATCCACTAATCTAAACCCGTTATTATTAGTTTCCTCGTTTTTGCTATTCAACCCTATCCTGGGTCAGAAGTATTCTTCTTTGCCTATCTTCGCGTTGAAGTCTCAAAGAATAAGTTTTACATTATAGGCTGGTAAAGCATCCTACGTTCTTTCTAGAGCGCTATAAGATGCGTCCTTCGTTTCATAGTCCGCATCATGCTGACCATAGAAATAGTGAAAAACAGTCTTCTTAGTCTTATTGCGCACATACGTGGGTTGGTTGGTTCGTATTTCAGCAGGGAATTTTAGTTTATTATTTATCATAAACCCTGTCCCAACTTGGTTATGTTTATGTCCACTGTTAATAAGAAGGTAGTCCTTCAGGTTAACGAGCTCATTATCCTTCCAGCGGATTTCCTGGAGTGCTGCTACATCTATTTTTTTTTTTTTTTTTTTTTTTTTTTTTTTATTTCAATGGAATTTACAACTGTATTACATAGAGAATACAATAAGTAAATGAGAAATTTGTAACATGGCATGTACAATATGAAGAGAAACTACCCATTGGTAGAACTCAAATTAAAGTTCTATATTAGAAGATCCCGAGGCCATCTTCTTTTCAGACGCCTCGGAGGATTATCAGGGATCGAGGATGAAGCAAGGTTTGAAACGAGAGGATTCGGATGATTCTGCAGTTTGTTATGGAAGGAAAGGTATCTGGATTGGGCCAGATCGGAAACATATGGAACATTAAGGTCTTTATGGATGATTTTATTTGTGACAAAGTAAGGAGCGTTGAGGATTTTACGAAGGATTTTGGATTGTAAGGATTGGATACGAGAGGAATTCGATGGTTTAGTGGAGCCCCAAAGCTCAATTCCGTAAGTCCAAATAGGTCTTATTATTGTCATATATACGAGTCGTTTATAATTGATTGAAAGCTTAGATCGTTTGTCTAGTAAGTGCTGCAGTAGTCGAAAACGTCGGGCGGTTTCTAGTCGTTTCAGTCTGGTATGGGGGTTCCAAGTGAGTCGTTTGTCAAGGTGGAGTCCTAAGTAGCGGATTTGCTCAACAGGAATAAGTGGAGTATTATTGAAGGATACTGTAGGACAAGAGGTCATAGGTTTACGACGGAGGGTAAAAGTGATTTGATGGGATTTGTTGGAATTTATTTTTATTCTCCAATTTTTACACCATTCTTCAAGGCTTGTGATATGTGATTGAAGAGTTTGGGATGCAATTAAAGGATCGTTATTAACTGATAGGATACACGTGTCATCGGCATAGGTGGTGATGACAGTGTTGGATTGGGTTGGGATGTCAGCTGTATAAACTGTGTAAAGGATAGGACCTAGGATACTACCTTGAGGAACACCGGCAGACTGAGTAAAAAGAGATGAATAAGCATTGTTATGATTGACTTTGAAGTATCTGTCAGTAAGGTAGGAACGTATAATGAGGAAGTATGTAGGTGGTAGGAATTCACGGAGTTTGTACATCAGTCCCGGATGCCAGACTCTATCAAACGCCTGTTCAACGTCGAGAAAGACTCCCGTGCAGTACATTCCGCGCTCCAATGCAGAGGAGACTACATCTACCACACGATGGCATTGCTGAATAGTGGAGTGGGGTGTGCGGAATCCAAATTGGTGATCTGGGATAATGTGTTTAGAGTCTAGGATGGGATACAGGCGTTTTAAAATGAGTTTTTCCAGGATTTTGCCCATAATGGGTAAAAGGGAGATAGGACGGTAAGAGGATGGGTGTTCTGGCGGCTTTGTGGGTTTAGGTATAATTTTGACAATGGATAGTTTCCAAGAGTCAGGAAAATATGTGGTGCGGAGTACAGCATTAAATATATAGGTTAGGAACAATATGGCTTTTTTAGGAAGACATTTTAGGATCTGGGAGGTGATTAGGTGATGGCCAGGAGCTTTGCGAGAAGGTAATATATTAATGATATTGGATATTTCTGAAGGATGAAATGTTTTAGGTGGAGGAGTCAATTGGAGTGGGGTATCCAATTCTGCTTCAATAAACTCAAGGTGGGTTGGATTAAGGATGTCTGGGTGTGGATTAAATGTTTTTGAGAGGTGTTGAGCAAATATTTGAGATTTTTCATCATCAGATCTGGACCAGGTTTGGGTTTCAGTAATAAGTGGGTGGTTAAAATCTTTGAATTTAAGGAGTTTTTTAGTGGTCAACCATAGTGATTTGTCACAAGTAGTAAGTTTTTCTGTCATGTTATGTAAATTTTGAACTTTGTATTTTCTAATTTCAGCTTTTAGTTGGTTAGTTAATTTGTTGTAATATGTCTTATCTGATGGATATCTAGTCCACATCTATTTTATATCTTAAAAGTTCTTCCTCAAGATTCCTACTTGCTCCGATCTGGAGGAGGCTTCTGTGGTCGTATGTTTCTAGAAACAAGTGTTTTCCATGTCCGCGTCTGGGTCGTATCATTAAATCAGTCCGGCTATTTCTTTGTGAAGGATTCGTAACAATGATTGTTTTACAGGGCCGGGTCGTTAGTCCGTCACCTAACTCCCAACGTGGAGGACAGAGGATTTTTGATCAAGGTTCTCTTCCTCTAGACGTGTTGTCTTCACTACGACTGTGGGGTCACGTCTACCCTGAGCTAGTTTTGGTCCACTCATTTCATTTCCCCCGTACCACCCATATCTGGGAGACATTCCTCTATCCGCCAGCTGGGGAGGTGCCCGATGGAAGACTAGTAACCTCACACGGGAACGCTCATTTTTGAGTCGACTAATTTTTAAATTTGGATTAAAATATCTCAGAAACTAAAAATTGGACCTGGATACTGTAAGCATGAAGAATGTTCAGCATTTCATTCTCTTTGTAATGATCTATTATTCAAAATTGTATTTTGACTCGACGACATGTTTGTGAAGCAAAAAGGCAAAAATGTAGTGTCAACAAACAAATGGTAACGGTTTTTTTTTTAACATTTAGATTAAAATACTCGAAAATATGAAAGTTTACGCTTTAACACACTTGGCCATCATCAAATGTTTCAGTATTTAAATATTCATTTGTATTTAAATATATTAATATGCAGCACCACACTATAGAAGTTTTATGATTCATCACTCCTCATGTGCCCTATCCATTTACATGCAATGTTCTTTTAAAAATAAATAAAGTCGTTATAAGATCGAAACAATACCAAAGAAATTGGGATTTGAAAATTTTGATGCGGACACTAAGACCAGATTAGTTCCTTTGAAACTACTGGGTCATTCGTTTTCAATCCCAAAACTTTCCCATTTTCGAGATAATGCAAGCCAAGGGTTCGCAGCTCCCTTGATCACGTTAATTGTAGTGCTGCCAGGAAATACATATCTCATGTCGGCTTGATCGAGAGAGGAGTTAATATTATTTATCATAGGTGTTTTTTTGTTGCTACACTATATCTTCGTTAATTCTTTATCAAATTCCAAGATTGAGCCATCATTTTAAAGGTTTCCTTCTCCTTCAGGTGGAAAAAGTAGTTTCATTCTATTCTTCCATAATAATCACTAATTCACAGTCAGAATCTGTTTCTAAGATACATTTAAAGCTTTCCTTATTTTGTATCTGACGTCATAGGTTACTCTTATCTAATTCTCTACTGTTTTACTTCTTCGATCTATATGTATGGTATATTATATATTCTATGGTATAATGTACTAATAGAAGGTCAACTTTTCTTATCAATTTAATCACTCGTCCTTTAATTTCCTTGGAAACTTTTAATATGTTTTGATTTGTCTAATTAATTAAATTTCAATCCATGTGCAAGATTTTTAATATTTAGTTTTTCTGTTCCTTTTTTGTTTTTGTTTACTCAGTGCAGGAGTTGCATCTGAAATCATTTCAGACATTTTCCCTTTGTTTTGATTTGTCAATAGTATTTTTTTTGTCATAATTTTTAATTAAGTGTTGCCAATTAGTTAAATTATGGCTTCTAATAATTCAACTGTGAAGACTAAAAGACCTGCTGGTAAGTCTGCTTGTTAAAAGTAAGATATATTTTGACAGAAATACTTTTTATTATTTTAAATTATCTTGTTATATTAGATAGTGCATTTAAGCAACAACGCCTTCCTGCTTGGCAACCAATTTTGACTGCGGGAACTGTGTTGCCCACATTTTTTGTAATCGGCATTACTTTCATCCCAATTGGTGTTGGTTTATTGTATTTCTCTGAAAAGGTATATTTTAATGTTTAACATACAAATGTTTGTGTTCTTTAATTGATAATTAATTACAAGAAATCTGTTTTATTACAATTTTAACTTCATTTCTATATTTTACATCTATATTTTGTGATCTAAGTTTGTCACTTCCTGTCTTTTTATCATTACTATTTAAATTTGTTTTCATTTTGTTTATTTTATTCATTTATTTATTTTTTTGAAATAATTTAATTTTCTAGGTAAAAGAGAAAACTGTTGATTACACCTACTGCAATGACACACGTACGAATATTCCATGTGCAGAGATCATTGGAAATAACTCTAATACACCTTGCACTTGCAGTATTGACTTTGAACTTACTGATCCCTTTGATGTAAGTATTTTTTTATGTAGTTATTGTTTTTAAATTATGGCCAATGAGGCAATTTTTTAGTTATATATGAAAAAAAAAGATTTTTTATAAATATTCTTTGCAGCAAATATGATATTGAGTGTTCATGAACTTCAACAATTATTATATTGTATGCATCGTACATTTGATGCATAATATACGTTTGTGTAGTATACTAGAAGATTAATTAAATGGTATACAGAGCTCATTCCTAATATTATTAATAAGACAAAATATATATATATATATATATATATATATTCTGCCTTACATTATTATGAAACTAATCAACGTACAAAATGTGTCCTATAGCAACGCTACAATTAGGATGTATTTATGTGACTGTGATTCTTTTACCATCCATTATTTCTAAGATTTAAAATCCATTCCATGATAAAATCTTCAAATTCCAATTAGTCCAGTCTTGATTTGCCTTCATACCAATGTCCCAGTTTTGATGACCAATACAATTTTTTGATCAATTTTATTTAATTCCAACACAAAAACAAAAGGTGAGACTTCGATTTACTAACCTTTCATGAAACTCTGAATCCAACGATACCCCATTCATGGCATTTGAGCATCTCAGGACCTTCTATTTGGTAAGAAACCAATATCTAGGCTTAGTGAAATAACATATGTGAGGATAGGGATGCGATGGAATAAAGGGATACTGTCCTAGTTCCCTTCAAAACCTATTTAATTTTTCAAATAATTCTTAAAATTTTTAATAGGAAAGAATAAGTTCAGCTTTCTCCTCTGTCATTAATTGGAATCTCAACTTCATTGCTTTCACAACTTCAGCTTCCCCGAAAGCACGGCAGAGAACTTTTCTTTCAAAAATGAAGAGTTCCTTTTCCAGTGGCCTTCGAAATTGTCCAGCACTCTTATCCATAAAAAAGTATGGGGTGCACCAATGTCTTGTAGAGGTGGAGCTTGGTCTGTTCTTTGTCATTAATTGGAATCTAATTTACAACATGGGAAATGTATCCCATGACAATGTAATAATTAGGGTAAACTTGTGTGGATGTAAAATTCTTAAACCATTCATTATTACTAAAATGAAAGATTTAGCTCTATTAACTATGGTGTCAAAAGCCTTGAGAATTATAAAATATAAATAATGCTTTTATTAGTCATCAGATAATATTTAGATTCTAATAATTTAGAAATAGTTAAATAAATTATTTTTATGTATCTTTAATTAATAAGTGTTTTTACTTAAATTTAAATTAATTTTGTTGCCTGAAATTAATTATGTTTATGTAGAATTTTCATTATTATTTTATTTTCTCATTTAATGAAGGAGGCAGACTTCAGGGTGGCGAAGGGGGTGATCGCCTCTCCCAAATAAAAATATTGAGGGGGCTAGAATATCGTTATATTTCCCTCAAATAATTTTAAGTAAAAAAAAAATTAAAATTAATAACAAATAATTTACATGACCTATATACCTACACAAGGATGTGTGTTTTCCGTTATGTTTCTTTTCATTATTATATATATTTCATAATTATATAAAGTTGTATGTATAATTATTTATTTTGTAAATTGTCATGTTTATAGTTTAGTTTAATTGCTGAATTTAGCCTTCATTGTTTGCCTCTCCAGCATTAGCGGTCAATGTAATGTACTCTAATCACGACATCCTTTGGGTCTTTTAATATCTGGTGATTGTTACAAAGTTTATGGTCTTCCTTGGGATCTGAAGTCTTTACAACATTGCTTAACCACTTTAATTGGCTAGACTAATTTTCATGTCACTGATTTTCTCCTTGTTCCTCTCTTTGTATGTGCTGTCCATTTTCTTTTTTTTTTTTTCCTACAGTTGTTCATAGCTACTTGATCTCTCATAGCTACTTGATCTCTGCAGTCTTGATTCTGCTCTAACTATAGTAAAATTTTTATTAAAGTCATAATTGCTTGTTAACACATATCCGTCCAGTAACTTTTGCTTAATTTATTTAGAAATAAAAGAATAAGAATCAATTAAATTTAGGTCAGAGATAAACAAAAGTAATTTATAGGCGTTGACGACCTTGAAGTTGTATGCCTTAAAACCTCAACAAACGAACAAGAATCAATTATTTTCTGTAATATATAAATGATGTATTTTCATCATTTGGTTGTTTGTGATTGTTTGGGAAATGAAGAATTTTTCATATGGACAAATATGTGTTTACATTACATGCAGACAAATAACTTTTAAAATAATGCAGGTAAAACATAACTAACTTAAAAATATTATTTATATATTTGTTTGTTCATATATTATTTTTACGTTACGTTATAGCAGTCAGTTAACAATTTTCTTTTTTGTTGTAGGGCATTGTTTACTTGTACTACGGTTTATCAAATTTTTATCAAAACCATAGGAGATATGTAAAATCTCGTGATGATTTTCAATTACTGGGAAAATTAGGGATTCCTTCAAGTGATTGTGATCCTTATGCCTATGCTAATGGAAGGCCTATTGCACCCTGTGGTGCTATTGCAAACTCTCTTTTTAATGGTACATTTTTCAGTTCTAATGCTTTTGTACAAGTAAAAAATAAAAATCTGTTTCATCCTTCATTTTAGCTTTCTATTTATAATTACTTACTTTTTGTGAATTTTATAACTCCAATGACTGTGCTATTAATCAAAATTCATCTGTAAAGCCTTATTATGCATTCATTTGTATTACCCTACTGTCAATGGTTTATTTACAGTTGAAGTTATTAAATCAACTTGAAGTAAAATCTAATCAGTTAATTTTTTTTTTTTTTCATTATGTAGGTTTGATTTTTAATTCAATAAATAGCAATCAAAGACTTATTTTGACCGTTAGTATATATAATTATAATATTATGCAAATATATTAGTGTGAATTTATTTGTTATTAAAACATTGATAGTAATATTATTTATTTTTATGTTTACAGATACTTTGAAAATATATTCCAAAGCACTTAAACAAGAACTTAAATTAAACAAAACTGGCATTGCTTGGAAATCTGATAAGGAAGTTAAATTTAGAAACCCACCCGATAAGGATCTTAAGAGAGGTAATTAGATTTATATCTTTATATATTGTAATTTCAACATTACATAATGTTTTTGAATATTGGTGCAAAGGTGATAACATCAGGAACTACTGATAGGAAGTACAGATGGTGGGGGAAGCAAGCCTCATAGATAGGTCAGAAGGTGACCGGCCAGCCAGTGAAGAGGACATAGATTAAGGAGAAGGTAGCCAGCCGGCTAGGAACCAGGATCTGTGAGAAGATGTTGGTCCCCAAGTAGTGAGTGTCAACAGTAGAAGGTTGTAGAAGAGAAGTAGCTGCACCACAGGGCGAGTGAAGAATATATAAATGGACAGATCGAAAGCTTGCCAAGAATAGACTCCGACAAATATAATGGAAACCCATGAAAGTGTTGAATAATTAATGTATGCTTTTCTATAGTATAAATGAGGATGTATGTTAGTTGTCAAAACCCAACCTGGGAATTTATATATGTGTGAGAAATAAATGTTATATTGAAAAAGAAACTGGTTGTTTACTTTTGGAGGCAATGAGAACATTACAATATATATATATATATATATATATATATATATATATATATATATATATATATATATATATATATATATTGTAACGTACTCAAAAGCCCCACGTTGGGCGCCATGTTGTAACGTTCCCTCTTGTCAACCAAAACAAAACAAACTAGTTTCCTTTTTTAATATATTATTTATTTTAACACATAACATTAATCTCAAGTTGGGTTCTGACAACTGAACACTCATTCACATTTAATAAATACAATGTACACTAATTACTAAATACATATAAAGAAACGAGATACATACATTAAGAATTTATAAATTCAAAAACCTTTATTGTCCCAGTCTAAACTTTGTGGTTCTTTCTATTTTCTCAGCTTGCTGGCTTCTCTCTTGACAGCTTGGCAAATCTTCTCTCTTGGCCGCTAGCACCTTCCCTCTTGGCAGCTCGTCGCCGTCTCTCCTGGCGGCCGGTCGCAGTCCGAGTTACATGAGCTTGCTTCCCCCACTTCCTCCCTGTAGTTCATGTTCTTGCCACTTTCGCGCCACTATTTATATACCATGTAATGTTGACATTACATATTTTATATATATATATATATATATATATATATATATATATATATATGTATGTATGTTTTCACACTACAAATGATAAAGGAAACTGCTATATTTATTTATATTTCCTTGTGGGTATTTTTATTTGTTCCAACACTGGTATATTTTAAATTTTAATTTTTAAGGATCTCTTCTGATATTTAATATCAGTTTTTTTGGTCAAGATAGGTCAAACCTGCCCATATTTATATTCGTCGAATTATTTGTGGATTTGATACGATTGATTTGCTTGTTCTTGTTAAATTTATTTATGTTTTATAAATTTCATAAAACTTATTATGCTTCAATTACTAATCAACTCTATTTTAAAAATAATTTTTAAGTAATATGATAAAATTATGGTAAATAAAGGTTACTAATGTATTAATAATTTCTTTTTAGCATTTGAGGGCTATGAAAAACCTGTGAATTGGAGAAAAAATGTATGGGAACTCGACACTACAGATCCTAATAATAATGGCTTTGAAAATGAAGATTTCATTGTGTGGATGAGAACAGCAGCATTGCCATCTTTTAGAAAATTATATCGCATTATTGATTCTCCTTTATCTAATGGTTTACCTGCTGGAAACTATACACTATTGGTTGATTATAGTAAGTTATTAATTTTTTTATTTTCTTAGTGGAAACACTTTAGTCTGTGAAGTTGTCCAGATGCATGAGTAGTAGAGGACAGGGTTCAGAACTAAAATTTGGTATTTTTTTTAAGACATTGTAATAATATTAAGTAATGATACTTATACAAAAACTATCTGCTATTTCTGTCAGAGTATATATTAATTGAGATAATATGCCAAAAAAAAAATTATGCTCAATCTAAAAAAATATATATCTTTATGTATAAAAATGATTTTTCAAACTAAATATATAAAAATTATTAAATTGTAATTATTTCAGTTAGCAAATGTATAATATTAACATCAAAGTGTTCATTGTTTTTCATCTACCTTTGTTATGAAATATTTGCAGAATGGAGAGATATAAATAGAAATGGTCTTCACTGTTAAAAACACTATTGGTTAGTGAAACTCAGGTCTAATACAGCTTATTATGTCCCTACTGTTCAAAGTTTAAACTGTAGGGACATAATTTAAACTTTAAGCCCACTTTAACTGACTTAGGTTATCAGAAATGTGGGTGGTTTGGAATTTTTAAATGATATGTACATTGAAAGTGTAAATGCTTTGTATAATTTATAATTTAGCTAATACATTGATACATTAATGTTCTTTTGGTTTTTGTCTCTACCCCACATATTAGAATTATAGATGTGGAACATTACTCCTTATTATTACCTTAATGATTACTGTCAACCTGTTTATTAATCATGATTTAATTTTTTAATCTTTGATTAATAAATTTATAAAAATAGTTTTGATTCTATTACATTTTAAAACATATACAAACTTTACTGTTACTACATAGCTCTACAGCCCAGGATGAGCCTTGGCTTCCCTGACAACATTGCACCAGTCCTCTCTGCACAATGTTCTCCTCCTCCAGTTCCTTATACAAAGATTTTTCAGGTCCATTTCCACATCCTGAATCCAACGTCTCCGAGGTCGTTCTCTCTCCTTCTGGTGCCATACATCTTTCCTAGCATAATTCTTTTTTGCATTTTAGCCCAGTTGGAAACTATTTTGAGACTGATTAAAGATTCTTTGTTATCATTTTCTTATTTTGTTTTTTATTTCATGTATTGTAGACATGTGGAGTAATCTAATTTGTTTTAAAACTTTGTATTACAGACTATGGTGTTACAGCATTTGAAGGACGGAAAAGAATGATTTTATCTACAACATCAATACTTGGAGGCAAGAATCCATTTCTGGGAATAGCTTATATCGTAGTTGGTGGTATTTGTCTGCTGCTAGGAATAATCTTTTTATTTATTCACATAAAATGTGGGAAAAGGTATATTTATTATTAATTATTTATTATATCAACTTTTTTATACTCAAAATTAGGCAAAAATAAAATTGCAATATTTTTTTCAAAAATTAGGCCAATTATCACCAAACATTTTATTGATACGCTATTTAATTTGACGTTTCGACCATACTAAGGGTCATTTTCAAGTCTTGATGAGTCCTCTGTTATATATTCATCATTAATGTCGCAAATAATTATAACATACTGGAAGGAGTGAAATTCCTCGAAAGTTATAACAATCTGTCCTCGGGCCTAAATCTCTAGTTTTCAACTTGCGCCATGAATTCCCAAAAGCAGTCCCCACCTGGAGACCTGAACGGGGGACTAGTTTGCTTCCAGATAATAAGAGTTTTACTTTATGAGGATCCATGACTGTTTGGTATTTTGTGAACTATATTAGTGGTACACTTAGTCCCAGTTTTGCAGTCACTGCTCGAGTTAGGCAAGGAGATGCGCTATCTGCTACACTATTTAATCTTGCACTACATAGTTTAATTGTGAAGCTAAACTCCAATGGGGGTAAACTGCGTTCATCGACTCAAATATGTGCATACACTGATGATATTTGCTTAGTGGCAAGTAATAAGCAATCTCTTATCAATTTGTTCAAGCTGTTGAAGGCGGAAGGTGAAGTGCTTGGTTTAGATAACGGAATTCGACCGATTTGCATCACTCAGATACAGACTTCTGGGAACAGACAGAATCCAAGTATGCAAAGCTGATTCCATTGACTGGTCCAACCTTTTAAACTTCATTAGAAGAAAAAAAAAGGTTTGAGACAGAATAGAGGTACAATAGACAACCACTGGTAGTATCAAATTTTGGGGTTGGCAAAAAGGACCAATAGGCCCACCAGTACCAATGCTTGTTTTAGAAGTCAATGAAAGTAAAACCAAGTACATGTTTGTAAGTTCAGACAGTGATTAAAGACCTAGAGAAGATCTGTGCGTTGAAGGTTTTCTTTTGAAAATGTTAAATCCTTCTCCTATATTGGTTTAGAGCTTAATCGCACAAATGAAATACCAGCAGAAGTGAATAGACGAATTATGGCAGGTAACAGGGCTTGTTACGCAAACATAGAACTCTTTCGCTCATTGCTGTTGTCACGAATGACAAAAATAAGATTGTATAAAACATTGGTAAGACCAGTAGTGACTAATTATGCGGAAACTTGGACCCTTTGCACCCCCACAATAAATGCGTTGGAGGTTTTTAAGAGGAAAATTCTCCGTAAAATTTATGGACCTGTATTGAAAGAGGGTGAATGGAGAATCCGGAAGAACAGCCAACTATATGGATCTTGTGACATTGTCCGCTTCAAACGAGCAAGGAGAATTGAATGGTTAGGTCACGTAACACGGATGAATGAAGTGATATTTAATATAGTTTAGGTCTTATGTCCATTGATGTCACTTTACAAGGATTAAATGTCCAATGTTCAAAACTTCTTCCTCTAAAGTATCTTTCATTTGGTTTATTTTAAATAATTAACTATCTCTCATTATTAGGAATTATGATAAAATGCTAAATATAACTTTTGAAAGAATTTGATAATTGATCAGCTGCTTAAGACCATGAAAATAACACAAACCATAGTGTTAATAATAAATAGTATTATATCAACAGTAATCAATAAAAACCTCATAATTCCCATCAGTCTATTAGAACTGCATAACTCCAGGCTCTGAGCTCTATATAAAAAAAGACATTTGAAAGTACATATATTTTATTCATAAATAAGTGAGAATTGTACTATATAGTGAAAATTATAGGAATTAAAACTATATCACTGTTTGCATATATTTAAACTCTTTTTTTTTCCTAGTAAAATTTAAATTAAGTACATTTATGAGCTTTTCAAGACAGCATTGATAGATCAAAAATTGTCACATTGATTGTAAGTGGATAATGTTATGATTTAATATGAAAAACTCATCAAATTATTCACTTATTTAATTTTCTAAAATGTTACTTGGTGATTTTTTGGAATAAATCAGTGAAATAAATTGTCCGTAAATTATTTAAAATATTATCGGATCTAAAGTTCAGTAAATGTATCTAGGTTATAAACATATGTTTTACTTATCCATGAGATACTTTTATAATCCACTTCTTCTTTAACTCAAGTACAATAAAATAGTTTTTAAACACTTTCCTTACCTCGATTCAGTAAATTATACAGAGTTCCCTAAAAATAAAGGTGAATATTAAAAGGGATGACAGGAGACCTCAGAACTACAAAAAAGTTTGTATTAACGATGGTCTGATTTTTAGCAGAAAAAAGTAGGAACTTTAAGTTATGTGTTTTTATTACTGTCATGTTTTTTGATAAATAGGAAGCAATAACTAAAAAAAAACAACTTAATTTAAGTAATTAACGATTGTTTCACAGTAAACTAAACAAAATTTATTTCAAAGGAAAACAGAGTTTTTCATTGTTAATACCATTTAAAGAGAACTTTTGAGTGAATAAACTAAGCTAAGTTCTGTTTTTAAAAATAAAATCATGAATTATTTAAAAACTTTTTTTACTACCTTACAACTAAACTATAGATATCTCACTTTTGGAAAACGTTTCCATGGAAAAATTTGATTTCTGTTAAATACTATTAATTTTCATGAATTAGACATGTATTTTAGAAAGAATTGAAGGCATTAGAAATATTGGTTGATTTTTACTTTCACTTACATGTATATGTAATATATAGTAACGTATATATGTAATATATAGTAAGGGTAAGTATTGCAATCGTGAAGATTTTTGAATCTGAGTTTTCAACAGAAATACATGTTTTGAGGTCTTCTGAGTCCAAATAACCAAGTCCCACAAAATGGTCTATGTGTGTGTATATGTATGTTACCAGTCTAGCTTAAAAACAAAAAGTTGTACAAAACTGAAATTGCGTATTTAAGATTTTTATATGGTTGAGATATTACAGCAACCTTTTCATCAAAATCGGCTAACCGGTAGTGGCACTTTATATCAACGGCGATGCACATTTTTACGATTTTCTCAGAAACGGCTCTAACGATTTTGATTAAACTCGGTGTATCATTGTATAATTAAGTGGTCTTTAATATCATTTAGGTCTTATGTCCATTGATGTCACTTTACAGGGATTAAATGTCCAATGTTCAACACTTCTTCCTCTGAAGTACCTTTCATTTGGTTTATTTTAAATAATTAACTATCTCTCATTATTAGGAATTATGATAAAATGGTAAATATAACTTTTGAAAGAATTTGATATTTGAATAATGTAGAAAAAAAGAAAAATGCTTATCCAGCTCGAAAATGAATCTACCGAAATAATAGTCAGAAGGTATACATATACTATATAATATATACACATATACATATAATATATCATTGGAAAGCGGAGAATTTTAGAAAAAATAATATCTTAATAATAAGGTTGTAGAAGGTAAGGGAGGGTAATAAATAAAATATAAATAATAATTTCTGAAAACTAACATTATCTCCAACCCCACATATATTATTACAGTAAGGCTCGAAATCGGTTTTGTACAAATATAAGCTCCTGTCATGCTCAAATACCATGAATAAGGTACCATTAGATTCAGAATTTCTCGGGAGTTAGCGAATCGTATTCTCCACTTTTGTTTTTCTTTCTAAAATAAATAAAGTTGATACAAACATTTTGCTAGACTTCAATACTGGAACGGTGGTAGGTCTGTAGAACAATACGGGACAAATTCGACCTTGAAGATTTTGATGCGTACAGCAAGACTCGGCTAGTTCCTTCGGAACTATCGGATCCTGCATTTTTAAGCCCAAAAACGTACTATTTTCAAGATAACGCAAGGCATAGAGTTCGCATCCACAGAACCTTACATTAATTGTAGTACTGTCATTGAATACATGTCTCATTTCGTTGACTTGAGGCCTCTATGATCGAGAGAGGAGGAGTTTATATTATTTATCGATGGTGTTTTTAATGGGCCACCAATCTCGAAGGCTTCCTTCTCCTTCAGGCGGGCAAAATAGTCCAATCACCCCAAAAATTCAGGCAAACAAGTTATGAACGAAAAGAAACTTTATTTGCGAATAACTAAAAAATTACACACTTCTTCCTGGGTTATGCCCATGATTATATAAAAGATTACTAAATTCCCTACAAATGGAAAAAAAAAAAATCATCAAAGTCGGACAATTTTTAGCATTGATACAGCTTATTGAAATTTGTAAACATGTTGGTTCCAAACATTAATGAAGATTTAAATTAATTTTTGTTTCCTTTGTCGATTATATTTATCGATAAAGTAACAATTGATTTCTTAATCTTATGATACATTGCATTATTTTCTTTTCTTATTAATTTCAAATAGCAGGCATTTGATAACAATATGCTGTGCGAAGTTTTCGCACGGGCCTACTAGTTTCATGTAAATCACAGATTTCCAAGGAAATTAAATGAAATTTTCTTCTGAAATTCAACTAAATCTAAACTTCTAAAATATTTTTGTTTAAAATACTATTTCATTGTACTTGTGTGAAAGAAGAAGTGAAATATAAAAATATTTCATGGATACATAAAGCATATGTTTATAACCTTAAATACATTTACTGTAGTTTAGCAATTCTAGATGTGATATTATATATAAATAATTAGGTATCAACAACCATTTATTCCGAAAATCGTCATGTAACCTTTTAGAATATTAAATTAGTTAATAATTTGAAGATTTTTCCCTTTGTCCTTTGTGATATCCCAACATTATCCTCTTAAAATTAGTGTGACAACTTTTGACCTATCTATGGCAGGCAATGAAAATGTCGTCATTTCATTTCAGTGAACTTTATAATGGAAAATAACAGTTTAATAACTTACAGGCATACAGTCCATAATCATTTATAGGTTGAATATACAAATATACTTTCAAATCTCTCTAGGCATATATATATATATATATATAATATATATATATATATAATATATACATAGGCGAATCTACGGGGTGGTGGGGAGGGGATTTCGGGCTGAAGCTCCTCCCAAAATGGTGGGTGAAATATAGCCATGTTAATGGTAAAAAATATTAAAAAATTATTTCTTATTATTGCTCCTTTAATTACATTTAATATGACTTCAAGTATCACTTAAACACCATTTCATATAGGTAGTTAGTATCTTTCTGTTTTTCCTAAGTAATTTTTCGTTATATATATGGAAAAAAAAAGCTTCTGGGCTTAAGCTCTCCCCCAAAAATTCTGGATCCGCTAGTGTATATACATATATAGCTCAGAGATTGGTGTTATATGGTTTACAAAACAGATGGAGTAACAAGGTTTTTATTACCTACCGTTGATATAATTAATAGAGTTTTTGTTGTTTTAATGGTGTTAATGATATGTTAACTGTAAGCTTTAAGCTGTAGCCCTGTTAAAAAAGCACTTCAAAAATTTTATAATAGCTGACATGCTTAAGGAAATTTCTTTAAATTTTTACGTGGAAAAAGTTAAATATTGATATTATTATAATTTTCATGTTTTCGTCCTATAGAACTATTTCTCACCTTAATAAGACATTCAAATCCTTGAAACATCTATCTAATCACAACATATTTGAGCCACAGTGAGTTATCCCCAGTATTTCAGATTGGAACAACATTGCATAATTGCCGAGTGGTATTGACATGCCTTCATCTGCTTCATCCTTTCTTCAAAAGCCAGCAAACATTAAGTAACATTTTAGAAAATTAAATTAGTGAATAATTTGATGAATTTTCCCTCCATTAAATCATAACATTATCCACTTACAATTAATGTGACAACTTTTGATCTATCAATGCTGTATTGAAAAGCTCATAAATGTACTTAATTTAAATTTTACTGGGAAAAAAATAAGAGTTTAAATATATGTAAAAAGCAGAGACCAATATATCGGCCTTAGACCTTATTTAATCGAGATTCTAAGAATTTCATCTTGAATATTATTTCTTATTGCTAATCAATACGTCAATCAATTGTCAAGGAATGAACATAAACATAAATATGGGTAAAGACCGATATATCTACCTTATGACCTTATTTAATAAATAAATAAATTTTAAAAAATGTTCTAACTGTACTAATTTCGATAAAATGAAGTCATCAGGCCGATATATCGTTATGATTAATTGTCACTTATATTCAGCAATTACGAGAATTTTCTATGTGACATTGTGCTAAACTAGACATATAGAAACGAATGACCGATATGTTAAAATATAAGTTTATATATCATTTATTGGTCAAAATTTGTGTACAGGCTGATGCATAGATAGCCTATTTATTCTGTCATTTAGCTATAAGTAGAATATTCCATGTGAAACTGTAAAAATCTTGATGGAAAAGCGAAAAAAAGGCTAATTTGGCCAATATAAATAAATTTCTTTCATAGACATATAGAAACAAATGATCGATATGCTAAAATATAAGTTTATATATCATTTATTGGTTAAAATTTGTGTATAGGTCGATGCGTGGATGGTCTATTTATTCTTATATATGTAGCAATAAGTAGGGTATTCCATGTGAAACTGTACAAATCTTGACGGAAAAGCAAAACAAAGACCGATATATCGACCATATCTAAGGTTTTTATTTCCTACTGTTGATATAGTACAATTTATTATTAACTTTATGGTTTGTGTTATTTTGATGGTCTCAATCAGCGTTTGTATTGATAAATTCGACCAAAATTCACAAATATGTTCATTAAGGTTTAGCTCCATCAAAAATTGTATTCAAAAACTCTTTTGTAATAGCCCAATTCAGCCCAACAATACTCTCGGTTCAGAATAAAGTGGGTAGTTAAAGTTGTGTGATGCGCGCACCAGTTTTTTTTTTTTTTTTCTTTTAAAGAATTCAAACACTACTCTTTGTAAAAGGAAATTATCTTTTCTGTCTTTCATAAAAGAAGATAACTACTAGATATTTCACATCAAATATTATTGAATGCTTTATTTTTTTCTGACATTTATATGTAACTAAAAAAGATAAAACATTGATTAAACAATACTCTGCTAGCAAAATATTCAATAATTTATTTATGTTTAACTTATTTCAATTATACATGTTAAGACTTCATATTATTGATACAAGTATGCTCCATTTAAATCACATCTCCTTGATTGCTTTTAAATTTACCACAGACATTTAATTTTTGTTATGTAATGATTTTAATTCCATTTTCTTGCTGAATGAGACATTAACTGTTACTTTCAGAGACAAAGTACAGTTACGAGTTTATTAATTCAGCATCAATTGATCAAAAGTCGTCACATTAATTATTAGAGTATAATGTTATTCATGTTATATAAAAATGTTATTTGAATATTGTATTTTAATAATTTCTATTTTTTTTTTAGGTTTAGCTATACCTATTATTGTTTTTAATTTAATTTTTTTTTTTTTTTTCAGCACTAGTGAAGTTATAAATGTGAATCCACTTACACCCTATCAATGATTTAGAAATGAGGTAAAACACAATGGAATGTAGACCTAACTTTTTAATGTTGAAGTTTTATCAAGTGCACTTAATTACTAAAATTATCTAATGTTAAAAAATATTATTTTAGTGTTCTATATACATATGTAGAACAAGCATTTTAAATCCATTCCTTTTTTTTTTTTTTTTTTTTTTTTTCATCTGTATGTAAATAATTTAATTATAATATTTGTTTAAATTAAGCTTTTTATTTATTTACTAGTATATTTTTTTGTACTTAACAGTTTGTAAATAATTTTATTATGTTTTTTAAAATAAATAAGTTAAGGCTAGTTACATTTGTTTGTTCCTTTTTATTTTCAGTGAGATTTTATATTTAATGTTACCTAGTATTAATTAACTAATAATTCTCTTACGTATGTCTTAGTTTTATCCATAATTCATTTTATTAAGTTTAATTTATTATATATACTGTCATATAAGTATCTAGTATTTATACAATTAAAATAATGAGTGTCATAAGTCTTTTTCTTGCTGATAGCTTATTATATTTGAACAAATTATGTTACCGATTGTATCTTAATAATATACTATATTGTAATTCATATGAAATTGTTTAATTTATTTTTCATAAACAATTTTTATTATTTATTAATTTTTGTTTTTATGTTTCATTGTACATGAAAATATTATCTCAAGAAATTAAATAAAAACGATTTAGTAAATGCTTGCTGCTACTCCGATGCCAGCAATTAATCAGTCAGCATTGTAATTATTAGTAGTTCGACTCACGCATCACTTGAATGTTTGTTTTATATATATATTTGTGGATGTGTGTAATTTTGTTCGTATACATATATTAGGCTTCTGATGTGAATTAAATGTATTTTGTTTCTAAAAATTAAATTTTATGTTTTTGATGGTGCCTAATTTAATACTGAGTTATTCTATTAGGTAGTTTTAAACCATTGAAACAAAATGCTAGTTTAGCATTGTAATGCTAAACTAGCTTCATGATCATTTTTTATTCTACAATTTTCTTTATTAATATGTTTGAATTAGTTTCATAATATTATTTTTGTTTTAAATTTTACAAATATATTTATATTACATGATCTATTTTATTCTTACAAACCTCTAAACAGTTTTTAACATATTGTCTAATTTTCCTGTTATATTTACAGATCTAGTAGATCTTTGGACTCCTCCACTAACCAACTCCGCCTCTTTCTATCTTGAGCTATTGCTTTTCAGTTTGCTGCATGCATGTATTGATTTTATCCATCAATTTAGTTTTTTGCCTCCTCCCCCTCAGGTTGTCTTGCCAAATATTGATTATTTTGTAGTTCTGTGAGGCTTCCTGATTGATTGCTTTAAGATACATATTCCATCCATCTAAACCTCTTTTCTCATTACATTATGAGATATTGACTGATCAGTTCCTGTAAGCAGTTCTTCTTTGGTCCTGCTTACAGTAGTATTCAGATTTAAGATTACTCCAGTTATTGTGCAGAAGATTATATTTTCAAATCTTTTAATACTTCTTTGTAGGATGATGGTTAATCCTCAGGTCTCATATCCATGTATCAGGTCAATCAAGATATTGATATGAAAGTGAAAAAGCATGTTTCTCAAAAAATGTAATAAAGAGACGAAATGAAGAATTTGGGAGGCTGCGTGATACCAACTTAAGGAGATAGTGCCCATTAAACAGAATGAAAACAATAATACAACTAAGTGGACCTGTAAAGTTGAACTGGATATTGAATGAGTTTATGAAAATTTAACTGAAAGAAAGTTTGGACAGATTTAAGGGGGAGTATTGTAACAGTAGTGGATCCAGCCACTGGATAAGCCCATAATTAGGTTAGAGAACCCTTTCTTGAAGTAACCTTTCATTTTCATATAACATATTTTGTATCTTCAGACATAAAAAAAAAGTGGAAGGGTTGGAGAGAACAATTGAAAAGATGGATTATTAGTGAAATATATGTTTTTCATAAGAACAAATGAATAATGTCGGTTTATTGAAAAAAATCTTCAACTTATACAAATATCTTGATTAATTTTCTCCCTGTGAAATCAAAACATTATGGGCATAGTGTGACTAATTTTGTAATAGTTTACCCTTATTTTGATACACTGGTAATTCACAAATATTTTTTCAGAAGTGAATTTAGTTCCGTTTTGGATTAATTTGAGTTTATAATTAATTAATTAATGCATTTTAATTTTCGCTGGTAAAAGTAAAATTGATTAATGTTAAATTTATAACCCAAATAATTTATAGATTTTTATATAGTAATTAAATCTGAAAAACAGAAGTTTATCACTAAAATTACCAATTATAATTATAAATATTAAATTTTAATGTGTTAATAATGGATTTTTTTTAAATTGTGAAATGTTTATATATTTTTACAAAGTGTCTGACCATTGATGTATTCATTCCTCCAAGATTTAAACACAACACAATTTAATTTTTTTTATAATGAGAAACACATTAACTTGGAAAAGTGCATGAATTAGACATTAATTATAGAAAGAATTGAAGGCATTAGAAATATTGGTTGATTTTTACTTTCACTTACCTATATATGTAATATATAGTAAGGCACTAGGGGATCCAGGATTTAATTTTGGGGGGGCTTTAGCCCGAAAGCTTTTTTTTTTCATAAAAATGACGATAATTACTTTGGAAACTGCCTATATGAAATGGTGTTTAAGTGATTCTTGAAGCCCTATTAAATGTAATTAAACGTGCAATAATACTTTAAGACATAATTTTTTTCATATTTTTTACCATAAAATGTGGTTACATTTTACCATTTTGGGGGGGGGCTTCAGCCCAAAAGCCCTCCCCCCCGTAATTCCGCCTGTGTAGTAAGGGTAAGTATTGCCATCGTGCACTAAGGGACACTAGCGGATCCAGGATTTCATTTTGGGGGGAGCTTCAGCCCGAAAGATTTTTTTTTTCAAATGCATACAACGATAATTAATTTGAAAAAAAAGAAAGAAATTAACTACCTATATGAAATTGTGTTTAAGTGGTTCTCGAAGTCCTATTAAATATAATTACACGAACAAGAATACTTTAAGAGATAGTTTTTAATATTTTTTTCTGTAAAACATGGTTATATTTTACCATTTTGGGGGGGGGCTTCAGCCCGAAAGCCTCCCCCATAGATCCGCCTGTGCTAGGGGATCGACGATTAATTTTGGGGGGCTTTAGCCCGAAAGCTTTTTTTTTTCATAAAAATGACGATAATTACTTTGGAAAAAAAGAAAGAAACTAAATATCTATATGAAATGGTGTTTAAGTGATTCCTTAAGTCCTTTTATATGTAATTACACGAACAATAATACTTTAAGAGATCATTTTTTAATATTTTTTTCTATAAGACATGGTTATATTTTGCCATTTTGGGAGGGGCTTCAGCCCGAAAGTCCCCCCGTAGATCCGCCCGTGTTATCGTGAAAATTATTGAATCTGAGTTTTCAACGGAAATACACGTTTTGAGGTACCCTGAGCCCAAATAACCTAGTCCCTAAAAATGGTCTATGTGTGTATGTTAGCAGTCTTCCTCAAAACGAAAAGTCATACGAAACTGATATTACGTATTTAAGATTTTTATGTGGTTGAGATATTACCGCAACTTTTTCCTTAAAATCGGCTAACCGGAAGTGACACTTTATATCAACGCTGAAACACATTTTTACAATTTTCTCAAACGGCTCTAACGATTTCGATTAACCTCGGTGTATCATTGTATAATTAAGTGGTCTTTAATATCATTTAGGTCGCATCCCTGTTGATTTTACTTTACAGGACTTAAATGCTCAATGTTTATATGCCTCTTCCTTTAAACTGCCTTTAATATGGTTTATTTTAAATAATTAACTATCTCTCATTATCAAGAATTACGAAAAAATGTTAAATATAATTTTTGGAAGAATTTGATTATTGAATAAAGGAGAAAAATACAGGAATACATTATTGAATAAAAAATAAAAATAAAAATACTTATCTAGGGCGAAAATGAATCTCCGGAAATACTAGTCAGAAGGTATAAATAATAAATAATAAATAAATAATAAAAGGCTTAGCGAACCCGAAGGTTCGATGCCGACACCTCCAATCGCTTATTACACACCTCCCTCCACCGTTCACCGTCCAAACCCAGTCCCTTCAGATCGGCTTTAATGCAATCTTCCCACCTTCGCTTCGGTCTACCCCTCGGACGCTTACCATTCGGCACAGCAAATATTAACCTTTTAGGAATTCTCTCGTTACTAAGCCCAACAACTTTACAAGCCCATTTGATTCGCCGCGATGAAATTACCTCAATTATATTACCCGGATACAGCTCACGCAATTCGGCGTTGTGTAACCGTCTGAACTCTCCGGTTAACTCATCCTTCTTCGGTCCGAATATTCTACGCAATACTTTATTTTCAAAAACCTTAAGACGCTGCCCATCCCTTAATGTAAGCGGCCAAGTTTCGCATCCATAAAGAACTGTAGGCAAGATAATTGTTTTATAGATTCTAATTTTTAAGTTCCGGGACAAGAGGCGCGAACTAAGTAGTTTTGTCACAGAAAAATAACAAGCATTTCCCGCCTTCAGTCTAACCTTAATCTCTTCTTCAATTTCGTATTTTCTAGTTATCGTAGAACCTAGATACTTAAATATATCTACCTGTTCAAACATATTACCATCTATATCGATATTACTAGTAGTATCGCCATTTTTGCAGCTAACCATATATTTTGTTTTATCCATGTTTATTTCGAGTCCTAGTTCTTTACCGGCTTTCATTAACGTTGTCGTATTTAGTTTTATAGTTTCAACGTCTTCTCTTAACAGTACCAGATCATCAGCATAGCCCAGCACGGATGTTGTCCCGCCCAGATCCAACCCTTTCTCTGTACGCATTACCTCCCTAATGGCATGTTCTAATGCCAAATTGAACAGGACAGGCGAAAGGGAATCCCCCTGTTTTAAACCCGAACGAACCTCAAATGTTTCAGATTAATACCGATTCTAACTTTATTGAGTGTCTCCGTCAAGCACATCCTGACTAGATTTACTATTGTTTTTGGAATCCCCTGCTCGATTAGAATATTATACAGTTTCTGGCGGTCAATAGAATCGTGGCGGCCTTTTCAAAATTTATATACAGCTGGTGAA